AATCTAGAAAATATCTTTTTAATTTTCTTTATTTTTGGCTAAATGAAATGGGATTCAATTTGTTTCCGTGCACGCCTTGAAAGACTCTAACACACTCTCATCCATATATGCATACATATTTATTTAAGGAATTCTCCTACACCCAAGACAACAATAACAATGCAACAGCAACGACTGACGCAATGGCACGTTTATGCCACACGTGACCTGCTTTGGCTCCAGCTTGGCTTTAGCTTTCGGCCAGGGTCGACGTCAGTGGCTGCCTTTACAGTCGCACACTATTTTTACAAGTGTCTACAGTTAAGTGCTCACACACACACACACACATACAAGCTCGCACTCATACTTACGAACACACACAAGCGGCCATCCAGGACCTGGAGAAATTACCATGCTCAGGACTCGTTGTCGTTGGCATCCCTGCGGTTGTAGCGTGAAACGAGAAGAAAAACTTTGGCGCTCTCTTAAACAACAACACACATACTTGAAACACACACACACATACACACTCGCACAGCGAAAATAAGAAGAGGAAGATGTATAAGCCAAAGCGCAGCAAAAGCATTGCCGCGAAAGTAGAACGTGGAAAAAGGCAAGCAGCCCAAGTCAAGTCAAGCTGAGAAGCTGCCTTGGTCTTACACTGGAAGTAATAGATTTTGGGGAGTTAAAGCTAAAATTTAAATTTAAGCAATTTGGAAAACAATCTACTGACCTCCTGTTAGAATGTTATTATCCAACATCAGGTGAGGATTTTGAACAAAAAATAGTCTGCGACTCAAACAAGATAATTTGTTATTGACGGATGCTCAGAAAAGGTATAGATTTTAAAATTAAAAACATAGAACTATAGTTCACATACCATTTACATCCATAAGTGAAAATGAACATCTTTACCTACATTTAAAATTGAAGAAGAAAGTGTGGTAAAAATTCTTTGATTTATTCGATTTATTTGCACTCGAATTTATATAACTTATGTTTTTGCAAGTGTACCGTAGACGTTGCCGTAGCCATGGATTTCATTATGCGCATTTTCTACAACTTTTTGGAGCAAGGCGCGTTAGCATTGCATACTTTTAGGCGCTGATGCCGCTGCTCCTGCTCCTTGGGCTCCTTTTGATCCTCCTTTCGCTCCTTCTGCCACTCTGTGTTTTGTGTCGAGCTTTTGCGCAGACACTGAAATGCAATTTGCATAAGTTTCACAGCTTCTTTCGTTTATATAGGGCGAGCGGGATGGGAACGGCGACTTTTCTATATAAATATAAATACTATGTGCATAACCCAAGTGCGCCCAACGACGTGCCGCAGTCTGTATGTGCCATCTATCCACTCCCTGCATCTGTATCTGTGTATTTGTGTATCCGCGTACGTGTATGTGTTTGCCTTGGTGCGTGCTAAGTATGTGTTGCCTAGCTGTTGGCAATTTTCATAACAAAAAAAAATAAAAGATATACTAAAAAAAAAAAGGACGAAAGTGAGATGGGGCATGCAGCAAAATGAAATTTGTGTTTGTTTTCTACTTTAGCCAGCATAAAAAGTGAAATGACACTGGGTAACGCAGGAAAAACGTTACCGTGGCATATAGGAACCGGCGGAAATCAGCAGGAAATTCCCATTCCCTTGTTAAGATGTTTGCCTTACTGTTTCCCTTGTGCATGTGTGCGAAATGTCGTTAATGTGGGCAAAGGTTACATGCTGAGATATCAGCTTTTATTGACATCAGACAAAGGACACTATTGAAGGGGAACTGTATAAAGTGACTGAAAAACTAGACATTGCGTAACTACATTTAAATGATTCTAATTTAAGAATTCCTTTCTTAGTATATACTATCTCTCAATAAGAGGGGATTTAATAAGACAATTAAGTCAAAAATAGGGATATTCTAGGTCCACAACTTACTCAAGTTCTAATATTATATATCTATTCCCTTCAAGTGCCAAGTAATTTAGCAAATTAATTTAACTAGACAAACAAAACCCGAGACAGCAAGCTAATCTTGAAAAACACGTACGGATTATAGTGTTCACAGTCTCTCAAATCAATTTCCTAAAAATAGTTTCGCATTCGATTTGCACTAATAATCCCAAATTGACCTATTTCACCGCCTGCACGAACTTTAGCACATATTTACCCAACGGCGCACACACGCGACTCGTTGGAGTGACATTTGTCTATCCGAACTGAACTGTTGCCGCTTGTGGCAGCCCAATCCGGTGACCTCAGAAGCAGCTTGCCACCTAAGCCGCAGCACGCGCCACTTTGTCCAAAATCCAGGCAGTTGGTTTTGGCTGCCTGATTCCGTGGTCTGTGGATGTGGATGTGATGTGGGATCCGATAGGATAGGAGCCATCCCCAGCCATCCCTTACTTGATTCCCAAGTGAGCCCCACGGGCAAATCACTCATTACACACTTACGCTTGCGCGACGCTGACTCTGACGAGCGGCAGGATGATGTAGCTGTAGGACAAGGGCCAGGAGAAGGAGCGAGGCAGCGGCAAAGGAATCGCTGACGAGATGGCGGAGGCGGCGACGGAGGCGCATATCACAAATTATGTCAATTTGCTGCAACAGCCCGCCCGCCTTTGGGACCCTGAGACAGCGACAGGAACAGGACCACCACACTGGGAAAAATAAAGTTTGACAAATTGGCGACTTGATTATTCAGATCTTGGAAGAAGTAACTAACCCATGCATGGCCATTATTTCCTTTTGCCAGCCAATACCTCTATTCAATCATCGTACTACCAAAAACGTTACCCAACTTTAATCCAGGTCAAGAGGTGTATTTAAAAGGTTTTTCGCTCAGTGCATGCGCTTCAGCCAACTGATATAGAGGGCCTAACTGTGTCTGCTCGTCGAGCATTTGACATCTTACATGGGAATTACAAACGCACGAAAATTGCTACCATGTTCGGCGACAGCCCACTCACCAGTACAGCTGTAGTCTCGCACACCAATACACACTAGCAGAGACCCGATGTATGTAATGTGTAGATATGTACATCTGTATATCTGTCCCAATGTCGCCTGTCCGTTTGTCATTCATTCCAGTTTTGCAGAGTGGGCGGGCGAGTGTTTTTCGGTGGGTGGCTGTGGGTCGGCGTTTTCATGTGCAAATTTCTGTAGTGTGCCATAAATTATCCGACTGGGAATTGCTTTTCTATAAAACGTGCGCATATTAAATAAATGTCAACAATTTTTGGCATCGTCTGCAAGCCGAGCATTTGCCCCTCGCATTTTTATTCCCTTCACTCGTTTGGTGGCTGCCGAAATTAAATTACGCGTAACACGATTGTGAGGCTCCCTTTTGGGTATTAATGAGCATCAGGCTGTAAAATAGGTCCATGATGGATGTGCTCGAGTCTCAGGGTTTTGACAGCCGGACAGGTGAGCAATTGAATTTTCAATTTTCCGCAACGAAATCGATTCGTATGACTGTGTCGTTGGCGAATAGCTCCTCTTCTCTGATTTGCGTTGGGAATTCAATGGATATTAAAATTCCAGCGATATATGTTGAACATTTTATTGGGCACAAACGAGCATATAAAGTGCTTGGATTTCATGAGGCACACTGAGACCGTAGTTTGGTGTACTCCATAGAGTAAGCAGACTATATAAGACGTCACAAGTTGCTTAATCAATTTGTTTTACCCATTCACAACTCTTTGATGGCTATTAATGTTTAATTCCAGCCAGCTGATTGATAGCCATGCATTTACAGTTCATGTTTCTCTTATTAATTTACGACTTGTGACGGCAAAACTAACCAAACATCCAAGTCCCACCCACTCCGGACGCTTTGATCCTCCTCACGCCAAAGGACAATTAGGGGCTTTAACTGGAAACCAGCCGGCGAACTTTAATCCATTGTCATTTTCCTGGATTGGTTGGGGGGAATGGGCAAATCGGCGGACTAGATTGGATTGGGAATGGGAATGGGTTTTAGCCATCCGGAAGCGACGACGATGCCCTTAGCATTTATCTGTTTTCAGCGACATCAATTGGCAGTTTAAATGCAAAAGATGAGGCCGCCGTGAAATCGCAGACCGGCCATCGTCATCACCATTGTCGACGTCATCCTCATCGTCGTCGTCGGTGGCTCCAATTTGGCATTAATATTCCCACTCACGTACTTGGTTGTGATTATGCGAGTACAACGACGAACGTCAGCGGCTATTGCGGTTGAAAGGAGCTGGGTGGTTGAAAGGATCTGGGTGCTTGGGAGGCTCAGTGGCTCTGTGGCTCGGTGGCTCCGAGTGGTGAGTGGGCGGAGGAGCTGCCTTGGGGTTGTCGTGCGGTTGCCGCCTTGCGTGCTCCACGTTTGTGGGACGGCAGCAGTCTCAACGTGACACTTAAAAGGCAGCGTTTTGTTGACATTTGCTAGGAAATCGACGAAGGAGTCGAGTCCCAGTAATTGCGGCAACACCCCAAAAAGCTCAGCCCGGCCGCTGAGCAAAAAGGACATTTTCATATTGTGTTAATGACTTTGGCAATAGTTTTGTCATGACATTTCAAAAGGGCCACCCCACCTGTCGTTTCATTCAATTGCATTGGGTGGAAACGGTAATGATACACCAAGGGAAATGACTCAAGGATTACCAACAGAAATAGTTGACTTAAGAAGGTTATAACCTAGAGCTAAGGAGTTTCTTTTGAATTTTACAGATATATTACATACTCTCAAGCAAGGAATACTAGTAATTAGATTAATTGACCCAACTATCCAGTTACTTTTACATCTCTATAACACTTAATGCTTTTCTTCTAAAAGAGATAATGGTATTGTAGATTGGTATGAGTTGTCTTAGCATAATTGACTTAACTTCTTAAAGAATGTATTAATTATTAATTATAAAGAAAGTTAATCCAAATTTTTAAGGAAATTACCCTGAATTTTATCTTGCTTTAACTTAGATGTTTGCCTTTTTCTAGCCATATATGATTATTTTACCGCAGTGCACTCATAATTGTGTTTTCCCTTCCTCTACCCATTTCAGTTTCCACAGTGGCCGTGGAGGCCGTTCTGGGGCGAACCGCATCCTTGCCGTGCGACATCGAGCCGGAGGCGAAGGACGATCGGGTGTACATGGTGCTTTGGTTCCGTGAGAGCGCCGGCAAGCCACTTTACAGGTAAGCAGGTGCCCCCCATCCTAAGCAGTCGAATTTGAATTCAGGTTAGCAGCCACTTGCTAATTTTATAGTCTCTTTGAGATTCCGAGTATGTGCATGTGTGTGTGTGTGTGTCTGTGCGGTTGACAGAAGTTCCGCCCTTTTCGGTGCTGGCCTGGCCAACTGGGCTCCTGGGCCGGCTACCTTTTGATTTATAAGCCACTCCAGTGGCAACTCCTTCCACTCACTCGGCCCGACAGCTTCATGAGAAATGGCAGCAGTTCATAATTTTCAAATAATTTATTATTTTAATAACATCATCAATATCAACTCAACTGGAGTCGGTTCTAGTGGAGAGTGCACTGAGCGAAAGTGAAGAAGTAAGGCAATTAAATATAAGGGTCTGTCTGACTAATGGTTTTTAGTAATTATAAGTAGTAGATATAGGCAACATGTTCGGATATTATAAATAACATTACGACATTATTTAAAAACAACAATTTCTTCATTTTAAAGTTGTCTTAATAGCTAAATACATATATTTGAAATTTCTCCAAATGGAAGCCATTGATCACCCTCTTATTGAAAGACAAACGTTGATATTTCACCATTTTGCCCAGCAGTTTGAACTTCCAAGTAAGCAGACAATTAATTTTCTTCAAGTGTAGCCGCCGCATGAGCCTAGTCCTGGATCTTGGGGCCAGGACAACGCGCTCCGGGAGTGGGTCAAAGCAAAACAAAGCAACGGCATGCCAGGCAGGCCAAACAGGGCGACATGGGCTCATATATTAGCCGCAGGGCCCGAGGCAAAGGACATCCGAGGTGAAAGGCGGGGGGCAGCAAAATAATGGCATCCAAAGTGAAAACTGTTTTGGCGGCAACTTTGATTGTGAGCGGAGGCGGAGAGCAGGAATAGCCCCACCATCTCCACCCTCATCCACACCAGCAGCAGCAGCAGCACCAATACCCATATTCACATCCCCGGTGATGTCCTCGAGCTCCTGCTGCTGTTATTTATAGAGCTCGCTGGCGAACGTGTGCTTAGGTTTAATATGTTGCACATTATAAGCAGACATCGATATCCTTTAGCCTTGTCAATTTTGCTTACATGTGCTTCCTTTTCAATATGTTGCCAGCGGGTGGACGGAGACGGGGCTTTTTGGGAATAAGGACATAGACAACGACATGGATATGGCAATGGCTATGGCTACGGATACAGATACAGATACAGAAGCGAAAACGAATAGGAATACGAACGCACGTGTATCTCAAGGGCGAGGGCGAGCGCGAACTGTTCACGAGTCCTGCCGCCCAGGACTCTGATCCTTGTTGATGTTGTTGTTCTTGCCACTTCGTGCACTCAATTGGAAGCAATAAATTTCAGACCAGACAAAGAGGAAAATATGAGGAAAGGACCTGAGTGTTTGGACCAACGAAAACAAGGAACACCAACAAGAACAACATAATGGAAAAACGGAAAACTAGAAAAATGTGGAAAACAATAATGTCGCAAAAATTTCCGACTTTATAACCAAAAATATCCGAAAGTGATTCGAATTCGATTTCCCTTCCAGGACAAGTCAGTGCCCACAGAACAACAAAAAATGAATGGAAAACAAGAAATAGGAATGAAATTTAAGGAAATAAATAACAGGAGCGAAAACAAGAACAGCAGCAACAGCAACAGCAACAGCTGCACGGCAAAGGGCAGGATTCCAAGGAAAAACTCCGTCCAGGACTCGGGCTGCGGCGTAAAATTGCCAGCTCTGCGTGAAATCGAAGGACACGCAGAGGGGCAGCTGAATGGGGCTTAGAAAAGAATCAAAACCAAAAGCTAAAACCGAAAAGGCGCCGAAATTGAAAGCAGCATGTGAAGAGCGAAGGGAGAATGTCGGGGAAAATGGAACACAGAACGGGATCCCCCAAGGTTTTCCAATGTAGTGATAGAACACGGAGAGAAATTACAAAGTGGTCCTAACAAAATCAAAGCCAAATGAGATTATAATCAGAATCTTGTATAGATGGCAAATCAAAGCCTAATATTGTTAAAAAGTTTAATTCATATCTAAATTTATTCAATTCAAAACTAAAACATCTTGAATATAATACTGAAAACTATGTAATGCCTGGCAGGATTTTTGTAAAGTCACTTGTCCTAAAGCATAACCTAATCCTGTATTTTTATAAGCCAGCTGATCCTGATTTTTCGCTCCAGTGTCGCACATCCTTTTTGTGGGCCAGGCTTTGCAACATTTCCAAAGGCACGTCACAGCTGGCAGCCTCACCTAAAGAGGCCCGCACACACCTACGCCCCGAATATCCTGGGCAAAGTCCTGTCTAGCAGGAGCTCCCCTGCATTTGACAGCTTTACACCCAGATACAAAGGCAAAAGCTGGGCCCACGAACAAAACGATGTCCTGCCCAGGAGGCTAAAAGCAAAAATATTAAAAATTATAATGTTAACTTTTGCTTTGTTGTTTGACTGGCCAACAACAACAACAACAACAAGCAGACAGTTTTTTAGGGTTAGGCCATTTCGGGCTTTAGGGTTCATTTTTATGGCTCGGATAGCTGGCCGGGATTTGTTTCTGCTGACTTTGACCCTTGAAATGCGATTTTCATAAGATTTTTATACATTTATTTGTTATGAATCGTGGGCGATATAAGGCCAGAGAGCCGAGACCCGCTTGCCCTTCCATTATTAAAATTAACATTTGCCATGACAGCCACCTGTAACGAGGAGCGAATCGGAGCTCTGTGGGTCGACAGGCCAACTGTCACGTTCAATATTGCAGACCGTCAATGGCATTGGCAGCTCCCACCCCCTTCCGCCTTCCACAAAGCCTACATAATAAACACGAGGCAAAAGGAAATGGCCTCGGCCGAAGCGATACAAAAGGCAAACAGGAGCGATGCACTTGCCACATCCCCGGCGACTGGGATGCACGCTGGGATCAACCGAAATGAACCAATATACAGAAATTAAATTAAATTATCTGCACTTGCTCTTGACGAACCGGTCAGGTGGTAACATAAGTATATTTAATTTAAAGTTCATTTTCGCTTCTCTTTTGTTTTCAGTTCCAGTTTTAAGTAGTTAATAAATCCTACAAATATCAGGAAATCTGACGATTTCTTTTGACACTTAATTTTATTGTTAAATATAAAGCCCTTTTAATTTGTTTATTGAAAGCTGCGCACTTGACGTGTCTTCTTTAAGCAAAGAGTTATGGAAATTCTGCAATAAAATACATTACATAGAGAAATCAAAAAGCACAGACACCCTTAAAAACAAATATACCCCCATTACCTAGTGTAAATATCGAAGTTCCAGGGGACTTTAAGCCGGGCCACAATCAAGGTTAATTGATTTTTAAAGCTCACCTGGACGCCCGGCTGCTGGGTGCCAGGAATCCGTAGGTTCCGTGGCATGAATAATTAAATTCGCTGCGAGCACTGGGTCGGATTGGATTGGTCTGCCCTGTCCTGCCCTGTCCCGTCCCGTCCTGCCTCGAACTTCCCTTTCCTGATCCTTCCTGGACTGAACTCGACGGAGGACTGGCTGTCAAAAGCGGATAATGTGAGTGCCACGCTAACTGCCATAATCGCCGGCAGCTGCCTCCCAACCGCCCCATAAATACAGTCTGTACCGAGGGTGCGTGAGAGTGGGTTGAAATCCGAATGGAGGGGGCAATTGAAAGTGCATTCACTTCGAAAAGGTTGAGCCGTGTGTGTATTTGGCTTGCTGCTTGAGAATCGGTCTGCCACAAAAGTAATAAACCACAAAATGGTATTCAAAATGGCTGGCAATAAAGGCCAACGGCAACGGAAGTGAACAGAAACTGAAGATGGCAGAATCACGGCCTGGAGCAGGATATGGCTACACGTGAAGAAATAAGGCCAGTAAAGTTTTTAAGTTAAAGTTGAAGGATATTAATCGGAATAAAAGATAAAATGAAGGTTTTCTAAACACGAAACTATGCAGTTTTCATCACTTACCTAATTTAATTCCTCTTCTAAAAGCAATGCACCCCAAAGCATTTCTCTCAGTGTGTCGAAAAGAACTCGCTAGAGTCGTGGTCCAAAGGCAATTAAGTCGAGTGCATTTTCGGGCCATTTTACGAGCGGCTGGCGGCTCTGCAGTCGCACTTTCAGTCGCGAATTTCAGGTTAGATGGGATATTTAAAACTGTAATTAAGTTTCAAATGTATATGCGATAGTGTGGGTGTATATTTGTGGGCGTGTGGGTGTGCTGGTGTGCGTGTGTGAAAGCGGAAATGCAAGCGGCGCATGCAAATCGATTTGGCCGCCACTAAGCTCTGGTTTCAACCGCCGACAGAGAAATGCCAACGTTGGGATTTTCTTTGTCGGCTCACCACTTGGTCACTGGCGGAAATGGTGGTCCAATCCTTCCACTGATTGCACATTCCAAGGCGAGAGCCCGATTACCAAACTTCTCTCCATCGTCGTGATTAACTTTTAATGACTTCGATTTTGGTAATTGGACGGAAGGAATTTGCCGTAATTGGAAAATTCTGGGAATTCGACATCATTGTATATTTGAACAATCTGTTCTTGTTTTAAGTTCCCACAATTAAGTATTTATATTCGACTTAATGGACCGAAGGGTGAATATCTGAATTCAATGTAATTGTTATCCGATTTAATTTTAATTGCAAAACTTTCGAATTGCTGATACTTTCACTTAAATTAAGAACGAAATAAATTCAAATAAGTATTGTGAAAAGTAATTAATTTGTATTCCAATTTGGATCTTTATTTTTACCCTTTATCATATATAAATATGCAAATAGTTTGGCTTACTAAGTGAACCAATAAAATATTTAGTACCCTATTTCTCGAAACTAAAATGAGCCGGAAATCCCATCACGAGCGACCCTTTTTCCGGGCTAATTTTTAACCCCAATCAAAATATTAAAATCTCCTCTCCAACTCTTAATTCCGAGTCCGAATGGCTTTTGGCTTTCGAAGCCCTAACCTGCGGCAACAGTCGTGGAAAACCGAGAAACCAAATAGGCAAGCCCAAGATGAAAGTTTTATTTTGAATTTATTGCGGAATTTATTGGGCGACACTGCATAAATTTGAACTTGGCCACCGAGCACAACGAGAACGGGGCTCTTTGTTTCGGCAGGACCTGCTTTTTTCTTGGGGTCCTTCATATATTCATATGCTACAAATTATATAGTAAAAGTTAAGAAGAAGATGAAGCGAAAACCAAACAAAAACCAACACCAGCGGCAACAATGTGTGGAATGATGCCAACAAATGTCAACACCGCTCGGCGGAAAAGCGGGGCATTGCGGGAAAATTGGGCGGGGGACTAAGGGAAAACTGTTGTTGGCAATAACAAAAGAAATTTACAGATATTACACAGCATGGCTCCATAATAACACCAATACCCACACACAAAGGGGCGACTGAAAAACAAAAAAACCAAAAAAAAAAAAAAAAAATGGAAAATGGAAAAACAAAACAAAAACAAAGGGGCAGTAAAACCATTTGCATACTTTTGTATGTATATGGGGGCGTGTAAACAGCCCCTTTTTTGGTGTTATTATTGTTTCATATTTCTCTCGGTGCTGCGTTTCTTTTGTTTGCACGACGTGTGTGTGTCTATGTGTGTGTGTGTGGCTCTGTGTGGAAACCAATTTTAAATTTGTTGCCACTTTCGTCGAGTTATGGAGCATACTTTTTGGCGCTTCGCCGTGGCAAACTCCCGCCCGTGCGATAGGGTTTCTTTATGCATAATTTGATACGGGCCGCCAGACAATATGCGAATGTACAATGTGCGAGGGCCTATTCTCACCTGTCTAATTTCGGCCATGGATGTGGATGTGGCGCGGAGGTGGCTGTGGCTATGTGGATGTGGATAAACCACCCAAAGTGGGTCCTATGTTGGCAGACCCTCATGCCCTTATAGTTTATTGCCTTTTGTCAAGCGATGCATAGTTGGATTCCACAATGTATGTACCCTGTAAGAGGGTCAATACGGCAAGGTCAAAGTTGCGATCAAGTTCAGGTAAAAGTGGCAATTAACTAAAGTTTAAAAAGTCAATTAACTAAAAGTTAAAAACATGAAAACGGGAAAGCATTTCTTAAAGATTCCTGTTGAAAACATATTTAACGGATTTAACATTTGGTATACATAACAATAAAATATAAATGAACTATAAAATATATTTTAATTAGGCTCCTCCTTAATCATGAATGCAATTTGTAGCCCAAAAAGTAAACAAATACACAATCAATTAAAAGTAAGCTGACGTTTTCGACATATTCAAGCTGTGCCAGTCAATTGTCATGAGTATATGGCAGTCGGGAAAGGAATCTCGGCCAAGAGAATTTCCACGACAGCAGCATCTGTTTAAACTGTCAGAAAATACCGACATACACGCACACGAGCACACAAGCTCGCACACACACACACCGACACGCTCTGACACATATTGTCATAAAATTATTCAATGGATATTGTGAGTGCAAAAGTTTTCGGTCCTTTTTTATTTTTTTTTTTACATTTTTTTGGGGCTTTCCCGGCCCTTCCTCTCTTAGCCCTTTTGCAATCTTTTTGAATAGGATTTTGTAAGCGTTACAAACTGAGGAGCGAACAAAAAGGAAAAACATTAAATGGCAATATGAGAAGCTTGCTTTGATATTGGATTTCGGGGCGGGGATTGTCGGTTGCGAATATCAAGTTTGAGGGGAAAGGGGCTGTGGCGGTCAAAGTTTATGCCAAGCCACCGAAAAAACCAGAACGTAATTACCAAACCCATGCAACGACCAGTTCAAGGTTCGTCTCGCTCCGGGATTTGTTTAAAGAACGCAGCTCATTCATTCGGCCCAAGATAAAGTGCTACCAATTAACGCAAAATAAATAAAACTCAACTAATTGTTGGAAAAAAGCAGACCATCGACAAAGGAAAGCTGAAAGAATGGGTGAATGGAAGAAAGCCAATGTGAATGAGACCGATGCACTGAGGAAAATAATGTACAAATTTCAAATAGAAGACATGTCAATTAGGTAGTTAAATAGTGAATACAAGAAATGTTGTAAGGGTGCTGATTAAGAAGATTTAATGAGTTGCTGAGATGTTGTTTTTATCATTATAAATTTTAAATATATTTAATGATTTTTTTGAAGTGCAAGAAAAACTCTTGAAGTGGACGTCGCGTGGTTGCGTCCACTTGTCTGCTATGCTTTCCCACTTTTCCTGGGCTTGCTCCTCCGCTTTCTCCATCTTCTGGCCTTTCTTGGTCTACTTTCTCCTTGTCCCTGCTCCGCCTTCTCTTAGCCCAGTCTGCGACGACAGTCAACATTTCTGCAACTGCCACAATGTTGTCTTCTTTTCTTGGCTTGGCCCATTTCGCTTTGCCTCTTGCCACTCGTTTGCTTTCCCTGTTTTTCTGCTTTACAATTTTTACTGCCCGAGCATTTGGCGTTTATTTTTCTGTTTTCTGTCCTTTTGGACGCCCCTGCCCCATCCCCTGCTGCTGTGCTGCTCTGCTCATTGTGCAAACTTGGCATTATTGTTTCCTAAGGCCAACAACGAGAAAACACAACGTCAACAGAGGGCAAGCCGGGCTAAGACCGGCGTATTCTGGCCATATTTGGGTGACGGGAAAGGAAACTCCATTCCTTCCATTCCGTTTCGCTCCATTCCATTCCACCTTGCCTTATCGCTATTGCTCCTCCGCCTTTGTTGACTATTCGGCGTTTCCCTATTGTTTGCAAATGCGCAAAATTAAAAGCGAGAAAAGCGAGGGAAAGCGAAGAAAAGCGCGAACCTGAAGCGCACTTTTTTTGAAAACGGAACTTTCCCAAGGAGTTCCCCATCCTCTGCAGTTCGTTATGTTTACATTTTCGCGCATATATTTAATTAGGCTAATTAGGGAACGTGCCCTGGCTTTGGGCTTTGGGCAAGGCTTAGTGTCCGTAATTTATTCGCCGCATGGCTTACTGCACTTTGAACACAATTAGAGGGATGGCCAAACACATGACAAGGCCATGGAGCAAAGCCACCAAGGAGCACAGCCAAAGGAGCCCCAGTGATAAGCACAAGAAATATGAGCACCGGATATAAATTGTGTCAGCGGCGAAATGATAAAAAACCACTTAAAGGCGCAAACAATACGGCCGCCGGGCGGAGGCCGCGAAGAATCCTGCCAGCCGGCACAATGACAAACCGCTCCGCTAACCGCAACTGGGTGGGGGGCGATGGGCGAGGGAAGGGGTGTGGCAGCGACCCACAGATAGCGCAGACTGCACGACGACAGCGGAAACAACAAAAGGACACAACAGGCGATGACTGTGCAAAGACGATGGTGTTGGTGCTGGTGTGTGGGTCACTAGAAAGGTGCACTGGAAGAAATGGATTGTAGTCTGGACAAAATTTATAATTTTAAACTTAGTAAATATCTAAGACTAAATCTAATATCTAAATCATAGACAATTCCAGCTGTTCAACTAGTCGTATACGCAATATTACGCAATTACAAATATTTCTAAAAATAGTATTGAACAGCCTAGGAAGACACGAAATATTTTTAAAACTTGTTCTCATTTTTAAGTTACATAAATTTATCTTCAGTGTCATAGAAAGAATTGTGGGAAAGCTTTGCCACCGTCAAGTCATTTACGGCGTGTCGCTGGGGCATCCGGGATAGGGGGACGGAGGGCATACCGTATAGGAAGGAGGTGTGGCAAGCAACCCTCGAGAACTTCCAAAGTTCTCAGACGGACATTAACAAATACAATAAAAGCGCCAAAGATAGCACGTCAGGCTTTTTAATGCGCAAAATTGCAAACGTTTGCTGGTTCTGTTGGGCTGCGAAAATAATGCGAAACGGAAGAAATTAGTTGCGTGCAAATTTATGCTCGGGGTTCGTTTTGTCGACCCCTGGGCCCGCGGGTCACCGGGCACAGGAAAAGGGTCATTTCGTAGACGCGTGAAAATTCAGGCCCAGGCCACTTTCGAGCGTGTCGTTTTTTACAATTTTCCATTCAATATTTATGGTTTTGCACGAGAAATAGCAGCCCAGGCTGGGCCAATAAGTTGCAGGGTTTAGTGGTTGGCCCTCTTGAGTCTTTAAAGAGTAGACTTTAAGGCAAGCCTAGACACCTTGTGTGTGGCGCTACAATGTTTTCAGTTCTACAGAGTTTAGCTTAGCTTAAGTGTTAAGTGGCATGTTCTGGATTATGCCGTTCGTTCTGTGCACTTTCGTTCCATTTCCTTTTTTATGACTACTTAGCATTTGAATGGAGAGCCATAGGTGAGCTTATGCGAATGTTTTCAGCTTTATGGCATTATTCTTATTCTATTTTTCCATGTTTGGTCTGTGATTACTGGCTAACAAGTCAAAGAGAAATCTTAAAGTTTAGCTTTAATAAAATATTGCTTATTTTAAGATGTGGGTTTCGTACATCCTTTTATTTTTTCATATGTATTTAAAATGAAATCATTAAGCAATGAATTGCACAATTTAAGGACTTATCCAACTCCACAACTGATACATTTCTTTACAAGAACTGAATACAAAAGCGATGTACAAGGTGACCGCATGAAAACATTGAATTAAATCATTTTGCCCCATAACGGCGAACCATTTTTTATGCTCAAAACATAAGGTCAACCCCGAGGTCACACCCCGTACAAACTTTCACGTCGCATTAAAATTTACGACCTTCGCTGCGACATCTGAATCGCTCTGGAAGGCAATTGCTGACGCAACTTATCGTCAATATTTTGGTTTAACTTCCCTTTATTTACTTATTTTTTTGCATTTCCCCTGCGGCCCTTAGATAGAGATAACGAAGGAGGAACTACTTGGGCCACTTTTAACATTTCCGCTCTGGTTCTTCCCTTTGCAGCTTCGACGTCCGAGGACGGCCCTTCGAGAAGGCCCTCTACTGGTCGGACACCAACTCATTTGGGCCACGTGCGTACTTCGTTACCGGACAGCAGCCGGCCAAGTTATCGGTGGACAACATTCAGCTGGATGACGAGGGCGTAAGTGGCTCAAACTGGCCCATTACCACCAGAAAAGCGACCTATGTTATTGTATATTTTTTATTGGATTCCTCAACAGGTTTACCGCTGCCGCGTCGACTTCCAGAACTCGCCCACGCGTAATCATAGAATTAACTTAACGGTTATTGGTGAGTACCCGAAAGGCATTGCACCACCATTAAAGGAAGCTCTGCGCCTCTCACCATCAGTTACACTCTAAGAAAAGAGTGTTTAGATTAGATTTGAGTACTTACTTGATAGCTCTGATAAAGTTTATGAGTTCATTTTAAGTTTAAAAGCCTTTGTTAGCTTAAACGCGAGTGACATTTTTCACTTACGGATTCTGCTAAATTAACACAAATCTTAAAAGTCAAGAAACATCGTTATCTTTTTTTAAATCTTAAACATCATTAAATCTTAAATATATCATTATAATTAAGTTCAAATTTCAAACAATGTAAAGTTAAAGTTTAATATTTGTACTATTGATATCTCTTTTCGATTATTAATCTTTGACTTAAAACGAGAAGCTATTAATTAGTATTTAAATTTAAACGATAACACTTTCAAATATTCCTATTGATTAGTTTAACTAAGTCAATGTTTTAGTTTAGTTTAGTTTAACTATGTACGTTTTATTATATATTTCTTCGATAGGAAAACTTAAACTGAAGTGCCTTCAGTTAAAAAATCTTCAAACTAACTTCTCTTAGTGCATCCCTTTTATAACCACTGTCCCGCTTTCTCCACTTTCCCCTGCAGTTCCTCCGCACCAAATACTCGTGTACGATGCCTCTGGTCGCGATGTTGCCGGAGCTGTGGGTCCATTGCTCGAGGGCGATAATATTGTGTTGACATGTGAAGTGCGTGGCGGTAAGTAAATCATGATAAACGACACCAACGCATACACGTACCCTCTGCCACATAAATGTGGCACTCAGACAAAAGGCTATCAAGCTGGGGAGGTCGCCACAAAAACGCAACTGATTCCACACAGAGAAAAAATGGTAACAGGTTTTTTAAACTGAAGTCTCAATTGGCAGAAGACTTGCAGATTACTTGCGAGAAAACATGATTTAAATAGCCCATTTAAAATGAGATGATAAATAAATATAAAATTTGATTAGGCAAACCATCCTGACACCATGAACTTTTTTCTCCGTGCAATCTTTACTGAGAGATTCAGTTTCAGCCTCGTCCGCATCCATTCCCACTCGACCCTGCCAGTCTATTTAAAGAATTAAAGATGAAAAGCTCCAGATAGGCCCCAGCCGTGACCGAGTCGGCTGGTTTGCGTGGGCACCGGGACAGGGACGGGGAGGGGCTGGCTAAGTCATCGTAAATAATAAAAATAAATGTATGTCAAAGTCTGCGGTGACATTGCCGCTCCACAGACACCAGGACATCGTCAGTGAAGGCTCCTGCGTCTGTGGCCGCTGTCATTGCCAGTTTGCTTTCAGGGGGAAAATGCAACAATTTCGAGCGTCTGGCGTGCTTTTGTTGTGGTGGTGCACGCCACATCCATTGGCCGAGCTATGACCTGTAGGCATATGCGGCATCGTAAATCTTTAAAGAGGTCCCCAAGGTGAAAGGAAAAGCACCCCATACACCACCCTTCCCTCTCCCCCACACCCACACTATCGACCGCATCCTCAAAACTTTTCACTCGCCTTTTTCTGCTGGCAAGTGTGAAAAATTTTTGTACAAGTTGCTCGCTTCGCTGGCTTGGCTTGAGGGGTCCTCCTTGCATGACTGAGCCCCATGGATACGAACCGAACCGAACTCAACCCAACCCAAAGAGCCGGCGATGGCGACGAATGCCCGACATCAGCATTATAAATCATTAACTTTTCTGACAACAATATTTTCGGCGCACACCCCAGACATTTTCCATGTCAACTAGCAACGCGATTTGCTTTTAGAGTTTCTCTTTTTTCGCTGGCCATACTAAATGGGTTTTCCCGGGGCTTAAAGGCGAAAATGCAGCTGATGGTGTAGAAGTTGTTACTGATGCTCGTGAAAGTTTTTAAGTCCGTTTGATAGTGGAATTAGTTGATTATAACAGACAGCCAGTGTGCACAGTTCATTGAACTGCCTGAATTGGCTTGAAAAGTTGGCAATATTTAAGAGCCATGACTTACATGAACTTTCTCTTTGCCTTTAAAATCAGATTTTTAGTCTTTCTTAAGCTTTTTCTTCTTACTTTTCCTGACTTAATCTTAAATCAAAACCCTTTTTTAAAGACTTTTAGGATTAATTTAAGCTGGAAGGAGAAGAAAAACTCCCAACTGCTCTAATGAGAAAACAAAACTTTGCTGCTCAAGCCAACTCTACTTTTTGTATTCGGAACGCCAAAGAGAAATCCTGAAGGACCTTCTTTAAGCCTGTTCTTGAACTTTATCGGGCTCAAAAGGCCGAAGTAGTGGCCCAATTTCCACTGGAGGACTCCGGGCTTTGTGCAACCCACTCGAGGCAAATGCTAGCTCATTATTCGCCTCACCTCTCAAATGGCAGCTGGTGTTGCTCCGGCTGATGCTGATGCAGATTCCTGGGCTGCTGTCACCGCTGCCTGCAGTGCTCCTGTTTACGTGCAGCACTCTCCTGCCAAAGGCTTCATCCGGCGCCTTGGCATTTCGCCTCATGGTTTGCTTTGGCATCAGTGCCTCACGTCGCCGCTTTGACTAACCGCATGTGAATGAGCTAAACAGCCAGATGCCCTGCCTGGGATCCAGCTCTCAGCGGGTTTTCGGAGGGGTTGTGGGTGCCAGAAGGGAGAAACCTTACAGGGTGAAACTACGACGACGTCGACAACATTCGCTTTTGACACCTGCTGAGCGACACGCTTCTTGGCAGGTGGCATTGCCTCTGATTTGTATGCAACATTCCACACACCCCCGCGTTTGCCACCCCCTGCACTTAGGGAAATTGGTTTCTCCAATGCTGAGATCAAGCTTACTCCATTTTGGATTGTTCTTCTATTTTATTGGTATCTTTGAAACATACTTCTTAAAGGTATTCCTCTAAAGGACGATTGTATTTCCCGCCTTTTTAGCTGATTATTTAAGTTAAACTTTAACTTTTGTGGCATTTAATGAAGTTTTTAAATATATTAAAACTGCAATAAATGGTTAACATCCCTATAATATTAATTAAGTGATCATATTAAACTATTATTAAGCCAATAACTTATTCCTAAATATAAACCTATGCCCTTTATTTATGATTAATCTAGGTAATTTTCTTATCCCAGTGTACGGGTTGGCTCCTCGAAGAGACCGCAATGCAAGCTCGTATTTCATTTGGCTCCCTCCGAGGGCTCAAAGCCAAATTAACTAATATCGCAATTTCAGCGCCACATGGCGTCGACACAGGGCGATGGTGAGGTATTGCGACGGTGGGTGCTCGCATCCTGATTAAAGCTAATGCAAATCCTGACGCTATTTTTATGGCCGGCCACTAATCATAGCCCCCAGGCACAATAAACGCCAAATGCCAAATTGCTTTATCAAGTTTATTAACTTCGACTAATAGCAATTAATACCGGCAATAAAAAGCTAATCTAGGCGGGTCCCCATAAAAGGGCCCGGGTTATCCATTGTGTCCGGTCTGAGTTCCAGCAGTTCCGCAGTCCTTTGCATATTTGACCCCCCTCCCTATTCCTTACCATCCCATTCCGACGGAGTATTGTCCGGCGTAGCAATTGTCAACAAGCGTAAGTATGGCTTAGCAAATGGCAAACGCGCTGTCTTCATTACACAAAAGGAAGTGGGTGGTGGTGGCGGTGATTCCAGGAAGAAGAAAGAAAGTGGCCAGAGTTGGGGGAGGTGAAAGCCAGCTAAATGCCGCAGGGAAACTGTTATTTGTCTATTATCCCTGCATTCCCATCCCAAAACCATTCCACTCCTCCCAACTTTTCGGCGTGTGTGCGTGTGTCCTCTCGCTGGCTTATTGTCGCCGAGTATCCTTTGCAATCAGCCAGCATTCTGGCAGTAAATTCCCAAGTCCACACTCCAGCTATCAGCTACTTTCGCCCTTCAATCTCCAACCCCCAATCCTCAATCCGCAATTCCGAATCCCCGAACCCCTGATCCCCACAACTCGTCTGCCAATGCCAATCCCCAGCTGCTTGTTGCTATTGTTGCTCATTTCCGCCGCATTCACTTGGCTCACTTAATGGCCCAAACCAAACCAAGCCATACCGAACCCAATGGCTATGCCAAAGGCAAGCTGCCAAGCTGGGAGGCTGGGAGGCTGGGAAGCCGGGGCCCAAGCTTTGGGCACTTAAACGGATTAAAAATATTTTCGTACATTTGATATGTGAGCGAGCGAAATGCCTTGCCCTACCTTTCTCCGAGCATTGAGCGATGGCAGCAAAGCGAAAAAGTGATTGCAGAATTTCAATTGAAATGCCGGGCTGCAGATTCGGAAAACTGCATCGGGAACTCCCAACTCCGGTGAGTGAATCGATAGTCAATCGAGCATATGGCCGAGTCATATTTTATTAATTTAATATCTGTTCTCATTGGGCAAATTGAGACAGGTAGAGATGGGCTTTTTAAGCGGATGCGAATGGGAGAATCAAACTTCCATTAAGCTTCCTTTTCCTCGGATTAACAGCTTTAATTGGAGTAACTTCTGTAAGTAAGTAAGCCATAAAGGAAATGGAATGGGAAATCTCACTTGAAATTTCAATAATTAAACAAATCTCACTTCCTAAAAAAAAAAAGGGAAATAGTTGATGAAAAGGCATCGATTGTTGCGTGAAAAACAAAAGCTGATTTGCAAAAAGTTGCATCATGAATTTATCTTATTGTACACATTTCCCGGGAATTACATCCAGCGGAGATTATAGCCAAACCTAATAATCTTTATAATCCTATTAAGTGAAAAGTAAATAGCGGAGGGCCGAGATATAATTCCCTTTTGGAAACAGAAACAAATGTTGAATTGCCAAATATTTAATCTAAAATTGTAAAGGGCCAACGATATGGCGTCACCAATTCGGTAATTCAGTTTTAATTATTGTCTAATATTTTGATAAAGTCCGTAACTTTGTGATACATTAATCTGCTTTGCCGGCGCCACCAAATGCAGACATAAATATGTATCAAAATGTGCCCTTTATCCGATTTCCCCCTCGTGTCAGTATTGTTTTCCATTCGGGGTCACCACCATGTCCCCGAAAAATTTCCGCTTCTGCCCCTTTCTGGGTCCCCAACCAACTAATTCAATATTCACGCTTATGCGTTTGCCGGGAAACCCATGACCACCGCCTCCTGGCCTCTTTCGACCATCCACCCAAACAGCCATCCATCCATCCATCCCGGCCAGTGGCAGTGCCCCAACTTTGCTAGTTAAGCTGGCTAAGCCTTTTTTAAAAGCCTTGGGTACACACTGCTAAATGCGCATTATCATTAAAATGTTGAAAGTTTCCTTCACTTTTTTTCGGTCATAAATTTTCGAACGCGGCTCTGTGGTCACGCCGCTTCCGTTAGAAAACCACCTCGGGAAAACTCTCTCTCTCTAGACGGGCGGGTTAATAATGCATGAGTGGAAAAGTTTGCTGCCAGCGAAAAACAGTTGGCATGAAATTTAAAATTAATTTATGCATTAAACATTAATTTAAATTTGAATTTGAATTGCCAGGGTATGCCTAGAGAGTTCCCTTTGTATGGCAATCATAGAATCCATTACCCACAATTGTTTCGGCAAATCATTGCTCATTTATTGGAAACAATTATTGTTTAGATTTTATATACCCTTAAAATTCCATTTCGAATAGAATGAACTGGATGGTTTTCCATGCAAGTCATATAGAAAAACGTTTGCAAGAGCTTCCCAAACTAGAAATCTCTTCTGCCTTACACAAACCCAAAATTAAATACATTATTCCAGGGATGTGATCAGAAATGCTGACATAATTATTAATCTGAGTTTTCTCGCTCCACCAACAGGTCGACCAGAGCCAACAGTGACCTGGCTGAACGGAACGCGCATCTTAGAAGCTGGTAGCGGAGTCTCGATGGGCCGCCATGTGACCGTGAACCGCCTGGAGGTGGCCCAAATCTCGCGCTCCGCCCTGAACAACACGTACCGCTGTCAGGCTTCCAACACGAAGCTGGTGGCGCCCGTGGAGCGCAGCATCCGCATCGAAATGTTACGTGAGTGGACGGAACGAGCAGTCAATATTGCCAGTCACGCCTAATCACCTTAAACCTTAAACACCCACAGTCAAACCCACATCAGTCAATTTAACCAATAAGTTGAAGGTCTTCGCCTCGAACACGCAGTACAATCTCACCTGCATTGTGGCCGGTTCAGTACCGGACACGGAAATCAAATGGACGCAGAATAATCGGCCCTTCAAACGTGGCCTGGTAAGCTCATCCTCACCCTTAAGCTCTGTCCCTGTGCCCAGAGTCCTCGGCTCTCTAACTCAATCTTGGCCAGGCAAAAGCCTTATTTATGAATTTCCTCCGGTGACCAGCGGGCACTTTTCTAATCGATTTCACTTCATCTCTCCACTCCAAACCACCCAGCTGTCAACGAGCCAGGGCAATGGCAGAGTCATATCCACATTGACATTTTATCCACAGCCCGAGGACGACGGCACGATGCTCAAGTGCGAGGGCTCCAACCCACGGCTCCAGAACTCGGCCATCGAGGACTCGCTCATGATGAATGTCATCTGTAAGTGGAACGCTTTATAGACACACACTAAGAGAAAGAATTTAGGACTTGTTACTTTAGTTTCCATTACTGTGAGCATAAGAAAGTGCATTGTTATTGTGTTAAATACTTTAAGGACTTAACTGGATTAGTTTTTGTTTTAAGATTTTAAAACACAAAAAGTACTGGGAAATTTCTAAGATACCTGCAAACCGCCTATAAGAGAAGGAATACGATGAAAAGCAATATTTCTCCGTGCACACAGATCCCGTAAAAGCGATTAGAATTTTCATAAATGCAGCAGGGCACAAATCAAAGTCGCCTGCGCAAATAAGTCTAAATTATATGGCATTATTTGCATATAGTACAGCACACGCTCCTCTGTTTGGCATTGGCCCAGAATGAAGCCGTTCGCTTATATGTCAATATTTTAGCGTGGCCATAAAAAAGCGAGCGAAAAATTTGTTGCCTGTTTCGGTTCGCTTCGCTTATTTGCTTCAGTGCCTGGAAAATGTCATAAATTTGACTTTATATGATTATCAATTTAAAATCAACAGCAATCGCGACCTTCTACTCTGTCGAACGAAGGGTTAAGGAAACAGCTTAAGTTCCGCCCACACTAAAATCTTCTTTTGGGTTAGTTATTTTTGTGTTGTCACTTTGTTTTGCCAGGGGTTTTTCCTTCGGATAATCATAAATTTATTGAATTTTAAAGTCACACATAGATCCCCAGCTATGTATGCGAAATTCAGCCATAAATATTGAATGGCAAGCGCGTAAGCTGCAAGCTGAAAGTCGGAGAAAGTTTTTCTCTGCCCTTTGACCGGGTCCAGCGTGGAAACGGGGAAATATGAAATTAGAAATACACAAGGAAAAGCTGCTTTAAAGGATTAGCGGAGATGGCTTAAGCTTTTAATGGACGCGCTTTCCATCGGCGAGAGAGCGGACTGGGGCAAATGAAAGGCACTGATTTATTTTACCACTAAAAAAAGAGGAAATTGTTACTACCTGGAATCGACTGGATTACAGTTTCCAGTCTGGTTACCCCTCCTTGGCCATAACAGTTTCCATTTGTTGCTTTCCCCTTTCGCAAGGGTCTCAGCCACCTTCTTCTCGGGGCAATCATGATGTTGTAAAAACGGCAGCCGGGATGGGAAAACACTAAATATTTTATATGATCCATCATTGATATTGGGGCGTTGCTCGCGGCAGCGGAACGATTTTAATTTAAAAATTTCTGTCATACTCATTGGTTAGCCTGTTTGGATCCATATCCGGATCTGGATCGAAGGAAGGCGGCTTGGCGGGTCGGCGGGTTTATAACGCCGCGTTCCGTCGCCGCGTTGTTAACTTTTATGGGCTGCGCTGCGACGTTGTAGATTGATGACGACAACAACGCGCCGTTTTATTATGCAATAATTTTTTTCGATTTTATATTATATGAGGCTCCCTGCAGCCTGGCAATTTGAATATGTTCAAGGCGCGCGAGGAGCTGCCAGCGCATATTTCCATATTTGCGCAGGCAATTATAATGGAAACCTAACTATTAACAAGTGGCTGTTCGTTGATTTTCTAGATCCGCCGCAGGTCACCTTGTCGCTGGGCTCCACACTGCGTCCCGATGACATTAAAGAGGGCGACGACGTCTACTTCGAGTGCCACATCAAGTCCAATCCCAAGGAGCATCGCATCATGTGGTCACATGACGTGAGTTTGGCCGAAATAAAACTAACAACTTGCATATATTAACTTAACTTCTTTACTAGGGCCAACCCGTCACCCAGAATGTGTCCTGGGGCATTATCATCTCCACTCGTTCCCTGGTCCTACAGCGAGTGGGTCGCGTCCACTCCGGCTTTTATGCCTGTTCGGCGGCCAATGACCGCGGCGAAACCCAGTCAGCTCCGGTCAACTTAAGGATAAGATGTAAGTAGCTATGTTCCTTGAGTTATTGCTTATTATTTTAGGCGGCGCTATAAACATTAGTGTCACTTTTGGACTGTCTTTTGCAATGAGCTCAGATATTGTTATTATCTTTAATACCAAGACTTGGCAAACTTAGAACAAACAAGAAATATATGGTTTTCAAACAATATTAAATCGATTTCTTTACAAGCTTTAATGACAAATTTATTCCCAAATAACATCCAACCTCATTGATATGTAAAACCACTTAGGTACTGGAATTTTAAACAAGAAAACGTACATATCTTGCGATCGGAAAACAAAACACTTTATGAAAATCCCATTTTGTAATATTTAACAACGGAGAAAAAACCGAAAATTTGCACAAAAATTATGCTGACAGTTGATGTCAGTGGAGCGGAGCATTAAAAATACATATGCATAAATTTATGCGCAAATAGACGCACACACACACACACACACACTAAGAGAAAAAGGGGGTGGGATGTTGACGCATTTACACATTTATTTCGTACCGCTCTACAATGATAACTGAGCGGGGCAACGCCCACTTGGAAAATTGGCAGCCACAATAACAACAACGGCGGCTGTGCACTTGACAAAATCGCAAAATATCCTTACTTGGCTATCCTCCTCGCCTCCGCCCTTCCGCCCAGCGAACAGACAGGATGGACAACAACAATGTCCAAAAACTAAAGTATGCTAAAATGACAGAAAATATTTTGTGCAAAAAGCCGTAATATGCACAATGCATCGGATCTATATTGTGCCGCTCTCTGTCATCCGTTTACAGCGCCGCATGGAAAATATATCTAGAATATATTTTAAATATATGTGCAGCTTTGTGCGTGAGTGCATTTCGAGTTTGTGTTATGTCAAACAAACGACACAACTCTACAAATTTTTACTTGCCTAAAAGGCATTTTCGTTTAAATTTTCATAGGGGGAAACCCTCGGCCTTGTCGCGACATATAACACAAATTATAATTATATAAAATATAAAAATGGTTTTTTATTATTTAAATTTTTCTTAAATGACCTTCAAGAGTATTTTTTTGAATAACTTTATTTGTAATATCTGTTCAATAGCCTACCATATGTAAACATATCAGAAAAAGGCAAACTCCTACCACTGCTTCTGACATTTTGATAAACCTAATTAAATCTCTGACCTAGCTATCACTCAACTTTAGTTAGAACACTTGAGGGCAAGTTTCGGTTTTGTAAAACCACCCAATTATTGTTATTTACATAAAATAAAACAGCCTTTTATTGTGGCAATTAAATAGTGAGAAAGAAATTAAACATTAAACATTAAAAACCACGTGAGTACTGGCCTAGTTAAATCACAAAAGCAGAAACTGTTTGGCCAATAAAACTTTATCTAATGCCTTTGGACATTAAGTGTGCTAGAATATTCAACACCTGGCATAGTTCCCATGGCTGTAGCCCACTTAATTGACACTTCTGTGGAATCCCCAGCCATTTTAATGGACTCCAATTACGATCGGAGTCAAGCAGGCTGCTCCTTTCCTAGATAACTCAAGACCCGGGACAGGCAAGTGTAAATTGAAACCAAACAAGTGATAACTCAATTGATTTCTAATTGTCACAGCTCTGATTTGAAGTGAACTTCCATTATGCCCATTGTCCTGGCCAAAAGCATAGCCTGGCATGGGCCTTTTCACACTTTCGAGCCCAAAAGTGTATGTAATTATAATTTGTGGACAACACAAAAATAAATGACCGATAAACGCCGCTCGGAGCCTTTGTGTGCACATATTGAAAATGTCTCAATTACCGTTATAGAGCATTTACTTCCGTCTGTATTTCTAAATAATTAATGATGCTTAAATACCAAATGCCAACGAGTGTGTGTTTGTGTTGCTGTTTGCCTGTGCATAAATATGCATATGCTTCATAAAGTAACCGCCGTCCCCGTCCCCGTCCCAGGTCCGGCGTCCGGCGTATCCAACGGGGCCAAAAGTTTAGCCCCCCAAACTTAATATGTCAGCCGGGTGGAGGGTTCAACGGGTGGGTAATAAAAATGAATGATCTGCTTTTATTATCGAAACCCACAGTCATTATTAAACCATTTATAATTATGGGAAAGGTCAGTACAGGTGGGTCAGGTGGCTGCACACACACACACACACACACTTATTCAGCAGGTGCTCTGGGGAATTCAATTTTTATTTTGCATATTTAATACTACAAAAAACAACAAGGCTGCAGTCCCACATGCAAACAAGGCGGGTTAACGAATATTATTTAATTAATTGCCCGGTTAAATGAATATTTTGATGCCATTTAAGCCTGAATTTGCATGGTTAGTTTGTTAAGCTAAAAAAATGTAATATTCCACGATTTGTACGCCTCGCTGCACAGATTCCAAATTTAATTGGTTCGGATTTCAAACTTCAACATTATTTAAACTTTTTTGCTAAGAAAATTAATAAATACATTGCTCTAGAACTTTAGGCCTTTGGCACTGTCCAAGGCTTAACAAATAAAAAGAACTCTAGTGATGAAGAAATTTAATACAGTCATTAGTTCATAGATAACTGATCATCTGCTGTTTATAGAATATTTAATTAGTTTGCCAGGAAAGTGAATACTCTGCCAGGCAGAATTATGAAGCCGAAAAAACACACGTAATTATCCCCGATTTGAGCGCCTCGCTGCACAGCTGCCAAATTGAATTGGTTGCGAGTCCGACCTCCAAACTCAAATAAGTAGTAGAGTTGAGTGAAAACAAAATTTACGCAGCATCAGCAGGGATGTGAAATGGAAAATGAATGAGAAACAACAACAGGAAACAAAGGCGTGTGGTAAAAGGAAAATCGAAATGAAAAACCGAAAACGAAGACATCAGCAAACGTTTGCATTGCCTTGCCATTATCGTTACCGCTGTCGAATACTCAATAACCAATACCCAATACCCAATACCCAATGCCTGTTATCCTTTTTGATAATTACGATAATTGAAAGTAAATACGAGTACAATGCATAAGGATACACCGCCACCGACTGCTGTGCAAATACTACGTGGGCTATTTACACGAGCATCGCGCATACGCCACGTAAACATTTACATACAGATGGGTGGATGGATTGATGGTTGATTGGATACGGAATGGGTTTGGACATGGTTGGAATGGGCTATCCCTGTGGAAGGTTGGTGCCGGGGGTGTCCTTTATTGTGGGACTACGATTGAGATAAATTGATTTATGACTGCCAGCAGTTCGCTCATAACTTGCCACAAATTAATCAGCCAAGGTTAAAATTGACATTCTACGATTGAGAAATTGACGCCATCATAAAAATATTACGAGTGTCGGGAACGCCCTGCTTCCATGGAATCGTAAAATAGAGCAATCAACTGCAGCTTTATCCCTCTAGATGTTTATAATAATCCGAAATTGCGTACTTATGCCGCAGATTCATGGCTTTCTGCAATTTGCATAGCCAGAAAGATGGTATTCGCTCGAGTTCATAATTCTCACAAAATTCCAACTGGCTCTGTCGTTGCTCGGCAAACAATGCCGTGGTTTTCCCTCCTTTTTGGCCATCTAATTGGTTTGTGACCATGCGGAGTTCTGGCCCGGAGTTCTCCCAGCAAATTGCACCTTGCGCTCCAGGGAATTGGCTCTGGCCACATGGCCCGGCCTAGAATAAACCCAAATGAATAGTCCTGGAAAAACGGGTTTAAAGAGTGGAACAATACTATATATATTGATGTAGAAAAATACAGAAATACAAGTTTTTGTTCACTACTTAAAAAACACATCACCGCTGCGATTAACCAAACTGCAAAAATAGAAAAAAATAGATTTTCCTACCCTATTCATAAAAGATACAGTACCTATAAGTACCTTCTACTTGTGAACATTTGACCGGCATTAAATATCTAGCATTTAGGATCCAGAAACCCTTCTTTCATAACAAATATGCAAAGACTCGAAATTTTGTACTTTTTAAACTCTTCGTTTTAATTTTGCTTAAGCAAAAAAACCTTTTAACGACTTAACGACTGTTAAATAATTCATATAAATAATAATTTTCCTGAAGGTTAAAAAAGTTTAGCTTTTATATAAGTGAGTTTAATTCGCCAAAATTTAGCATTAAAGCTCTTTAAGAGTCTTAAATAATTTTTGCTTCTTGCTGTTAATTAATAACCACCGTTTAGATGCACTATTTCAAACTTTTTACAATCCCAATAAATTAACTTACATCCACTAATAACAATTAAAAACATTTTCCATTATGTAACAAGCTCAGATTAATCGCTTTTGACTATCCGAATTCCTCAAGAAAGTTTCTCTATCCAGCGAAAATAGATTTAGAAATAGTTTAGGCATCACTCTACTGCATCGTGTACAAATATTTGTATACAAACTCATTACACGATTTTGTGCTTAGGTTGGTGCGGGCGCACACATTCTAACTTTTCGAATAATTTTTAATAAAAACCAACAAAAAGTGTTGCGGCTTTGGTAATAAATGCCTTCAGGTGCTCAGAGTGTTGCCTGTGTTGTTTGCCACGTTGTTTTGGTTGTTGTCTTTGTTGCCTGTTGTTGCTTTGTCTCTGCCGTGTTGTTTATGACAGGATTCCGTTGCCACAGGGCAAACAAGGAACAGAATGCCACGCACATCGCACACTTGGCGCAGTTTCCAAAAGTTGCTAGCCAAAGTTCTTTCCTGCGTGGGTGTTTCGGTGAGGCGGGGCTGCATTTTTGGCATGCCTCGTGTATGACATAAAATTTCAAGTTCAATCGTTTGTAACCAAAAACGGAAAATGAGTTTACTTTGAATAAATCATGAGTTAAGTGGAAGGGGTGCGCCACCTTTAAGCTATGGCAAAACTTTTACGAGTGCCTGGAAATTCCTTCCAATTTTTCGGGAATTTTAAGCTGGGGGCGTAAAAAAATGTATGCTATTTAATCTCAATGATACTTCTCTCTCCTGAAAATGTATTTTTACTTATTATTATTTCAATATTCAATTTATTGGTAACCTGTTCTCCTATTAAAGTCCAAGGGCTTATGAAAGTGATATCCTGCCTTGGAACAGGCTTTCCAATTAGGTATTATTTCTATTTTAAATGCATGATAAATTCAGTAATTTAATACTTCGTCTTAAAATAGACGTATCCCAAACGAGATTTGAATGAGCCCCCCATACCTGAGGGAAAAGTGTACGCCAGCTGCTTTGTTTAAATTGAAAATCTGAGCTGTCAATTTGCCTGGCACATCCCCATTCTCCGACCTGCCAGCACAATGTTTGCAATATAAATACTCGATATAGACAGAAGACAATCGGACAATTGCAGCTGCTCATTATTTTGCATTTCGACCGTCCTACTCATCCTGCTCGTCCTGCTCGTCCTCCTCAACCTATTCTAAATTCGATCTCTCAATCGTGTCGCCAACAGATGCGCCCGTCTGCAGCAGCAGCACCATCACCGTGATTGGAGCCTCCTTGGAGGAGGCCGTGCCCATTCCCTGCCGCGTCAACTCGGACCCGCCCGAAATCGACTTCGAATGGACCTTCTCCACCAGCGGTGAGCACTTCGAGGTGCCCTCTGGCCACTATGCCACCATCCAGGATCCCACCATGACCACCACCAGCGATGTGAGGCGCACAGTCGTAGAGTCTAACGAAACGCACTTTGAGAGCTATGGTGAGTCGATGTGATATATTAGTAAGTTAGTCCTTTTTAATATTGAATATAAAATTTAAAAAAAGAAGAGGTTTGATTAAGTACTTTGTTTAAGACTAAAAACCAAGCATAGAAAGGTTTTAACAGATTTATCTAAATGTTTATTTTCACTAATTAAACAACGATATTTTATAGTTTAGAGGGTATTTCTTTTTCGAAGTGTATTGCATAGACTTTTGTTTTTACTATTTCATTGCAAGTTTAGAGCCAGCCTTTTGGTGCGATTGCAATGTAGAGGCTTTTGCATGTGCTTGCGCTTGAGCAGGCATTGGAAATTAACATTTCGGAAGGCCTACAGTAGGCCAGAGGTGGCAAACACCTAAACACCCATATAACTGAACAATAGAGGTGTCGGCAAGGGGCTTGCAGAGACTTTTATCATATCATGCACATACTCGCACCGCCTGGTCGCAAATTGGATTATCTCCTGCCGTCCCAGTTGGCTTGACTGAGCTGCTTGGGCAAGCAGAACTTATTTCATTTAACTTTGCCGAAAAGGGCAATTTAATAAGCGTCGGAACTGAATTGCAATTCACACCTGCCTTCTATATTATATATTCTTCATTCGTTATTCTTTATTATATTTACCCGCAGTGGAAACCGTCAGCGAACTGATCTATACGCCCAAAGGAGAGCGGGACTATGGAACGTTGGCCTGCTACGGAAGGAATGCCATTGGAAAGCAATCGGAGCCATGTGTGTTTCAAGTGGTACCAGCAGGTGAGTTTCACCATCTCTCTTATTCATGATCTGAGATAGAGTAGAGTTGCATAAACTAAAGATTTTTAAGAGCCTTAACTGATTAATTATTATTTCCCAAATAATATATCAAACTCAATCGTCCAAAGTTTTAATTGGCTACCTGATATCGTCAATTTGGCGTAGGTCGTGTCATTGTATTTTTTAAACAAGATTTATTTTGCGCAACATAATACGTCTTCTTTGAATGTTGTTTGCCACTGATTGGTTTCGCTTACTCGATCATTGTAGCCAAGCCGGGGGCACTGCGAAACTGTACACTCCGGCCGTATGTGGTGACCTCCGCCTCGCTGAACTCATCGAATCAGACGACAATGCATGCCAATCAAATGCTGCCCACACAATACGGCAGACACGAGTCGAATTACCCGCACATGGAATACGTACGTGAGCGCCATAACAGCAGTGGCAGCAGCAACAACACCAACGCGACTGCCCGGAACAATGTGGCCAATAAAAATATGAGGGGCAGGACAAGTGCTGGCCAGGCCAAATCCAATAATAAGCAGCTCAGTCAGCAGCAATTGCAGCGCCTCAAGAAGCGTACATCATTCACACCGTCCCAGACATTGGCAGCCATCGAAAGGCAGCGCCACAGGAAGCAGCAGCAGCAGCAGCAGCAGCAACATCAGCAAACACAGCAGCAACACCAAGCCACTGCTAGCAAGTCCGATGGCAGCAGCGATAGCAAACCTGATGGATCGCCGGCCAAGTCGCCAAAGCAGCGAATGCGGCGTGCCAGCCAAATCCCGCAGAGACAGGACCAACATCAGCTGGATGCAGGCAGCCAGCTCCAGCTCCAGCTTGCAGCATCAATAACAAGCCAGCGGAAGACGGCAGAATCAAATTTATCAATGTCACATGTAGGCAAAGGCAGCAGTAGCAGCAACATCAACATCAACAGTAACAGCAACAGTAACAATAACAATGGCAAACTGCCAGCAAAGTATTTTAATAAGCGACAGAAAAACATGAACAAACAGAAGCAGCAGCAGCGGCAACAGCAAAAGGGAACAAACGAGCACAACAGCAATATAATCCATCATTATGCAACTTCGAGTTCGAGGAGAAGCAAACGGCTGGCAGCAAATGACATCTTAGCAACTGTGGCGGCAGCAGCCACATCGGCATCATTATCATCCTCCTCGGCCACCTCATTGGCAGCCACTGCCACGGCGGCGGTGAAAATTGAGCAGGATGTTGCTGCTGCTAGCAGTAGCAGTAGCAACAATAAGCGGTCTCGCAAATCCCTAACCACCCTTGACAAACAGCAGAAACAGCAGCAGCAGCAGCAGAAGAAACAGCAGCAGCAGCAACTGTTGCTCCCGCCGAATGCCCCGCAAATAAGCAACCAGCCGGTAGCAGCAATTAGCGGCAACAATGTCAAGGAAACAGCAGCAACATCGGCGCAAGTTGCAGTTGCAACGGGAGTCAAGGACAAGGCGTCGTCCAAAGAAGACTCCACTAACAACGACAACGACAACGACGACGACGACGACGACGACGATGATGATGATGATGACGATGGGGCAGAGATGGATGCTGAAACAGAGACTAATGACGACGAGGAAGATGAGGATGGAGTGGCCCACGATGACGATGCAGACCTGGATGAAGATGTTGCCCAGCTGGCCACCGATGCCGATTACTTGGCCGACGGCCCTGGTGATTTGGAGGAGTACGAAACAGTCGAGGAGGTGGACGGACAGGCTAAACATGTGCACATGTTGTCCCTGGAGGAGCAACTGGATCTGGAGTCACTGGAGGACAATGTCGAAGAGGAGGAGGCTGGCGATGATGATGGCGAGGTCGATGATATGTACAATGTTAGCGATGATGACTTTGTGGCCAGCGTGGCCCTCTCCACATCCGATACTACAGCCAGCATCGTTCAAAGGACAACAGAAGGACCTCACACTAAGGACAAAGCCAGCCAAACCACTGAGTCCGCTGCTGAATGGCAGCTTCCTCATTTCGACTACTCACGCATGGAGTACAGCTTCAGCAATGGGGTCGTCACCCAGAGCTTGCTGGGCGGATCGGGGACCGGGGGTGTGGCTGGCAATGGACACGACGGCTTTTCGGGCGGCGGTACCATAAATTTCGATAACTACGACAACATAATCTACTCCACCATGGAGCTGGAGTGCATGCCTGGCTATGATGGTGGACTGCAGCAGCAGTTCTTCCTCGAGGCCTACGATTCCAAGACCAAAAAACTCCGCCTGAACATGAGCAGCACCTACGTGGATGTGCCAGTGTTCCGGATCGATCTATCAGGTAAGTCAGTCTCTATTCTTAGTTAATCTGCTTGATTATCTTAGGGATAAGGGAACTTAAAATTTGACTTTAAGGTATTGATCAGATGGAGATACTACATCTTGTATACATCAGAAAGATAGCTTAATTGCCATTAATGCAGAGATTTCATTTTTTAGTAACCATGGTATAACCTATAAGTTATCATAGATCATATCTTTTTGCAATATATCTTTTTGCAATATATCTTTTCCTAAAACTCAGAATAAATCTCCTCGTACATAACTTGTTTAAGTAGTCCGTTAAACGGCCAACTCAATTTCTTGGCATTTAATGGTTCCGGGGAAATCCAATATTTCCGCAGATTCTCACAGCCCCAGAGCAATGTTTTATTACACGATGCTTATGTATTATTATATTTAAATGAGGTTGGCTTAGAAATCACGAGGCCCAGGGTGTTGGCGGTACAATATTTACAGTGCTCTGCGAAAGCCGCAAACTAAAGACTTGACTTTTATGCGGCCAACAGCAACAACAGCAACAACAACGAGCAGTAAAAACAAAAACAAATCAAAGTAACAAACTGAGCAAAAAGTTGAGCCGGCGAAATTGCGCGTTGGCTTCAAGACAAGGAGAAAATCCTGCGGCTGGAATGAGGAATAGCTGCACTGGGGAAAAACAGTAGTTCTAAATTTGCATCCTGAGTTTGGTTTGTAATATTTCTAGTTTACGATTAAGAAAGTTTTCCATTACATCGGTTGATATTCTAAGATTAAAATAGGGTATATATTAAACGATTTTCTGTTAAATTTTTTCATGTATTTCTTTAAGAAATTAAATGAATCCTATCATAAAATATATACTCAGAATAGATAAACAGATCAGATAGATTTATTAGCGAGCTAAAAATCGATCCTTTGTCCTCAATCGGTGATTAAGTGGAAAAGACTCTACAGAGCCTCCACTTTGATGTTCCACAAACACTTTTTTACTGATATATTTAAGGAACATGCAATAGTCGAAGTATAGTTTTCCCCAGTGTAGCTAGCCAGCCAGCACTACGCAGATTAATTAGTTGAGGCTGCCAGGACCTCAACTCACCCTTCCCCGCACCTTCTTGTCCCTGAACCATTGCTGGCACATGCTGTTGCCTGTTTTGTTGTAATGAATTTTAGCTAGTCAGCAAAACTTTTATGCCAATGGCGTTTTGAGGTGGGGAATTGGATGAAATAGAATGCGGCCATCGAGCCGAGAGGGTGAGGGTTCTGGCTGGGGGCGTGGCTGGGCCCGGAGGCAGAAGAAAATTCGAATCGAGCTGTTGAAAAAGCAAGATTTATCATGGGGGTTAAGAGGGAACCGAAAATTATAATATTACATTTGATTCTGCGGGTATGAGGCGAGTTAATGAGCCACATTTTGGATTATTAAAGTTGGCAACTTGGCAACGGGAGAGATGGCCCGATCTGATCCCAGCTCTATGTTCCATGCCCCATGCTCCGCAGGCTGCAGTGGCATCTTTTTCAGCCAGCCTTACCATATCGATGACTCGGGGTTAAGGGGTTTCGGCGATATTTGCAAAGTCAAACGAAGCGTAAAGTCACGATTAGTTAGACAGGCGTGTTAACGACGCTGTCGGGGAATTGGATTGGAGGGGGGGTGGCGGTGTCGATGGTTATATCGGGGTGTTTTGGGGGCTTCCAGCAAGTGTTTTTCTTCCTGCGGCCTGCCAATGTATGCGTATTAGTCCTGCCACGCCCCTCCACCTCTAGGGCCACCCACCGCTGTGCAGTAGTTGCCATTTTAATGAGCTGCTATCGGTGCAAGGAGAGCAAGGGCACAAACAAAACTTTTGATGCGCGCATTAAGAAAAACCAGAAAAACGGAAAAACAGAAAAGCTGAAAATCGGAAAATCAGAAAACACAGCAGGGCCGCAGGGAGAAAAACACACGCAGAAGGGAACTTTTCATTTTATGCGACCAAAGTTTCGCACCGCGACGTGCTAATTAAATGCCTGTTTGCCTAATGAAGTTTGCACAGGGCACTACAAGTTTTAAATTAATGATCAGGGATGACCTGGCCATCCTTGTACTAGAACTAAATTTATGAAATTTACTTTTAAAATATGAAAATTAGGTATGTGGGGGGAATCCTTCAAATTTAAATCTTCTATGATTTAGAACATATTTTATTTTTCATTTCATAGGACTTAAATTTACAAAATATTTAAAAGAATGCAGCGTAGAAAAATGTATATTCAAAATATGTTGTTGCATACTTTTAGGCACTGTGTCATTTATCATGATTAATCAGGGTTTTTCTTTTTAAATATTCTTTGCTCTTCAGTATCTGCTAGCTCACAAAGAAGTTAATCACTTTGACCTGCAGTTAATCATGGGACTAATTATTTTCCTCATTCCGCCCCAAACAGATCTGATGCCCATGGACTACTATCCCGATGCCCACCCGGCCCTGCACTTGGTCGTCTACAGCGTCAATCAGAAGGGCCGCTCCGAACCGATTGTCCTGGAGAATGTGCCCATCAATGAAGCGGACAAGCGTTCAGGTAGGTGTACAAAAAAATGAGAAGAAAAACTACTGGAAAGTTTTCCCAGGTGTGCGGGGATGGAAGCTAGGGGAAACTTTCCCTAGACCAGGACCAGAACATTCATTGCTTTTTAAGCACCATTTCACCTTTAAAAAGTCATTCAAGTATTTGCATATTCCGCTTAACCGTTTTAGTTTCTTTCTTTCATTCATTTCTCTGTTGTGGTTGTTGTTGCCGTCGCTGTTAGTACAATTGCTCTTTTATTTAACGAGTTTTGTTTACGCTGGGGCGACACTGCAACTCCACTTTGCCACATCTTCCATCCTCCGTCCTCCCCCAGCTCATCCACTCATCCCTTCATGCCACATCCATGGCTAGCCAAAGTAGTGACACAAAGATTTCTTATTCATGCTTTGTTATTCAACTTTGACGCTAATTTTCTTTAAAAGTTTTTCCGCTTTTCTGCGACAATCGAGGTAAAAAGTGTGAGAGTGCTTGTTTTTCGAGAGAGTGTGTAAAAGGTTATAAATTGCGAGGGGAAATACCTGGAAAGTCCTTATGAAAACCGCATTTGTCACGCAGCATTGACCTTAACTTTATTGATAGCCCAAAAGTCTGGTAAAGCTTAAGAAAAATGGTTTTATAGCAACTACAACCTTGAGTTTAGCATCTTACTTATTTCTAGTGTTGTGTTTTAATCTATTAGAGGCAAAGTAATATTTATTTAAGTTAAAATTGGTTTTGCCTTCAATAGCAATGAATTTAGGTATTTATTTAAACTTAATCGATTGCCTTTGAGTTTGCAATTATCGTTCTGTCCCAATAACATTATAATAGTTTAAGACGAGTAACATGGCATAATACTGCTGAAAGTAAACTCGTTACACATCATATGGTAATTTAGCCAAGAAATTGAAACTGATTTAAAATGGAATATAAACAAGCAGGCCCGTCTACGACTCACATATTCGAGATGTGCATGAAACTTATGAAAATACGTCAAGCCAACACAATTATTCCTAATAAGCACTTAAATAATTTGCATTATTATGATCCGGTAAATCCCTAAACTATCCCAACACTTTAGCAAGACCAAAATAGATTCGTTTTGCGGGGAGGGCATTGACAGGTGTATGCCCCATCGTTGTGGAATCAACGATACGATATGGTTAAATTGCATTTGTTGTCCCATATTTAAACAGCAGCGTCACGAGAAAATTATGCACCAGCATCCAAGTATTTATTGCATCAGCAATTCCAATGGCAACACTACCTGACCAGCATCATTATTAAAGGCACCGCACGGAGAGTTATGTGTTACTTATGTTCCGAATACTGTCCGCACTTGGTCAGCCAATAATGTTTATCTGCACAATTGCATATTTGAACGCTTGGGCTGCCAATCGCCATGGACAACAAATCCACTCAATCATCTCCTAATGCGCTCCAGACACACAAACCATGCCCATAGAGATGGAGATGGCTCCGGCAGATGGCCATTGTCCGGGAGTGTGAGATGGTTAGATAGATTGAATGCTGGCCAACTTATCCGGCGTACTATATCACAGCTCGGTTACGAGTTACTAGAAGACTTGGCCTCGTGTGTGTGTGGGCGACATAATTTTGGAGTATGCAACCAGCCAGTACGTGGGCTTGCAATACACCTACTCCAAGTGTCAATATTTGCACCTTGGTAAATCTAAAAGCTTTTCTGCCAACAGCCGAATAAAATCGGTCAGAGGAGTGGGAGGGGCGGCTGGAACATTTTACAATGGCAACACTTGATGCCACATTAATGTAAATATAATCAATTTCATGTTTTAGCCAAAAAAGCGATGGCAACGATGGTAAAACCCCAACAGAGAAAAGAAATATCTTGTTATGCTAAACTGACACACAGAGATTCCCCAGGAGTTACATTATTCCACCAGCATTCACCCAAAAGCACTGAGAGAAAAATATGGTGTGAGAGGAAATATTAGAAATTCGGGAAATTTTTGTATCTTCTTTCTTACTGGAAGAACCAGATTCGAAATAGGTTTCTGACTTTCCCCGGCTTATTTTACATTCTAATATTATTTTAAGGGCTAGTTCCATTTTTCTCAGTGCACACACATCCACTCTGTGGTCGCAAGGTAACAAGGTATCAAAAGCAGCAACGGAAACCGAACAGACATCGGAGCTATAGCTTTTGATACAGCCGCACGTTGAGCTGGGGCCCAAAGCCCAGGCGCACAAAATATAAACGATTACTGTACGACAAGAAAAAATACATTAAACATGTCTTATCTGAATACAATATCCCAAAAGACAACGGTGCAGAAAGCGAAGTGAAATAAAATAAAATTATATGTTGCGTCGGATCGAAACGCGGCATGGTGTGGTAGGGAAATGTGACCGCCGTTGCAATAGATGACAGCCAGCTCGTACCTTGCCCCGTGCCACTTGCCACTGCCGCGTCTGCTTGGTTTCCTTGAAATGGAGCGCCAGACGCAGACACCGTCTTCTTTATTTATGCTTACTTTGTGTAAACGCATTCCTGCCTTAAAACCCACATGGGCACGCCGGGATACACTGGCAGAAAAGGGCTGTGCTCATAGTGGGGCCTTTGTGTTATAAAATGAAGGTAGTTTCCAAGTAAGGATTCTTGGATATGCAATATTCGCTTGTCAAACTGAGTTTTTCTTCTTTTCAGGACCTTCCTACAAAAGAAAGATTGTCCTTCAAGTTTTCTCTCAGTGTCTTGAGTATTCCCAATACATTTTAACCAATCCACTTTTTCATCATCTCATCGAATCATTTATATCTCAAACGGGAGCATTAAATCGAATTAAGCTTATGAGAAGAGGCAGCCGGAAGGAGGATAGCCAGGTCCTGCACTCATCCAAATGAAACCCATGCAAACAATTGGCTTATGAGCGGCACGCAGGACCTGGCTCCAGATCCAGTGCTCCAGCTCCTTTTCCTGGTGGTCGGATGGCGGTATACAGGATATAGATACTGCAGACCGGAGCCACTGAGCTCCTGGTTGCCACACGAAGTGACTCGCTCGATGGCTCCTGGGTTGGTTGTCTGGCTTATCCGCTTAAGTCGGGGCATGTGCATAGAGTCGGGCCCCCAGTCGGTTGGCACACCATTCCAGGTGGTTTTATTGGTAAATATTTGCACAAGTGTGAAAATTTCATTACGCCAGTGTGCTTATATTTAAATTAAATTTCTTTTTCTTCTGGCATCTCATCTTGTGTGCCATGTCGTCGGTCGTCCGTCGTCGGTCTTTGGCCCCAGTTCCTGTTTCTGTTTCTGTTACTGTTACTGTTTCTGTTTCAAGTGCCCTCTTCCTGGTTGCCAAATATACATTTTATTTGGCAAGCGATTGCTCGATTCGGTTTTTTATTCCTTTATGCCCTTTGTGTTGGGTTGGCTGATGCGATTGGGGATTTGTCGCCGGCGGAGCGGATATAAGATACATATACATATATGAGCTCCAAACTGGATAATTCGAAAATGTTTCCCGCCCACATACAAAGGTGTTTCAATCTTAGTGGCAATTGTTAGCATAAATGAGATAGTGAATTACGTATCCGCCATGTGGTATCGTTTGGCTGAGTATCAAACGGAATGATGAATTTATAATGAATTATTCCCACTCCAGCATGACATTAAATAAAATGAATAAATTTGGCATTTCATTTAATTCACTCGCTTGCCAATCTGCGCATCGATTCATAAATCATTTAAACGCAACATGAGCAAATCGAAATTAAATAATACTTTATCTGCTCGGATGAGCGTTAAGAAATGAATAGGGGATCGTATTTATATAGCCCAACCAAATGTGTGCGTGTCCAATTTGGAAATTAGTTAAGCCCTCTGGATTTTGGCCATAGGTCCCGTGATTGATGGCTTGTCCTAAATCAGAATTTGCTTGCCGCCTGCAATTGCCAGGCAGTTGGCCCGATCTAATTAAAATTAAAAATGTTATATGTCAGCTTGTTAGATGTTCTCCCTTCGCCAGCCCTCTATCCATTTAGTTTGGGGGTTTTGGTTTGGGGAGTTCTATCCAAATACAGATAGCTTCAGAAGTTTACAAATGTGTTTTCATGTCAAAACAGGGAAATCTGGAGTTGGGAAACTATTTTCGAAGCAAATTTATATAAGTCTGAAGTTTTTAATGTTATTTTAAATAAACAATTCATATTAAAACAACAATATGTTTAACAGTTTCCTCAGTTATTTTAACGAAAATTACATCAGCTTATTACAGAGTTATTAAATCAGTGTAAAAAAGTAAATTAAGGAGTTTGAAAACCTTAAAATAAAAATCTCAAACTTCTATTTTGCCATATTTTGTATACACATTGGATCCATGAAAAGAAGAGCACACCTTGGTGGCTTTTAGCTAGGTTAAACTCGATAAATAAACTATAAAAATCTGAAAACGAACAACTTTTAACTTTCACATTTCGGACGCGGTGTGTATGGCTGAGCACACAGCTAGGAGCATATATTTGTACTTTTTTGTAAAAGTCATGTGCCAGCAATTACAACCCACGTACAAATTGGACATAAGCGATGGCTAGTGGGTGTGTGGGTGGGACTCACAGTGGGTATTTTGTACGGATGTGTTCGCTTAGAAGCAGCCATGCATAAATGAGCAATTTCGCCAGCGGCGCAGTTTCGTCAACATTTGGCACAGCCAAAAGAATATTTATTGATTTGCAACTTTGGCGATTGGCTGACAACCAGCCCAGGTTTATAAATTAGCAACCGTCTGCCCCGCCCATCCATTACCTTCCCATTACAGCCTGTTGGTAGCATGTCGATTGGTTGGTACAGTGAGCTCTAGAAAGGATTGGAAATTTGCAAATATTTTAAACAAGGATTTTTGTATTAAAAAGGGAAAGAGCTGACAAGGTCTATAGCAGTTTGCTATTTGATCCTTTATGGGTTCTTTGCAGGAAATTAAATTGTTTTTCAAGATTATTTTAACAAGGCTTCCTTGATTTCTGTCTTATATAACTTTCACTGTATTTCTGTTTCCTGATTCCGTCTGATGTTTGCTTATTGAAATTCTGCGTTGCATATCCGCAGGCGCGCACGATTTGTTGAATGTCGAATATATGTACATTCGTAGTATACAAAGCCGGGCGTCGCGTCGCATCGCTTAGGTTGCGTATACGCAGTGTGTGCGGCCTTGTAATGCATATTCAATTACGATTCCCCCGAATAGCCCGAAAATCCAGCTGGCAAACGGATTTTAATTGAAATGCTTAGCGCTGACGTTAAAGCTATCGCAAATACAACAAACTAAGCAAGCTACTGGCTGAGGACCGCTGCCTGTGGCAGCCACTTGACATGCGACGTGCGTTTTATGGTTGGCAAGTGCAAGGGGCGGGGGAAATATCGGCCGATATGGTATACTAGGGCTAGAGGGCTGGGTCAGACCATAGAATGGCTGCTGGCTCGGCTGAAAAAGAGCTGGGCGAGCAGCAGTCAAGTGGCCAGCGCCACATCCAGTTTATTGGACCCTCGACGACCAATGGCTATTTATCGAATTCAGTCAGACAAAGAACTGGCTTATTGCTTTCATCATCAGAATCCGGGAGAATAACGTGCATATGTGCCGTTCACGTGTGTTTTATTTCACAATTTGTATTTTAAGTGTCGCGTTCTCAATTAAATCGCATTCGAACTTAAAGGAACTTAATGTACATTTTAATGATTTTAAAGACCACATTCAATAAGTAAAAATATTATCCTAGACCCTAAATAAAATAATCAAATATAAATATATATATAAAACACAAAATTTAGAAGCAAACAACGTTTTGCAAACCAAATTCAATAAAGTCATTAATAAAGTTTGTTCTTTGCTTGTCTACAAATAAAAACGTATCATTTTTAGTAAATACTTTCAATAGCAGAGCACTTAATAAGCAAATCAACAACTTTCATACCTTGTTTTTATTTATATTTGATTTGATGTTCCAATAAATGTATACGAATAAAAATATGAACCATCATTAACTTATCTTCAAGTATCAAATTCATTATAGAAAATAAATTTTAACAAGGGAAACAGCAAAACAAAAACACAATCACTCACAAAATGTTCAAAATATTTTAATACCTATTGCTAATTTATAAACTTCTTTAAACATCTGGAAAGACTCCTAAAACCTAATAGTTGTTAAGACACATCCTCTGCCGCAATATCCTAATCGTTTTCCCATCTATTACCTCTTTTTACAGATGGTCGCATGGGCCTGTCGATTTTGCCCCTGGCTGCTCTCCTCGCCGGCACTTTATTCACTGTGGGCATAGCGGTTCTATCCGTGGTGGTCATCGCTGTTCGCCGACGACGTGGCCAAGGAGCCCGCAATATGTGCGATGACAAAGACAAGCACCTGGGTGAGTCATTACAATATAAGAATCGCCGTATGGTTCTGTATATACTCTTTAGGAGGTCTTAAAACTCCTTCCAGTGGGTTTTATTCCAAAGTATAAGAATACATTTCAGTTTATAAAGTAAACACTACCTATAATGTAGAAAAGATCACCAAAAGGATGTGTTTTCTTCTAAGGAACACATATTTTTTATGTGTATTTTTCAGTCACTTTAACCCTAGAGCTTAGTTGAATAAATTTCGATTTTATTGGAGTTTTAAAGTATCTAATGAGATATAACATTTCTAAATAAAGAAAAGCCAATATGACTCTTAAAAAATAAACACTTTTTAAACTCTTTTAATGAAAAAAATTAAGTAAAGTTGATTTTAGCTTTTTAGCCATCAGAAACCCTCTAGAAATAATACCCCTAAAGCGAGTTCAAAGTCCCTCAGCCCCAGGCTAACCCTATATCCATCCAGTTCGCTAATGTTTCATACTCCTGACAGGCATGGATGTGACGGTGACGGCGCCTCTGGAAACAGGAGCAGGCCATCAGCGGCTCGTGGTGGCCTACACCCTGAAGCAGGGCATCGAGAAGCAGCCGGACATATTGAGCGCCCAGAAGAGCGCTACAACTGGTGGTGACGCCTCGTCGCCGTTGGGAAATCGGCCGAGTGGTTTGTTCGCTGGCGGAGGAGTGGGTGGTGCATCTGCCGCACCCATGACCGGCAACACTGGCGGCCACAAAACCACGGATTATGTAAGTGCCAGTGGCCAGGAGGAGGCGTTGCCCTCTGACTGTGCCATTTATGTAGCCGGTACCACAGGAGTTTCTTCTATATTCCCACTAAATTAAAAGCACTTTTTATGAAGTTAGTATATGGTCTAAATGATGTGACCAAACTTCTTACATTACCAACATTTTATTAAGATTAAATATGGATCAAATATCAAGTGTTATGATGATTAAATCATATTCAATCCATTAATGGATAAATTCCTATTTAGTACCGAAAACAAAAATGCTTAAAGCCATCGACAAGCCCTCTAACCAATTGCTCTTTGCAGGACGCGAATGCGACGCACTTGAACAGCCCGCCCTCGCAGTCCAGCACCTTGAAGCTGGAGAGTGACCCAGCGGCGGGAGGTGGAGGGGTTGGAGCCAATGCCCGGAGCGGGAACGCCCCACCACTCCTCTACGATGCCATGCCCACGCTGAGTCGCTACGAGCAGCTAGGGCTGAGCATGGCCAGCTATTCCGCCGGAGCGACAGGAACTGGGGGCAGTAGCAGCACCTTGAGCTCCGCCGGCAGCACGGTGAGCAATGCAATGGCCGGCAATGGAGCCGCGGGGGCGGGTGGCTATGCCGCTCACCTGCACCACACGCTGCCCCACAACATGGCCCCCCAGCGTGGCCACGATCCGCTCAACCTGGCCGACTACCTGACCACCAGCAGCCTCATAGACTACGGCCTCAACAAACCGCCCGCTGCGCACATGACGCTGCCCAAGGGCATGGGTCTGGGCCTGGGGATAGGCGTGGGTGTGGGTGTGGGAATGGGTCCTGGAGCGAGCATGGGCATGGGCTCCGTGATGGCCGCCGGCACCAGCCTGTCGCCCTCGCAACTCAACACCATCACGCACAAGTCGGCGGCAGGACGTAACCACATCATCACGGACACTCTGCCCGGTCCGGAGAGCTGCGTCTAAGCACTGGGCCATCGAGCTCATCCTGGCATTCCGGAATCCTGGCATCCAACCAAAAGACTGGCGCACAGCAGTAGCCCAAACACACAGCCGAATCAAAGTGACAGCGAACTACTAACTAGTCATGTGAAGCTGCGGTCAAATTAGTGGTCGAGGGGATACCAAAAATGCTTTTAAAGTATATAATTTAAACTTGATTAGTAACTAAACTTTAGACAGTTTTATAAACTATCACTTTTTGATCGATTAATAAGCCACTGCCTATAAGACATCAAAGGAATAACTCAAGTTTTAAGATCCTCTACAAAAGTCAAATGACATTTAAACAAATTTGTTAGCTTGATGGGAATAGGTTAATAAAACTTTTCACTTTTTTTTTAACAACAAATGTTTTTAAAAAACTATAGGTAAAGTTTTAAAGTGGTTAAAAAATATGAAATGAATGGAATTATAAAACATTTAAAGAGAACTGTATGAAAATATTATTTTATGTAAACTGACTTAAGGATAAAATTACTTTAAAAACCCATTCCAAATACTGCCACTCAGAATTAATATGTCCTACTGTGTTTTAGATGAGATGTGAGCTTTAAGTATTTCAGCTGTTAAATGTTAAATCTATCGTTACTACTAATTTGACCGCGGCTGTATGTGGAAACCCTGTTCGGCGAAGTCGCTTAGAAGTAATAACTAGATCTAGTGGAGTAGCTAAAGTACGATTATGTATATGTAATGCGTGTGTCTGTGTCTCCGTTCGTTTGTAAATGTTTAAACTAAGCGTAACCGTAGTTGTACTTGTATACTATATCCTTTGACTGGTGTAAGCCGGAGCCTGCTCCCAGCTCCAAGCATCGAGTTGGGCCTATAATTTAAGGGGCACTCCCCCAAAAGGTGAAACTAATCTTCCAAGCCCTCAACTCATCGCCGGAATGTTGGGAGCAGAGCTCCACAACAAAACTTGTTGTTAAATCTGTTTGTCCCGGCTAAAATAGGAGCAACATATCCTCCCCACAAGAAACATATCCCTTCTTGCCCCAGCGAAAAGCCAGACGCAACTATTTGAACTGCCATCGCAGACCGAGATCAAAGTCGGGCTGACCCAAAAACCAAAAACAAAAAAAAGGAAAAGTTATATTGGACACGTCTTGCGCCATTGCGTGCCCAGTGCTGGTCATTATTTAACTTTTAAACACGCGCCAAAAACAGCAGCAGATTTGAATTTAATGGTCACAGCAGCCGCTCCCGCTCCTCCATTATCCATTAACCTCCGCATCCTCAGTATCCACCGCCATTAGCAGTGGAGGCAGCCAACAAGTGAGCAATAAAGAAAAGTTTAGAAAAAATATCCCAATCCCCATTCGGAATCCGAAATCCAGGACCCAGAGTCCCCTGCCCCGCTGATAAGCTCACAGGCGATTGAATGGCTATGAAGCACAATGGACGTGGATGAGAACAAGAACTGGGAACGGATTTGTGCGCACGATAGCGCAAAACGATGACAATAAATGGAAAAGTTTTTAATAAGCTAATAAAATGATTTATGCGGGTCGAGCCGGAAAAAAAGGCAGCTCCAGCTACAGATGGCTATTTGATGGGCCCGATTCTGGTCACTTCCGACACCTCATTGACGGACCACACCAGTTAACCGGTTGGACCTCACCACACACAACGAATGCAGTCTTGATTATTATTTATGGGCCATTAAATGGGTCGGCCCCGACCTCCTGGTAGTTCAAATAGGAGCGAAACTCTTTCGATTATCGTACTATTCATTGGCAATTGTTAACAAGGCATTAGCACACCAGAAATTCTTAAACAATGCTAGATAAAACAAAAGTAAACTATATCATAGACAAGGGCTAGACGACTATAAGTGTTCAAACGTTTGTCATATCAGTTGAGCGATTTTCTTTTCGGTACACGTCTTGACCTTCTAACGAAAATCAGCATCGGAAAACAATGGAAAACCAAACATATTTAAGCTTAAATCATCGATAGCGTTTAGTGAAATCAATGTAATGTCATAATGTTTAAATGTAAAAGTTATAGCATCCAGGAAAACTGGTAGAGAAAATCGTAAACTTCCTCCAAGTTTATACATAGGCAAAGGACCCCGCTGTAGATATCCAAATCGAGTGCGAGTAGTGGAAATTTTTAAACAAACCCAAAACCTGTAGCATCACGCCATATGTCGAGATCAGCAAATACTATTTTATGAGCCTCAAAGAGGCCAACGTTGTACATACATGCAACCCCCATCCCCCAAGAAAAATACAAACAGACATATACACATCATTGTAACTAACTACATATGTAAAAATGCTTAAAATATTTGTGATAAAGTAATAATGTTAATGATAAGAAATAAAACGTAAACATATTAATGAAAATACATTGAGTTTGAATTAAATCAAGTTGAATTTGTTATTTGGGAGCTGGGCATGAAGGTTTTTTTTTAATAACTTTTTGCTCTTTATTATAAATTGCCATTTCGCCTTTATCAATTTAGTAAAAAGAAGGTAAGAAATACTTGTTATAAAGAAACCCTCTTAAGATTTCCCTTAAACTAAAAGTAATGCCTCTAAGGCTTCTTGGAAATGCTTTGCACTATATTTGTAATATTTATGTTTGCACTGTGAACAGCATGTTATAATTTACTCGGAAAAGTTTAAAATTTTATCAATTTGTAAGATCTTTGATGTTTAACTATAAGGTCCAATGAAGGTATATTGGTTCGAACGAATTTTAAAATTTTCAATTTCCATTTTCTGAAAAGGGGTTAAAAAACTAAAGTTAAAAATATTATCTAATTTATGAAATTCTCTAAAACTGATTGAAATTTAAGTACTCATACCCGTATACCAGGAAATATATACTAATAAAATTTTAGTTAAATTTAGTGTGGTATTAAGTTCATCAAAGACAGCGTGCCTTAGTTCAATCATGTAAAAATAACAATTTGTTTAAAATTATTTTTTTTATTTTAATTTTTTTTTTAATACAATAATTGTTAATCTTTCTCGTTTTTAATATGATAACTAGCAGCACAATTAATACAATATCGTGGTTAACAGACGTTAAGACTTGAATTTGAATATCTTGCCGTTCACAATAGATTGCCCGCGAAATGCGCGGAACAGTGTTGAAAAGCGACCGGACCAGCCAGTTCCCAAAATGTACTAACGCGTAGGGAAAGCATAAACATCTGTTTTTTGGTGTCACAAACATGTAGGAGGATTATTTACGTGATTATTTACTTATTTGGAGGGCTTTTTTGGCGTCCCCAGCATAAACACTTTCCGTTGAGAGAGCTCAACTAAACAAAAGTGCAAAATTGCCATGGCAACGTGAATCCAATGTGAAAAACAAACACCTACAACAGACCCTTGAAGATCGTCGCACGCAATTGAACATTATTGCATCAGAAACGAGTTCCTCGGACCAATTTCAAACGTGAGTGGAGTGGGAGTGCATTGACGTGCTTTTTTGTTTGGCTGATGCAATCGATGTGCGAATTATGTTGAAATTATGGTGAAATCCCGACCTCTCATGGGAAGTCCCACATAGTCTTCAGTTTAGTTTGTTTGCAATCGCTGACACGTATGGCAGTTATTCCCCAGAATTCAAACGGAAAGCAGAGCTTTTACAATCAATTTCAACATATAGCGTCATTCGCATTCGCAGCTGATCCCATCAAAACAAAACGCATGTGTAGAAAATCAGATTGGAAACAAACGCTGCGAAGACAAGACGCGAAAAGCTGACAAAAAATACGACTAAAAACTTATGGGCCTCGTCGACCCGAAAGTCCGCTTCTTTAAGCAATTTAAAATTTAATTAAGCATTGTGTTGATGTTGTAGACTGAATTAATTTAGAGTCTTTTAATACGGTTAGTGATTTTTACAAATAAGATATTTCGTTTCAGAACAATGATTTGATTTTTATGATTATACCATATATTAATGTACGTGCTTGTAATATGTAATACATCTTTACATATCTAGGGTATTTGATTTTTTACGTGACAAAATGGAAAATTGTCAAGAAAGCTAAACATTTTTTTACACCTACAAACTTTTCGAACGCTGTGATACAGTTGAAATCCAGATAAAAAATTGGAGTTGTGTGATATAATACAATAAGATTCGAAAATTTTAGTTTTACGATTTTATATGTTATAATGTGGCATTTTACCTCTTCTTTTATATTTTTGCTTTTAAATTTATTTATACGTTATGATTTTGATTAATAATTAAGTTTAATCTAATTTGAGTTCCATCAATAGTCTAAAAGTGCACGAGCAATCTAACTTTAAACACTTTTTGAAATAACAATTTAAATTTGTTTATCTTTGCTACACTGCACCCACTACTCCAAGTGTAGGGTACTACGAAAGCTCTTGAAATAATTTATGTACTTCGGGCATTCTCTGCTCATTGCCTTTCGGTTCGCACACTCATTCTGGTTCGTTCGCGGGCGCAAAACAAAGCGGAGCAGGTTATAAACAAAATCGAAAGGTAGCCAAAAGTGGAAAGCACAAGTACAACCACACGGAACCCAAAAACCCAGAACTGGGAACCCAGATAGCCGAATAACAGACTCGACCTGGGCAAATGAAAAGCACAGCCAAAATCGATATTTTGTGCCAGCGTCGCGCGCAAATAGGAGCTGTTTCAACGTTTAATTTCGCGAATTATTTCAAACCGTTTGGTTCGGATAGCGAGACAAATTAATCGAAAATCTGGTAAGATTTTTGGGAAATAGGCTTTCGGTATTATTGGCTTTTCCAGTTTCCTTCGTTTGTATTCAAACAAAAGCAAATGTAATGACAAACATAAACAAGCGTTTCAAGGTCGCAGCGAGTCAAAGAGGACGGCCAAAAAAACAAACCAAGAAAATTTTGGTTTTGACAGATACACATAAGCAAAAACGGTTGCGATTAAAAAATAGCAAAACACAGATACAGTTTATAGAAAGTAATATAAAGCTATATAAAAATGATTAACCGAAAATGCAAGAATAAAAGAATTCAACTTGCATATTTTCGAAATTGTTTGAGAACCACTTAAATGCCTTATAAAATCGTTAATTCTTTAACCAGTTCAAAAATGTTTAATATAACATCCTAGTTATTTTAAATATTAAAAATTCTATTTTTGGCATATTAAAAAAACCTTCTTAAAAATGTTGTTAAGAATTATTTATAAAACAAGATGAGTTAAGACATTAAATAATATTTGCTTGTGATATACATTTGTATGTATGTAGATACATAAAAATGTATCTCAATGCTATTATTTCAGCCACAGCTGTTCTAAAATCTGTTGTGGATGTTTGTATTTCGATGTCGCAATTGGCCCAAAATGTATTTTCTTCTTCAAAACAAGGCGTTCCTTTGTTTCAACGAAAATTAATTGCGTTTACCCTGTTTTATTAATAAACTTACTCATTTAAAATTATTTTCATTCTCTTCCAGCCACACAGTATGGAGTCCTTCCTGAGCCTATTCGATCCCAACCAGGACGACGGCTTCGAGGAGGAGACGGAGCTAAATGGTAACAGCAGCGGCGGCGGCAGCAGTAGCAGCGATTATGAGACGGACGCTAATGCCAACGAGTGCAGCCTGAGCCACCTGAGCAGTGGATTGCCCACCGAGAGGGGTAACCTGATCTTCGACTTCGAGCAGGGAATGCTGCCACCAGAGCCCCAGCTTGGGAATGTAGAGTACAAGTTGAAGCTGGTTAACCCCTCGAAGCAGCGTTTCGAGCACCTGGTTACCCAGATGAAGTGGCGACTGCGCGAGGGTAATGGCGAGGCCATCTACGAAATTGGAGTCTCCGATGCCGGCTATCTGCAGGGACTCAGCGACAAGGACATGAATGCCTCTCTCACGACACTAAAGCAGATGGCCCACAGTCTCGGAGCCAGCACCTCGGTGCTCCGGCGGAAGACCATCGCTTCACGACGGGCCGTGGCCGAGGTTTTGGTGCGGAAGATCCCCGACGACCAGCATAACATAGAGGTGCGAGTTGCAGTGCTCGGAGGAGCTGATGCCGGCAAATCCACTTTGCTGGGCGTACTTACGCAAGATGAGTTGGACAATGGACACGGCAGGGCGCGGCTCAACATGTTCCGACACATGCACGAGATACAGTCGGGTAAGAGTCGATTACGGGTCTTGAATAAAGATGGAGAATTTCACATATGTATACGAGGTGTGTTCAAAAAGTAAGGTGACTCTTCAAATTTCGCGAATTTCAAATTTTTCGATTATCGAAACCTTTTAGAAGTTATACGAGGTGTGTTCAAAAAGTAAGGTGACTTTTCAAATTTCAAATTTTTCAAATTTTTCGATTATCTTCAGTTTTGGGAACAAGAAAAAGTCACATGGGGCCAAATCCGGTGAATATGGTGGCTGAGGCATTATTGTGGTGTTGTTTTTGGCCAAAAAATCCAAATCCTTTGATCCATATTTTTCGATAGCAAAAAATCGCCGAGCTCGCAAAACAACTTGTAACTTTACGCCTCTCACAACCAAACAAAAGAGGATGTTCCATTGAAACTTGGTACAGATGTTAGGGAAGAGTGTACCAATATAACAAAACAAAAAAATCGATAATCGAAAAATTTGAAATTCGCGAAATTTGAAGAGTCACCTTACTTTTTGAACACACCTCGTACTTTAACTTTAAAATATATCTAAATCCAATAAGTAATTCACATCTTGAAGTACTGCCAGAAATGCATGTTTGAAATCACATTCCAAATAAACGTCTTATCATTGGTAAACCCCCAAATCCATTATCTTGGCTGCCTTCACTTACGCATGCATTTAATTTTAACTTCACAGTTATTTTACTCCTTTCTTAGTAAAGGAAAATTCAATGAAATTATTATGTAGTTTCAAATTTTCTTGGTATTTCCTATATAAAATCATGAACTTAATTAAAAACGCAATTTCCTTTGTTCTTTTAGGTCGAACCTCCTGCATCTCCCACGAGACGCTCGGCTTCGATGCGCTAGGAAATGTGGTGAACTACAAGTACAATGAGATGATGACGGCAGAGGAGATCAGCGACAGGTCCAGCAAACTGGTGACCTTCATGGACCTGGCCGGGCATCGGCGCTACATGCGTACCACCGTTCAGGCGCTAAGTGGTTACTCACCCCACTATGCCATGCTTGTGGTATCGGCGGGCAGCGGCTGCAACGACACCACCGAGGAGCACTTGGCCATAGTCCGAGCATTGGACATGCCCTTCTTTGTACTGGTCACCAAAACGGACATCACTTCGCCAGATGCCACGGTGCAGGAGTTGTGCAACCTGCTCACCACGATTGGTTGCCGTAAGGTGCCCTTCGTGGTGACCAACACGGATGAGGCCATCTCTGCCGGATCAAACCAGGTCTCTGAGAACATAGTGCCCATCTTTTGCGTGTCAAATGTCACAGGCACTGGCCTCAACCTAGTCACAAAGTTTTTGTACGTCCTTTCGCCTGGCATCAGCAACGCTGAGAAGGATCGCCTCGAGCAGGAGGCATGCGAGTTCCAGGTGGACGAGATTTTCCGGGTATCTGACGTTGGACCCGTGGTCGGTGGGCTGCTGGTCCAGGGAGTGCTTACCGAGAATATGCCCATGAAGATTGGTCCGCTGCCGGATGGAAGCTTTCACCCCGTGAATGTTAATACTATTCACCGAAATAAGGCTCCTTGCCGGGTAGTACGAGCTGGCCAGAGTGCCTCACTGTCCTTTACCTTGGATCATGATCTGCCCACATTACGCAGTGGCATGGTACTGCTGGGTGATGTTGGAAATAGCCTGGATGAGCCCTACGGAACTTATTTCTTCCAGGTGAGTTTAAAAATTGCTAAACAATTTAAGAGACCGATTAATCTCATTCTTATTTTCTTTTGTAGGCCAAGGTATCGGTGCTGTTCCACGCCACGGCCATCTATGTAGGCTTCCAGACCACAGTGCACATTGGAAGTATTCGCCAGACGGCGGTCATCCGGGGCATCATGGGCGGTGAGCGACTGGGCACCAACGATTGTGCGTCGGTAATGTTCGAGTTCGTCGGTCACCCGGAGTACGTACGTCCAGGAATGCGCATCCTATTCCGCGAGGGCACCAGCAAAGGCATCGGAGTTGTCACGCAGGTGTTTCCCGTCAACAAGACCGGCATAAAGTAGAGAAACCCCAATAGGAAGCTGGACAGCTGGATAGTTCCAATGACATAACTATATATCTCAAACACAGATGACATGTACATATACTTAATTAGCGGTTAGAGAGTGGCGTTAAATGCTAGGCAGATCTTCAGTACACTTAGTTTCGGGTTCTGTGATTTTTCGTTTAAGCTCGGCTCACAATCGGAAATTGTGTGAAATCCTCCTTAATTACTTTTACTTTATTAAAAGTCCCACATCAAGATATAAGCAATGTTAATTAAATTTGTTTGTTGGGACAATGGAAAACTCAAATTTATAGTAATAAGTTCACGTTGTTGGGGCATTTTCTCATAAAGATGCATTATTTATGTTCTAGTATCTGATTAATTCAAATTTTAGGCACCAAAACATCACTTTAGATTCCAAGAAATAGAAACACACAAAATGGATCTACAATTTGTTTATTCCCTCCTACTGCTTTTTTGCTCATCCTGACTACTCCTGCTATCACTTGTTGCTGGGACACTGGTGCCACTCTCGATCTCTTCCGCCTTGGCAGGCACTTCGGATGTAAACCGGAAAAGGACGGGCACCTCCCCAATGGATGGGTTTCCGTTTTTCTCCAGCAGGCGAATCCACGATAACAGGGAATCCTTTGTCGAGGTGCCTGTGGCACAGATGGCCAGGATGGTGGCATCATCCTGCTGGTGTACTGAGCGCAGTTTTCCCAGCTGATTGTGACGTCTTGGTGGAGCACGACCAAAGAAAGGCACTTCTATGTGGGATACGTCGTCTTCGTCCAGCTGCCTCTCATCCAACTGGGACAGGAACTGAGGATCTGCATCGGCACGCAGGGTAAAGTAGTTAATTTGACGATTCCTTAACCATATAAGGAAGGGTCCCTCGATGTACAGAGCCTTTTGGCGAGAGTGCTCCCGTAGCAGTTTCTCCTGCTCAGGGCTCATTCCACTCACAATCCACGTATCGTCAATGGCATCCTTCAGCTCGCTGGTCTCGAAGACAGTGATCTTGGATCTCAGGTCAACCGTACACATGCGCTCCAGTGCCAGCTTAGCCATTTCCAAGGTGTCATCCGGTACAGGATCGGGCAGAGGCCAGGGTGAAAGGTTTTTGAATTTGGGCATCCAGTACATCATGCGCCAGTATTTGCGTAACGGGTGTCCTTGTTTGCCAAACACATTTAGCAGCATTGCCTCCATTTCGTGGTCGGGCATCACCCCGCAGTCCTCCATCTGCTCAAGAAGATCTATGATGCACTGCTGCTGCTTGGGGTAGTGCATGAACTCCGCCTGGAACAGGTTGGTGGGTATAAACTTGCCCTTAGGCATCACGTTGATCAGAGCCTTATAGACCTCCAGATCTCGTTCCACGCCGAAATCCGCCATGTTTTTAAGCGCCGCGTATATGAACTCCACATGGTTCCGCCGATGCACGTCACGCTCCTGGAAGATCTCGACCATGGTCAGGTAGGTGTTCTTCGTCTTATCCTGCGCCGCTGCAAAGGGATTCCTCACAGCTGGCAGGTTTTTGGTGCCGGGCTTCTGGGCCCTTTGATTGGGAGTCGGATTCTTTTTTGGATTCCCCTCATCTGTGGCGTAGCATCTAAAGCGTGTGGCCATTGATTGATGTCCATTACCGTGCAGCCGGAGCAAGCACTGCACGCGGCGCAACATTTCTTATTTATAAAAGTCCGATTAAAGAATTTTGTAAATACGATTACAAAACATTGCACAATTCAGCGGCCCAACTAGGAACTAGTTCATGTTTTGCAACACTGCTGCTTGAACATATGTTTTAGTGAGGCCTGACAAGTTATCTTGTTTTTTCCTTGATCTAGCCAGTTTTTGCAGAGTTCTATCTGCTTATTACCAAAATAACTAAACTACTATTTCAAGAATAAATATTTATTGATTTGTTTAGTATGTGCATAATTACACTTATACTTTTTAGAATTGTTATTATTTTTTGTATGCCTTCATTAATATTGAAATACTTTCTTAGATGATGTCTGCCAGAAACAGCTGTTTAAGTGACCATCACTAGCTGATGTATTGTTCAACACTGGCTCACACCTCAGTGTATCCTTTGTGCTGCTTTTTTGTTGTTATTTCACCGTTTTCTGCATTATCCTTATTCGCATAGTTTTTGGTTGTTTTTGTGTTGTTTTTGTTAGTTCCGAACCCTGAGTTATTAGCACGGGCGCGCACATACAGGAAAATGCAATCCAACAAGTGGAACTCCGCGGAGAAAGCCTGACCACCAGGCAGTATCTATAACAGAAGCAAAACAATAACTTTGGCTCCGTCCCAAAGCGCACCCCGTCAGCCCAAGGTTACTCCAGATTTTTCGAGCCACCAAAGATGCACTGAGAGAAAATAAATAGCCCAGGAACGGTTGTTCCCCACTATGCGAAGAGTCTAATCAGACTCGGATACCACATTCTACAGACATGCTGTGCTTCGACTCGGAGAGGATGAACTGGTACTACCACGTTCTGGCTAGACGCCCCTACCTTGTGGTTATCTCCATCGCCGTCTACTGCGTCGCCTGCATCATCGTAGCCCTCATCTTGAACAAGCTGCCCGACTTCAGCGATCCCACCTTGGTTTGTAGACATTAAAATACTTCTCCAGCCTTTTGGTTTTTGTAACACATAATTTTTACAAACTGAGTACTTATCAAGGATGAATAAATGAAACTTACTATTTCGTTTTGTGGTCACAAAAAAAACTTTGGACAAAAAAGATTTATGTTATAGAAATACTCTTTCATATCTTTAAAGTTTATTACTTTCATGATATCACTGAAAATATATATATATAGTTTTTCCCAAAATTCTATTTTACAAAATCTTGTCAATACCTTTTCAAAAGGTCAATCAATTGTGCTAACTTTAAATAACTAACTAAATATAATTTAAACCTGTTGATTCTTAATATAATAGGAATATATAATGCATTCTTTTGGTTTTAGAAATTGTCAATTAGTAGAGAAAATGTGTTCCAAGAAAATTTCTTTTAAATCGAGTTAATCATTGAAAGTAAAAACTAGAATATGCTGGAATATCAACTCCTTTTAAATACAATTTTTTAATGATTTTTTCTTTTATTGTCTATCACATTGTCAACTTCAGGGCTTTGAGACTCGCGGCACCAAGATAGGGGAACGGCTGACGGCCTGGTACAATCTGCTGGAGGAGACTGACCACCATGGAGTGCTCTTCTCGAATCCTTCGGATCTGTGGGAAAAAAGACGCTTAGAACAGGGCTATGTGGAAACCAGGCTGCATCCGAATCACAGGCGACGCAAAAATAAGCACAAAAACAAGAACAAGAACAAGCGTCGCAAGGAACAGAATCAGAGCAATCACGAACATCACGACGTGGCCCAAAAGATGATGCAGTTCAAAAAGAGGCTGAAGGCTACAAGTGCCCCATCCGCAAATCTCGCTGTGGACACCTGGATGGGTGACAGCGGAGTGTTTCGTGACTACGAGATAACAAACGATAGCGCTTCCTCCTTAGAGCCCACTCGACGTACTGAACAGATCGAGTATGGGCACAACACCACATCAGTAGATGAGGACGAGCATCGGGAGCGAGTGCAGACCAAGAAGAGCACTTGGCGCCTGCTTAAACAAGCTGCCACCCTGCCCACCGACGGTTGGGCAGATATCCATCGTCGCCAACCCATCGAGGGCTTCTTTTGCGACTCATCGCCGCGAAAGGAGTACTCACATTTTGTGGTTCAGCGAATCGGTCCCAATGCCACTGATTCCTTGTTCGACCTGAACGGCCTGCTGGCCATGTGCCAGTTGCAGGACCAGATCACTGAGGTACCCAGCTACCGGTCTTTTTGCGAGCCGGAAATGCTCACTACCGACTGCTGCCGGCCGTGGTCTTTGCCCAACTACGCCGCTATGCTAGCCAACAAAAGTTCCTGCTTCGATCTCACCGCAGAGGATGTTACTTCGCTGCAGACCCTGCTTTCCGGCTGCTACGAATACTTCCACGACCTGAAGATGGATAACCACTGCAATGAAATACCGCACTGTCGTGCTCCTGAAGAATGCAAGAGGCTTAATATCGTCTTTAACGTGTTGAATTTTCTCACAGATTTCGGTTTCATCAAGTCTAATGTAAGTTATTTTAACTAATGGTAACCCTTATTTCGAAAACTATAAGAACTCGAGTTAAGATTGAGCTAAAGTATTTAAATAATGTTCTTCGAATGTCTTTGTAATTTGTTATGTGTATCCTTTAAAAATCTATAAGATATTCTACGCGTAGACAGAAGAAAAACAGAGATTTTGATATTTATATCCAGTTCTTCGAGGTTGATTTAATTTGCTTCGATTACATTATATTTACACGTTTATTTTTACAGGACTCCAATGTATACCTGAAATACGCCATGATATTCGTGCCAGTAGCGCAATCCAATCGTCTGCTGCCACTGTTCCACGAATGGGAAGACGTGTAAGTACGGACGCCTGTTTAGTACTTTCGAAATTGATACTTATCGATGGGAGACGAAGGCATTACCCCGTTCTTAGCTTTCATCAGAGCTGGTACGCATATAGTATCAAAATAGGTGGTGATATTGTACTTAATAAACAATCTTCGTAGATCTTTAGCGATCATGTCAAGTGTCAGGTCTTTCAAGTCACGTTCAGGATATAGGAAAGGCTTAAAAGCTTCCGCTTCCTGCAAGCGATTGTAATAGCACCCATAAGTGGTTTGATAGTCCTTCCCCATGTCGGTAAAGTCTTTAATTTTGCCAATACGACCCCTACTCTTTAAAGAAATAAAGCTTTTTCGGGAGTAGTCGTACATGTAAACTGACTTGCGCAGATCTCTGATATAGTTCTTAAGAACGTTAAAATCCACAGGCGGATACCTAAAGAATAGGTTGTAGATCTCCTCATTGCACCACCTGTTACGCTTTATGAACTGTGCGTAATCCTCACGCCAGTCCATTGATCTGGGCCATGACATTGTTTTATTTTCTATACCAGCAATCTTAAGGTTTGCACAATAGTGGCCAGTTATAAGGGAGGGATCTTCTTGAGTTTTTCTGATAGGGGGATTGTAAACTGATGAGCCCGTATGGTCCACATAATCCGCTCTATTGGTGCTTACAAGCTTCCTGTGCCTTGGCATTTCCATTTTGATTAACTCTTTTTCCCGCTGTACTGGATCCATTATGCAATTTTTTTTATATTTTTCTTATTTTAATATTTTTTTTGTGTTTTCTCTGAAAGACTAAATTTTTGAGTGATTTTTCAGGGAGCTGAGCAACGAGCTTGTGGAAGTGATTGCCATGGATCTGGGTCTTGAAAACGAGCTATTTAACGAGCTGTTGCTCACGGATGTCTGGCTTGTTTCCCTGGGGGGAGCCTTCGTCATGGCCAGCGTTTGGCTGTACACAGGATCGGCATTCATTACCTTGATGTCCAGCATCGCCATCTGCTTCTCGTTGGGTCTAGCTTACTTCTTTTACGCCATCGTGCTGGAGTTCGAGTTCTTCCCCTACATGAACCTTCTAGCTGTGGTGGTCATAATTGGCATTGGAGCAGACGATGTGTTTTTGTTTCTGAAAATCTGGCAATGTGTGCTGGCTGAAAGGTTCAGCAATCGATGTACCTTGACCACTCAATCCCAGAGTGCCCTTCCTACTCACCTGGAGCACAGTGATCACACGGAGTCTTTGGAAAATATCATGGCACTGACTATGCGACACGCCGCTGCGTCGATGTTCGTTACTTCACTGACTACCGCTGGCGCCTTTTATGCCTCATACAGCAGCTCCATAACAGCCATCAAGTGCTTTGGGTAAGTTGATGTCAAAAAAGATAAACAATTTAAAGATTCCCTTAACAAAAACCCATTTAATTAAAATTTTTTAGAATATTTGCGGGTACCGTCGTGGTAACCAACTATTTGCTTATGATCACTTGGCTTCCCGCTTCGGTTTCCATCATGGAACGGCTTTTTGCCACTAGAATATCCTGCCGTCATCCAACATCCCAGAAGTTGATCCATGCTTGCAAGAAGTCAATTAACCGATTTTGTCAGATGTTTGAGGAGTGCATAACGCACAGTATCATGAAGTACGCTTATCTGTGGCTGCTGATCTTCGGTGCTTTAGGCGTGTCCAGCGCTGTTGTTGTGTTCTGGTATCCAGGACTCCAGTTGCCGGAGAAATCGCACTTCCAGTTATTTGTCTCAGGTCATCCGTTTGAGATATATTCCAGCCTCAAGCAACAGTTCTGGTTTGAAAAGCCGTTGCAGGCGTACGAAAACTTCAAGATGCACATGCACTTCGTATGGGGCATTCAGGCTGTGGACGATGGCGACTACACGAACCCCAATTCCTACGGCAACCTACACTATGACAATAATTTTAATGTATCCAACAGACCGGCGCAGCTCTGGCTTCTCGACTTTTGCCAAAGTGTGCGCCAGCAACCCTTTTACAAAGAGACCTTAGGCATGCTGTTGCCAAATTGTTTCATTGAAAATCTTATCGACTACATGAAACGAAGGTTAGCTTAAACATACAAATATTCAATAATATTTATTTATTTGTAATTATATTTGCATTCCAGATGCATCGATGATATGGACATTACCAGAAAAGATCGTTCGCCCTGCTGCGACGCCCAGTTTCCCTTTGATCCCTTGATATTTGACTATTGCTTGCCACAAAGCATATCCAACATGTATGACACCACATTTTTCCGGCCTGGGGTGGCAGGACCCAAGTTTGCAGAAGCTCCTCGACTGGAGACAGAAGATTACCTAGGAATAGGTGGAAATGAGAGCTCGGAGTTCAGCATCAACGGATCAGTCTCGCCACTGATAGTTAAAGCCCTGGTCATCGAGTTTGAATCCAATGTGGCCTACAGTACCATCTACACAAATATCAAGCAGTTCTACGAGTCTGTTGAGAACTGGTTTCAGCAGCAATTGCTCACGGCACCCCCGGAACTTCAAGGAGGATGGTTCACCAGCGACCTGAAATTCTACAATGTGCAGGACACTCTTTCACATGACACCTTGGTTGCCATCTGTCTAGCCATGGCTGCATCACTTGTTGTGTTATTATGTTTCACGGTCAACATACTGATTTCTATCTACGCCGTGCTAACCGTGTCCCTGAGCATTTTTAACACAGTGGCGGTGCTGATCTTGCTCGGTTGGCAGCTCAACATTTTGGAAAGCATTGCGGTGAGCACGGCCATCGGACTGGCTGTGGATTTCAGTCTGCATTATGGCATCCACTATCGCATGTCTCCGGTCAAGGAGAGATTACCAGCCACGCAGTTTGTTCTATCCCGCATTATTGGCCCTACGGTGATGGCGGCCACCACTACGGGTCTGGCAGGCGGCATTATGATGGCTTCCAATATTCTGCCCTACATACAGATCGGCGTCTTCCTGGTGGTTGTCATGATCGTTAGCTGGCTCTATGCCACTTTCTTCCTGATGAGTCTACTGTGCGTTGCTGGTCCTCAGCATGGTTTCCTGGAGCTCAAGTGGCCATTATGGAACAAGCGGAACAGTGCCAGCAGCAAGTTCTACGAGCGGTAAGAGATATGGATTGTACTTATCCTATTTTTAAGTATTGCGTAATGAAAGTTTTTCATACGAAAGTTAAAATTAAATTTAATCTACAGGAAACCCAGCCAAGTGATTGCCAGCGAGCAGCTGCTCACACCCACCAGTTCGGCCATCGTAGAGCTGGCCAACTCGGAGACGCATGAGCTGGAATCCCTAAACTCCAATAGCCTGATCAAAACCATTTCGGGCACAGAAAGCGCCCACGCACTATCCTCTCTACCGAGAGACTTCGAGCACTCGTTCCAGACGCTGCGCGAGTGCAAATATCAAACGTATCCGTCTACATCCAATTGAGTTAGTTACTATTGCCGGCCAGCGCGTGTTGTTGTTGCCAGGGAGAATCAGGCAACTGCATTTTTATACAGGGTACGGCGGCTCTGAAGCCTGCCCGAGATACATTTATATATACATATACAAAGCATGTGTCGGCATATTTAGTTTTAAAATGTGCTGGCTCAGGCATACCATATGTACGTTGTGTGAGTTCTACATTGATATACTCTAGATATATGTGTAATTGTACTTGGTAGACTTAAGCGATGCGAAATCTTGTAAACTCTCCTTAGTGTGCTATTTCCAAAAGACTTCAGACGGTTGCAATATGCTTTTATTATTTTTGTTATTGCACGTTTGATGCTCCAGCCAAGTGAATACAATTTGTAAACTGAAGCAATTAGCGGAGGTACTGGGTACGTCTTTGTCGGTAGGACTGTACGATGACGGTATTATTAGTTTTTAGCCAAACGTTTCAACGCTATTTATGTACTTAACTGTAATCAAAACTATTTATACTCTGGATTTTTATTAGATGTTAAGTTGGGCCGCATTGTTGGCGCCAGCAAGATGTAGTTACTTTATATAATAGTTATATGCGCAGAGATATGTGTTGTCTATCCTAGTTGTATGCGTTCAAAACAAAAACTAAAACACATACACAAACACAATACAAACATACACACACTCACGTTTGTAATAACCATGTAACTGTGATACAGAAGGTGAGAAACTTAATGAAATCGGTGTTTATACAGACATAGTGTTATAACCCTAAACCATGACGTATTGTAATTACCTGCAACTAAAAGGCCCTGTACTTCCTTCATTGAACTTGTGTGTTGAAGTGATTTAATAAATGTTACTTGTAAAACCACTTTAAAAACATTCTATAGAAATTAATGCAATTGGAATCCGGCAATATAAGTTTACTATACATGGAAATAATCAAAACTGAGAGCTTCAAATTCCATCCGTACTGGAAATTTAAATATTTGTTTATTTTTTGTCTGCGAACCAGATACTTTGTTTGCTTTACAACAACCAAGATTTGTGTCTTTATATCATTGGTACTGACCATCCCCTTTCCATTTTCATATTGATGATGCAAAATGCTTGTGAAAAATCAAATTCCATAAGGGCCTCATTTAAAATATTTCTCCTATTGGCTTAATGGTCAGCTCATGGATCTGTACATTGGGTGGCGTTTGGATGCAATAAGAAACAGCATCGGCCACATCCTCGGCACGCAACATGGGGAAATTTGGATTGGCCTCCTTGAGTTTTTCATCAATTATCTCCGTGTCAACAACTCCGGGGCTTATGCTCTACAAATAAAGAGATAAGAAAAGTGTTAAGATAAATCATTGGAAGAAAGTACCTTGCTCAAACAAGTACTTATATTTATTTATATATTCACACAATGCAACAATGATAAACGTTTGTTTGTGAAGCTATGTAATGAGTTTTTGTTATCTATAATTTTAACTTACAATAACAATAAATAAGCAAAAGAAAACAGAATTACGGCCTGTAAAAATTGCAATACTATCAAGAGGGTTGGTATTGTGTGGGGGGCTCAAAATACAGCGTTATCTCAAATACAAAATTACATTGTGAAAGATAATATAAATGTGAGTGTAATTATAGTGTTATTTCACACTCTTGAAATATAAGAACATATAGTATTCTTTGAAAAAAATTTAACATATTTTGGGAAGCGTGTTTCACAATATAAAGTATATATAGTATTATATATACACTGATTGACTTGAGATTTTTTAAAATATACGAGTATCATGTAGATACTAGGGATGCAAATTTATTTCTGTGCCACGCCTACTATACAACTACAATACTTTATGTAACTCAAAGTTTAAAATATGTAATAAAAATTTTAATTTGTTTTGCTGTTAAGTCATTATATGTTAATATTAACTTTCAACATTCAAAAATATATTTTTAAATTGGTAAACAGAGTAAAGAGTATCCAATGGTAGCAGCTTTCAACTACATTTATTTCTTGACGAAATTTCTTAATTTCTTAATGATGTTATCTTTGAAACAAATTTTTAAATCAAGAGTAAAGCACTGCATTACACAACATAATCTATATATTCACTAGCTACTGATGAAATATATAATAACCATTTCAATTCTTTTAGAAAAATCTATGATCGGATTCCGAATGAGTGACTTATAAGATCGATTAGAAACTCACTGTAATCTTGGTTTGGGTCTTCTTTTGCTGGAACTCCTGTCGCAGAACCTCAACCATAGCAGTGACAGCAAACTTGGAGGGGGCATACATCTTGAAGCTGTAACCGGGCATAATGGGAACTTTGTGACCCGCAATACTGTTGATGACGACCACATGGCCGTCGGTTACATTGCGCTTCTGCTGCGATCTAAAGGCCTCACGGGCGCACCAGACGAATCCCAGGACATTGGTGTCCAGAACTGATTTCATGTCGGCGGCATTATTGGCATCTGTGATTAGAGATTTTGTGGTAATGCCGGCATTGTTCACCAAGACATCGGCTCCTCCAAGAGTCTCATCCACCCAGGCAAATGCATCGACCACCTGCTGCTCCACGCTGACGTCACACTTGCGATAATGGAAACGTGCCTGCTGATCCGTTGGCAGGGATGCCTTCAGCTGGTGCAAGCGCTCTTCTCGTCGAGCCAAGCCCACAACGACAAGGCCCTTGGCCACCAGATCCTTGCAGCAGGCTGCTCCGATACCAGAACTGGCTCCCGTAACAACAGCAACGCGATTCGACCAGCGATCCATTTTTACTGATATTTATTTTTCCGTAAGTCTTTCAATTTAAAAGTTCGCACGATAACTGAGCTCTTTTTCTCGTTTAGCTTACTTTTTATGGGCAGCCATAGCTTTCCCACTGCTAAAAGCTTTCACTCAATTCTCAATTAATTTAAAGAGAGATGTTTTGTTTTGTTTTAAATTTCAAGATCATAACATAAACATGGATAAATGCTGTCACTGCGTGGAAGAAATTACAACAACTAGATACAGAAAATTATCATATATAAATAGAAAAACTATTTAACTATTTTAGAAATATTTTTAATAAATTAGTAATTTACGTTTACATAATAATTTATCACACAAATTCAAAAGTCGTATTAGATTATATGTTTCTTTATATTTAGTGTGTGCATATATAATATTTAAAACTCTTTAAAGGCCGAAGTATAAATATTACTGCTTTTAATATAATTAGTAGTAATCTTTTTTTTTTTTGGCTAACTTAGTCAGTCATCCGAATGATATTATTTTTATACCCGTTACTCGTAGAGTAAAAGGGTATATTAGAGTCGATGAAAAGTATGTAACAGATATAAGGTATCGTCTCTCTAGAGAGTATATATATTCTTAATCACGATCAATAGCGAAGTCGATTGAGCCATGTCCGTCTGTCCCTCAGTCCATCTGTCCGTCTTTCCGTATGATCTCAGAAACTATAAGAGATAAAAGGTTGAGATTAAGCATGAAGATTCTTTAGGTCCCTGCGCAGCGTAAGTTTATTTTATGCCACGCCCACTCCAACGCCCACTCTAACGCCCATCTAGGAAATTGGGATTGTGTATACTCTTGAGATGTCAGCGCATCTTATGGTGGTACCATTAACCGTCCATGCCTTCTCTTACGCCCACCAAGCTCGAAGGACGGTCTCGCTTTTTGTAAAAAAAAGCTGATATCTCGGTAACCATAAGTGATAGAAATGTGGGGTTAGGCATGTAGTTTTTTATGATGCCCCCATCTCATCTAGCCACGCCCACCAAACCATAAAAACCGAAAATCTTTGGAACTTTGAGAGCTAGCAAGTTAGGCTTAGGAATACGTATTTAAGATATGACACTGCCACCCATCTCATCTAGCCACGCCCACCAAACCATAAAAACCACAAATCTCGGGAACTTTTAGAGCTAGCAAGTTAGGCTTAGGAATACGTATTTAAGGTATGACACTGCAGCTCGACGTAAATTTACATCCGGCCTCGCCCACTTTAACTCCCACAAACCGCGGAAAACTGTGCCGTCCATAATATTATAATAATAGGTCTTCGTTTGACCTTGTATAACATTTTGTTGTCAATATCAATCCATTTACCAACGGTGTTAACGGTTAAAGAAATTTTAGTTATAAGGCCTCACATGGACAGTGACGTTACCATCAGTTACTCAACATGCTTTTTTGACGTTTTGTCCATTTCAACTAGCAAAATAAATATTTTAAAATTATATATAGCAGTATTTTATAGTCGCGGCTATCGACTATATCGGTTCTTTTTGTTGATATTCGTCTTAGCTTAAATTGGCGGTCGCAAGACAAGTGTTACCAGCCGACCGTTGGTTGTGTCTTAGGCTGGACAAAGAGAGTTCAGTGATGCCACTAATCATTTAGATGGAAATACAGTGCATTCTAGATATCATCAGTGGTGTGAAAGTCTTCCAGAGGACTATAAAAGACCATTATTTATTTATGTATGTAGAAATATTTGTTTAAAGCGGGGAGAATTTTAGCCCTCTTTTTTATGACTATATGAATAAATATATTATAATTTAATGACTAATGGTACTAGGTTTCATATGTTAAATAAATATATTATAATTTAATGACTAATGGTTCTAGGATTCTTATGTTAAACCGCTTCATCAGTTCCTAGGAGGTTGCTGGCTTGACTTAACATAGAATCTAAGCTTACAGGTTGTCGTCTTAGCTAAATGTCCAATATACGCTTGCACTGTGGGTGTGCCTTAAAAGAAATAGTGAATTTTATTATTAGTTCCTTTAAATTTGCACCAAGTTCGTTAAAAAAAGCAAAAATTCAGTTTTTTAAAGTTGCCATTCCTAATATAATATTTACGTTCGATTAATAAACATTATTATCTAAATAATGGTTCAGCCAGTCTTATAAAATACATATTTCTTCTATGCAAACACTATCATTTCTACATATTATACTCTGAATAGTTACATAAGATCTCGGCGATCAACGCATATTTTTAACAAAAGTAAAACTATATACGTTAACTAGTAAGTTCCAGAATTTTGGTGAAATAATTAAAAGCTTATTAAGTTACAATCAGTACAATTTTAAAAACACGATTGCATAATCGCTGTAGCTGTGTTGTTGTGGGCGGACAGATTTTTCAGATGACATTCATTGCTTGCGAAGAGTGTACCGATCGATTGGTCCCGATGGCATGATACCATCCTTTGCCTTTATCAGTGCTGGGAGGCAGATGGTCTCGTAATAGGTCGTGAGATTGTACTTGGTGAACAGTTTTCGCATCTCCTTGGCAAACTTGCCTATGCCCATCGGTTTAACTGTTGATCCCGGTTCTGGGATAAGACCCTCCTTGAATGGCGACACCTCCTGGATGCGATTATGGTAGTTGCCGTAGGTCGTCCGATAGTCAATTTCTCCAAAATCAGAGTACACTTGAGCCTTATCATTACGTTGACTTTTGAGCGAGTTGTAATGGTTGGGCGAGTAATCCGAGGTATAGGTGGTTTTCATCAGGTCTTGCAGATACTCCTTGATTTGCGTATATTCAACAGGTGGACAGACGAAGAAGAGCTTGTAGATCTCCTCGTTGCACCACTCGTTCCGCTTGACAAACTGGGCGTATTCCTCCCGCCAGTCCATTGATCGTGGCCATGTCCTGGTCTTTAACTCCTGCCCCCGAACCTTCAGGTTGTTTGCATAATGACCTGAAATCAGGGCAGGATCCGTTTGCTTCCGAAATGCGGTGATGGTTCGCTTGGGCTTATCGACGCTGTAGTCCTTGTACATCGCTTGGTTGGTGGTGATTGCCCTGCAGCACCTCGGCAGGATTGCGTCCAGAAAGATCAAGTCCATTTCTGCCAAAGCGGCCTCTTTTGTTTTTTCAGCCATTGTTGCTGAAACAGTTTGTAGTTTTTTTAGGTAGTGTGTTTCTGAGTTATTAAGACAAAATATTAGTTTGACACTAAAACGATTAACTTGGGCCGAGCTACTTTGTGAAATATAAGTCATATCATCTAAGGATCATTTTCTAACCTATTATTTCTATTCCCTCAAAAGCTTTGCTTTCTTTCTACCATAGCTGGTATACAGTAAAATAAACAACTTATTAAGTTTTTATAATAATTATTATTACTACATTTTGGTTTTGTTTAAAAATTATCAGGAAAAACATGTAACAATTGAGTTTAGGCTTACAAAACTAACCAATAAAATACTTGCACATAGACCTTAGACGTACGTTAAAGATCATTATGGAATCAAAGGCAATATCAAACACTTGATGATCTGCTTAGCGCTTGCCATTGAGCCTATCCTGGATCTCCTGCAGACTGAGGCCCTTGGTCTCCATCACAATGAAGAGGACAAAGAAGAATGCCACCACCATGCAGACGGCAAAGAGCCAGAAGGCATAATAGGAACCCAGGGCATCCAAGCTAGGATAGAAGAAGGTGACCAGGAAGCCAAGTGTCCAGCATGTGCTGGCCACCACTGAGGAGGCCGCCGACTTGATGTTTGCCGGGAACATCTCACCCAACACGGCCCACGGAAGCGGTCCAAAACCAGTGCAATAAACAATATTGTAGATGATTAGCGCCGGAACTGGCATCCAAACCACACTGGAAATATCTTTCTTAACCAGCTGCATGTAAAAGAAGGCTCCCAGAGCCGCTAGTCCGATGGACATCACACTGGATGATGTCAGCAGCATCACTTTCCTACCCAGTCGATCGGCAACCAAAGGTGTCAGCGCCGAGGATCCAACCTGGACACATCCAATAATAATGGTGGCAATGGCTGGATCCAATCCAGTATTGGCACTGGCAAAGATTGACTGGCTGTTGAAGAGCACCACGTTGATTCCGGACAACTGCTGGAAGGAGATCAAGCCGGCGCATATAAACAAGGCCCTTCGGTTGCCTGCGTTCTTGAAAAGATCGATCATTGTGCCCTTGTTGGCCATCGCCTCCTCCACGTTGGCCTGGATCTCAGCCATCTCATCATGTACGCCATCGACAGTCTGGCCTCGGAGGAACTGCAGCGATTTCAGAGCCTCTGATTTTCGACCTTTTCCCGCAAAGAAATATGGGCTTTCGGGCATAAGGTAGAACACCAAGTCGAAGACCACGGGCACCACAATGCAGCACCACTGCAGCGCCTGGTATGAGACAAATGGTCCAATAGCGTAGACATACAGGATGCCAGCTGAGGTAAGAATAAAAGATTTTTAATTAGTTTACTTGGTCGTTTAAAATTTTACCTTGTTTTCCATATAAATTTCAGTTAAGAATATCTGATATGAAAACCTAACTCTAACTTACCCACAATGAACAGCTGCATCAGGGAACCAGTGGCACCGCGTACATTGTCCGTGGAAATCTCACCGACATACATGGGCTGCACGGTCATTACAAAGCCGACGCCGAAACCTTGGATTAGACGAGACAGATAGAGGATCCAGACCTCCGAGGCCACCATGTTTAAGCCGAAGGCGAGGACAAAGAAAAGGCTGCTGGACAAAAGCACCCACTTTCTCCCAATGCGGTCGGCCATTGGACCGGCTACAAAAGGAGCCACCAGGGCTCCGATGGCAATGAGGGACGAAATCCAGGCATCTTCCTCGGAAGTAATGGGTCTGCTCAGTGGAGAGTCTGAAATGTCCTCTGATTTGAGCTTAGGCCCGATTGGGGAGGTCCAGCCGAGGGTGGTGCCCACCACAAAGGCGGATAAGTTGGCTAAAACAGAATTCGGAATTTATTAATTTCAAATATATGTAAATTGTTTTTACTTTTATATTCTCTTGTATGTGACGTAGTTTTTAAAAGAAATGGTAATTTTATATAAAGAAAGTTTGACAAAACAACAAACATCTTTGAAATGCATATTTTTATATTCAAATAATTTAAAAGTTATTCTTCGTGGAAACTATATTGATTTGACTGAAAAATATTGGTTTTAAGTTGAGTAATTTAAGCTAAATATAGAAACCGCATTTTAATTCGTACACCTTGTACTTTTTATAATCACACATTCTTTAAAATGAATTACATATAATTAGCTATTATCTTGTGTATTTATAGATTAATTGTGATATAAATGCACTTGATTATAGAAATACATTACTCACCTGCCACGGCAGCCAGAAAAATGCGACCGGACTTTACCGGTTCGGGTGACATATTTCGAGTGTTCCCTTCGCTGATCTGGAACGTACTGACCTCCGTGTAGGAATACGGCACTCCGCTTTCCTCCTCTTGGTTTACTGAGGGCATCTGGCCGCCTTGAAGTGTACAGAAGCAGCTGCAAGAGCGCAAGAGTGAAAAAGCGAAAGTCCCTCATTAGCGATTCAGTTGACTTGGATTAATGATGCTATCTCCATTTGTAATTCAATCTGGTGGAAGTTCAAGTGCTTTGAACCCTCCACAGCTCTGATTTCTATGGGTGCTCCACATATGTCCGGGGAAGTCAAAAATATTCCCACCAAAATCCATTACCAAAAGCTCGTCACATTATCTGACAGTTTTGAAATCATCACGTTATGGAATCATTATCCAGAAAAATCTATACACATCATTTGGGGCTAATAATACGGCAAACAGCTAAACGAAGGCGGAACTGCAGTCTGTTCATTATTTAATGCGATAAATTACCAAATTATTTTAATTGCACTATGAACAAATTAAATTCCATCGCATTTGTGTTGCTAATTAATTTATTTACTTTATAGCTAATTGTTTATGTAATCACAGTTGACACTTTTAGCTGATTTGATCAATGATTACGGCACAAAGTCATTATCAGGACAAATTAGACACTTTGTTTGCTCGGAGTAATAAACTTGTTTTTTCACTTTTACACATCCTTACAGAAAAAAATTCTTCAAAACGAAGTAAATCCCACTTGAGCAGGATCCGCAATTAAACTGGAAACCGGTGGCGTCTCCCTGGAGAAATGTAATGCTGTTCGAATCGACGAATCGCGCGAATTTAAAGATTTTCCGCCTTATATGCCAGGCATTCGAAATCAATACACGTCCAGCAACGCTCACCGACACTCGACTTGATGAGTGCTCTTACACGTGCATTATCTTATCAGAGTAGCGCCTCCCGATCCATGGCAATCCCATCTATAGGCTACAGTATAGTATCATCGGAGCTACCCTATCCCGATCGACTCTGTCCCTCTCCCACTCACTCTGTTATTGGCATCGGATCGAAATCTCAATTTTATTGCTTTTGTTGTTACGATTCAGATGGTTGTTTTGGTCAGAAAATCGCTATTTGTGTGCATTTTGCACTTGAACTGGCCCATATAAGTTTTCCCACACACAAGGAAAGTGATAAGGCGGTGCAGCGAAAACTCTGCCCCAATCTCAATTTGTTTGCTCCGCCGACCCGCCGCCAAAAGGGCGACCGGCCCACTTCAGTCCTGCTGCATTTGGAAAAATATACGTGACTTCTCATTTACAAGAACTTAAAAGGATGGGCTTAAAAACATTTTAGCAAAAGTCGAAGAAAATGTATCTCCTGAGAAACTGTACAAATCAAGGATCCCTACAAACATATCCATAAATAATGGGATGTTTTCATTTTTATATCTGATCTTCTTTTAACTATTTTCGTTATTAAAGAACAAAATGGATTTTTATCGCAAAGAACAGGAAGTGCAAAGCACGTTGATTGTATTCAGTGTCCCTTTAGGGCAAGCAAATAGAGAAAAACTCTAATCTATAAGTGTCTTCTCCCACACACACACCCTATCCCACCATTTCTTTCTAAATAAAACCTAATGTCACCGAATGCGTAAACAATGTTTTGATTACGTTTGGCCATTATTGAGTAATTTCCGATGCACTTTTATAGCACTGTCCTTGGACTTATTTAGTTAGTTCCAGATTGAAGGTGTTGACACAATTCCAGTGACTAAGGCGAGACACGTGAAGGGGGTGTGAAAGGCGCTGATTGTCATATCTGCTTGGGGTAGTATCTCAACAAGTTGGTGGTCAAGGAACACCTGGGCTGGCTAAATAAAACACTTAAGATTGATCCTTCTATAGCAAAATTTACTTAGAAAAGTAAGCCCTACCCATTAAAATTGTCGTAATTATTGCGCAACGTTGCTAATGCTATTTGTGACATTGAAATTACATTATCTATATTTAGAAATATTTGTTATTTCCTATTGAAAGCAGTAGTTGGCTAGCACATTTCATGAATATGCAATTATAGTACTTTTATATAGTAAGCTCATAATTTACGATCCTCTCCTTAAAATTCCTTCGGTGGGGTTTTGGTAATAACTCAAACTGATTTTTCTAATCGCTGGAATCTTTCAAGTGCCCAGGAATCGATTGTTTATACTCGCATTGACCGGCTTTTGATAAGCTTTTTGAATAATTCGGGCACATGATTTTATTATCTTCTTCCTCTGAAGGTTGACTTGATCTTTTTACCGAACATCTGTCAACGGAAGTAAGTCTTTTATATATATATGTATGGATGGTTATCGAAAAACTTTCCGTTGTCTCACTATGTATTTTTTGTTTACTTGGCCTTGATCAAAAATGTGTTTCTACGAGCAGTGTTTTTATATTACAATTGATATTTTGATGTTTATAACCAGGAGGCAAATACAATAATTAAATTAAACAGGCATCAGGGTAAAAGTAGAAATTATTATATTAAGTAATCTAAATCAGAAGTGCTCTTTAATATTAACAAACTGACACGGATCACCTTTTTTTGATGGCGAGACAGACGTTTTAAGAGTGTAATTAAATTCATCGCGATAAGACACTATTTTAACGGCTTCAAAAATATGTCTTGTTTTCACTGATTGAGTAAATAGAGATACGATTCCGAATTGAGACTACATACTCAAAAATGTCTGGCGTTTGGTGGTGATATGTTGAGAAACAGACGTTGGTTACCAAATAAATAGTTAAGTTGGCCTTAGTCATTGGGGACTTTGGAGTCTTTCTACAGAATTGTTATTGCCGAAAACTAGTCCTAAAATACTTTTTGTTTTAAATTTGCAAAGGAAACTCTGGGTTGCGACAATTAAGGCTTTTAGATACATTTTATCTATTTTTAAATAAGCTCAGTTAATCTTACACGTTCTTCGTTCTTCTTTTCATAAGTACAATTTTGATTTTAATCCCAATTAAACTATCTGTCACAGGACCAACGGTTCTTTTACTAACATCATTGTTAAATTATATAGCTAAGATTTTCTAAAAGTGTCATTACAGCATGCCATTATTCATATGTCACGATCTAGATTAAACATTTTAGTTTTTATAAAAAGTTTGCTTTTATTTCACAACTCTTACTAAATTTGTTAATTATTTATGATGTGTTACAAAATTAAATAATAATTTATGGAACTTACTGGACAAATAATAAAAAGAGAACCACAAACTGTGGACCGATCGCAACGAACTACTAGATGGAAACTAATGAAAGAAGTAACAAGCTGATTTGGGGAAATATTATCTTTAGTTCAAGTTCAGTGCGATAATGCATTTAATGTGGGCCCTAATCGGAGCACAAGTTATTATCATATCTGATATTTATAATAATTAAAGGCGGCACTTGATGTACAATTTATCAGCACTCGGCAGCGGGGTAACAAATCAATGGAAACCAAAATAAAAAAAAGACCTCGGTGAAACACTTATTAACTAGGTCGTCAGACTTACCCATTTTGAAGCCGAAATTATCAATTAGTGGGCAATCAATGAAACACTCTGTTGCTTTGTAACGCGGCGTATACGTAATGTGAGAAATAATTAAGTATCCGCAATGCAGAGAGATCAGAGCTAACAGTTTCGCTGGGCTGCCGGAATTGAAATGATGTCGGATCGCGGGTGTTTTGACGCTTTTGTGTTGGGCATGCAAAAATTATGACAGACGCATTTATACTCGTACTTAGTCGCAGCTGAGGCTAGATAATACAGTTTCCCACTTGCTACGGAGGAAGCTCACTCACACACGTCCGATCGCAGAGAACCAGACATATCGCAGACATGGACAACTATTATATCGAATTAAATGCGACCGTTGAACCAAGCTTGACCGAGAGAGCTCAGCTCGGAATTTGATTTTTATCACAGCTTTGTCTGGCTAGTAGGCAATTGGTCGCCGCTCTCGCAGCCTTTTTTGACATAGAAAAGCAAACAAATTGAGGCATAAAAAAGCCATTTGAGTTCAGTTAAGGTGTTCACAGACCTCTAGTTCCGGACTGTAGTGTGGAAAACTTTAGAGCAATTTGACCGATCAACAACTCTGATGAGTCAGCGTTGAGGAAGTTAATTAGCATGCAGCAGGCCCGATTCGGGGGATTGACTTATACCGATGGCCTATCGATACAGTTAGTACATACACAATTAAGTCGCTCGGCTAGTCAGTAAGTAACGAATAACGTGCGTGCCCCACACATCTGCTAATTGATATGTCTCCGGTGTAGGCACTTTAAGCGTTTTATACCGACGTGTGGGGATTCTGGTTAACGCCATCCGGAACAGGCAGTTCGTTATGATATACCTGGGAACCACAGGCCAGAAGCCAGTGCGTTTATTTACGACAATCTGCTAAATTTAAATCGTGAAAGTGAATTTCATTTGGGGGCTTGAATAATGATAAGCAGGGGAAGCGGCACCAGCGGCTGCAGTTTTACAAACTGGTTATCAGGTCTTGACAAAATGTTTATGGGAAAAACATTAATGATTTGTTGTTTTTTGTAAATGGAAAAGCAGGAGGCTCGTTTGTTGCCAATTCGGAAGCAAGTTGCATTTAGTCAACGTCCATTTAAAGATAATTCCCCTAAAAATAACTTAGTAAACAAAAACGCCCCACTGAAATAAGTTGCGTATCAATATTTACTTTATTTATTATTAAAACCAAACAAGTACTGCACCAATTATTAAAGGCAAACAGTTCATAAACCGATAATTCTGTCATAAAAACAATAAGCTCCCTACAGTTGTAAAGCATTTTACTGCTCCCTCTGATAACGAAAGAAATGTTACAAATATAAGCACCCGTAGATAATATATGTAAAGCTTTACGATGGAATTATGGCAGAAATAGCTGAAGCGGTTTTATTTTAGAGGCGCAAAAAGCTATTTGATTTCAAACTATTAACTATAATAAGAAAAATTCACTAAAAAATGCTATATATTTGAAGGGATGATAATGAAACTTTTTAAGTAACATATAATACTATGCATAAGCCATATTATTGAAAGGTATTTATATAAACAAGGAAAAACCTTTGAGGAATTAAATAATAATAGTCACATATGATTAAATTGACACTTATGTAAACCATTAAATAAAATCTAAGCCGATTTATTTACCAGGCACTCAAAATTAGAGTAATTGGCAATACCTGTAAGGCATGCCAGGTGGTCTTTACTGGCTCTGAACACTCAGTATTATAGCAATCAAATCTTTAAAACTTAAAAACGTTTAAACAAAATGTTAGGAATGGATAAAGAAGTATTTTTACATTTAAATTCCAATATATAACGATATCCTAACAAAATCTACTATTATTACTGTTATGCAGTACTAGCTAATCCGTATACTCATACGGATTACATCCCACCGATTTATTTACCACGCACTCGATCGTCGAACGGCAATTGTAATTATCGACACTAGCCGTAAGCTACAAAAGTATAATGATCTCCAAGGGGCAGTGTCACTCCCACTCCCACTATGGCACCCATGGAATATTTGCTATATGTGTTTATCTTGCTGCTGATTGTCGACAACCTGTTGAGCATGTGAGCAAATATCCAAGCAAACATCCAAGCAAATACGGGCTTCGATGGGCTTCCTGTAATTGCGTTAAATATTTGCATAGAAATGCCGGCACTCGGACGGAGCGGAATGGCTGGCACGATTTCAATTTGCATTTTGTGCATCGATTTGCGACTATTCCGATGTCGATCAATCAATCAAGCGACGATGACCTTCACACTGACCGTCGCGAGGGGGTGGTGAGTGCGTTGAAATCGCCAAGCACTGGCGCCAGGAGTGGGCGTGGCCTGTCGCCAACGTCCAGGCAGATAGAGTGCAATCGCCTGATAGTGGTCTAATTTCGTATTTTAAGGGGCGTTCCTGGCCATTAGGGGCTATCGCCTTCGATCTGACCCGCAAACAGCCGTTGGTTCTGTACAGTTTACTTTTATTATCAAATATATGTACATTGATTATGATTAGTACACGTAAGTATATGTTTAGGTATATGTCTTTGCCATCTTAACGTACATTTACATACAGCAGGAAGTTTATACAAAAGTAAAGAGCACAAAACAGGATGAAACTCGATTCTTAAATAGTTAGAGGTACTTAGGAACTAATTGAACTACTCTAAAGTCAGTGACACTTTAAACACTATGAACATTGTGGGACATCAATAAGTTTAATTCTTCAATTTGCTCTTAGATCCGATTTGAAAAGTTTTATATATATATCGGACCTCGATGTAGTAACAAATGTCCTTTTGTTCTGAACTGAAATCAAAGAAACAACTTTTCAGAAATGAAAACTATTTCATTTTTGAAAGTCACTTTAATCTTCTTTTTTAGCACAGTTCCTAAACTAAACTCCCCACAAACTCCTACATTACTTTTTGGCGTTGTCTGCTTATTCACCTACGAGTTCAATGGCATTCAGCTAGAATAACCTAAGGGATAGGAACCACCTTGGAATCCCTAACGACCGCTCAGCCAGTTCTGAATTTGGCTGACACTCTTGCCCTTCGTCTCCTGCAAAGCGATCGCCACGTAGGCAGTGGCCACCGCCATCCAGCCGCTGAAGAACCAGAAGGGCACATCGAGTCCGCCGGCCTTCAACAGACCGAAGAGCCAAGTCACCAGGAACACGCATATCCAGTTGGCCATCACGCTTAGGGATACGGCGGTGCCCTTCACGTCCGGCATGAAGAGCTCGCCCATCATCATCCAGGGAATGGGGCCGTAGCCCACCGAGAAACTAACGATGAAGAGCACCACGCAGGCCAGGGGCAGCCATCCAATGGACTTCGAAATCTCCGTGTGCCTCTGCAACGTGTTGAAGGCACCCAGCATGACCAGGCACACTGTCATCACCGTACTGCTGAAGAGTAGGAGTATCTTACGTCCGGCCTTCTCGATCAGCAAGGAGGAGCATAGGGTCATGATCACCTGAACAACGCCCACAATTATTGTGCAGGTGGAAGCGTCCAAGGTGCTGTTCGACGACTTGAAGATGTCGTTCATAAAGAAGATTACCGCGTTGATTCCAGAGAACTGCTGGAAGAACATCAGGAGCACCGAGATTATCATACCCTTGCGAGAGGCGCGATTGCTGAACAGATCCATAATGGAGGCGTCCGCTCCAGTCTGATCCAGGTCGTTCTGGATCACCTGGATGGCGCTATTGGTGTTGCAGTAATCACCCCACAACCATTTCAGTGCGCGATTGGCCTCGGAGCGTTTTCCCTGTAAGACAAAATAAGGTATTAGTAATATGAGACTTAGAAAGCTTAGAACCTGGAACATAAAAATCTATCTCTGTCTGAGATTTCTGTTTCCTTATATTTTCATTATATTTCCTAGAATTCATCATTGATTCTCTGAACGGACTTACCCTCTTTAGAAGATAAACTGGAGTTTCAGGCAGGAAGAGAAGACCAATTAAGAGGAAAATGGGTATGGCAAGGCAGAGCATGCTGAGAGTTCTCCATGTGACTAAAGATCCCACTACATAGATGAACAGGATACCGATCGTGAGTAGCAGCTGGAACAAAGTACCCAAGCTGCCACGAATGCTGGTCTCTGCGATCTCCGAAATGTACATGGGAGCCACCACGCAGAAGCTTCCAGTAGATATACCTAAAGTACTTTCAAGGTTAATAAGAGGTAAAAAATATAAAAAAAAATCCATCACCTACCGATCAAAAATCTTCCCAAATACAGCCAGCCGACAGAATTAGCGAAACTGATCGAAATCCATGCCAAAATGAAGGGAACGTCCATGACCATGGCAGTATAACGTCTGCCGATGGTATCCGCTATATATCCAGAGGGTAGAGATCCAAGAAGGGCTCCTATGGGCAACATTGAACTAACCCATGTTTCTGCAAGGGCAAAATTGATTAGATAATTTTCTAGACTTTTTAAACTACTCGTAAATTGGAGGGGGTTCCCCTATCAATGAAATGTGGTTCCTATATGCGAATATTATTATCTCTATTAGGTCTTGTCACGTAAATCCTAGCCACTTGAAACTCTCTATTTGAACGGCTTTCGTCAACTTAACTTAACATTGTTCTTTATTTATTTTAATATTTAAAACAATTTTATTTTCCATGACTTTTCCGACTTGATAATTAGATTCAGCAATCATAAAATTAAATTTTCTCATAAAAAGACCTAATTATTTAATTAGTTTGTGAACTTTATTTTATTTCTTTAAGTACGAGGACACTGTAACACTTAACTTCCTTCAAAACGTTATCATGGCGATGCGCTATCAATGCAGTCTAAGAACCATATTAAAAAAATGTGTATAAGTAGGGTACTTACTTTGCGACTCGGTCAGTCGAATGTCATTTTCAGTGGAAGTCGAGGTGGAAATATTAGAAGAGGAACTGGTTTCATTTGTTGTTACATTTCCGGCAGATATCTGGTCGAACACAGGAGCCGTCCAGGACAACGCAGTACCGGCAGCCACCGCTCCCAAGCAAACTGTAAGTATTAGTGGAATGCATTTTATAGACCACAGAAGGTTAAATATATCATATTCCGTACTTATCATGGCAGCCACATATTGACGAGTCTTCGAAGTCTTCGACACGCCTTCCTGCAGGAGATCGTAAGTGATTGGATTGCGAGAGTCTCCATCCTCTTGGCTAACAGTCTGAAAAGGAAAAGACGTTTCTTAAGGATCAGTATAATAGACTTTACTCTTGACTCCAATACTCCTAGGAACTAGTCATGATATTCACAATTGCCTCCTTATTGGGTTTTCTAAGCGCCCTAGTTGTAATTATAGGAAAAGTTCTTGTGTTCCTTTGGACATTGCTAAAAACGATTTATACAACAGTGAAAATAGCCAGAACCCTACAGAAAGCCCCAACCTTCAGTGATATTAAGGCTCAATTCAAGGAGATGTCACTTGGAACAGCTAGAACTGTGTTGAAAGAAAAGTTTAATAAATCATGAAAAACTTTCTGATCAAGAAAAAGTAATCAAGTTTTTAAGAAAACAGTTTAACAGTTTTCTATTTTTCATAATAACAATTATAGTAGCCTTTAATATGTTTTTCTAAGACCATTCTTCTTGGAAACATTTTAGTTTATGCACAATTAAACTTCTTTAAATAAATCTTACAGTATATTGGCACATTTATCCGTTAACTCTTTACGGTTTTATGTAGTTTCTTTCTATTCAAGATGACTTAGTTTACCTGCCACCAGCGAGCCATTGCGCGGACCACCTTTTCCGAATCCATTCGAGACTCGGCCGTCTTCCGGGTTCTTTATCAACGCCTTATATAAGACGATGGCACAAACAACGCACTGTGCCAAATTTTATGGCACTTTGTTGGTGTAAAAAACACTGTTTTATGGCTTATATATATATTGGCTTATATATTTCACTTATTTTTATCGTATCTTATTATTATCTTGGGAAAGCGTTCCTATATATAAATATATATTCTTGTTTTGATTTTTCCGCTAATTTTAGTGGCTGCCTCGGGGGCAGTGGATTGTCTCGTGCGAACACCTCGAGACGACTGAATCGTTGGACTCTTCGAAAAAGGTATTTTCATCTCGAGTCTTGGCAAAAATTCTTCTATTCCGCATATAACTTTTATTTCATCTGGCGCTTGTGTCGGCATTTCGTTGGATTGCCAGCAGATTACGCGCATCAGATGCAGTTGAATCTTTTGTTTTACGTCAGAGACAAATGGATTTTCTCTCGAATTGACTGAGAAAAAAGTGATATTAGATGAACAACCTGTTGGAGGGATATTTCTAATTTTTTCTAAATAAATCTTACAAATAAATCACGTTTTGCATTGACATTTCAATTGCTCATCAATAGAAATCAATTTAAAGCGATCTGTCAAGTGAAACCACGCAGATATTACGCATACGCCACCGTACCTGAGTGGAGCAAAGTCCAAGCAAAACAAAAGTAGTTCCGACAAATCGAACGTCAGTTTAAATTACGTTGCCAAAAGCATTTCAGTGCGTTTAGGGTGCACTTGCCAAGTACCGACAATGCCGTGAACCCAATCCATGGGATATTCTGCGCCCGTAAATAGGAGCTTGTCTCCTAGTATATGACAGCCACATTAAAACATTCCTTATGAAGTTGATTCCTTGATGGATGTGCAGGCGACCGTTTAAGATGTTATTAAAACGGAATGTCTAATTATAAAGTGCAACACGTATGTGCATCTAAATGGCGTCAAGTGCATGCCAAAAGAAACCTGTCGCCGCATTCGCACCCAAACAAGTCGAACAGCCGACGGCAGAGTGAGTGAGAGCGCATTTCAGTGCAAGGGAGATAGAGAAAAGGGGTCAGAACGATACGGCAGACACACCCACCATACACTGAGAAAAAGCTATTGAAAATATGCATTTTGTTATTAAAAATTGTAAGAACTTAAACTTTTTATTTTATGATCAATATTTTGCAGAAGTAACTCTTACCAATTATTTAAACTTCATTCATTTATTTTATTTTTCTATTCTTTTCTGATTCTACTTTTTTGGTTAAGTAGTATTTTAAGTACTTTTTAAATTTAAGTTTGAATTAGTACCCATAAAAGTGTTTTCACTTAGATACGCTAGGTTAACTTCAGAAGGCGCTGACTAGATTCCGGAGAAATATAAAAAAAAAAGATTTTTAGACATATATAAAAGTATGCTACAAAAAGCCTTTTAAAAACTCGTAACAAGTTATAAAACCACCTAAGCGCTGTCTAAAAGCGTGCTTCGTATTTTCTGAAATTTTGTTTTTTTTTTCAGACACCTGTTTGATTTCAGATAACGATTATTTTAACAGTGCACAGATAGGGGCCCATCAACATCACATGCTAATTAGTTTGCATCGTTCGCCGTGCTCTGTTTACTTTGTCTCTGCAGCCGCTGCTTCGCTGTTTTCCCGATGTCAAGTTCAGCGAGTGCCTGCGCCATGTGCTCTTGCATTCGGGAGGCCTGTTCTTAAGTGGTTGCCCCGATCTCCGAGAGTCGTTACCACCCACCCACCGACGAATGCAGTCGCAGAAAAGCAGGCGGAAACGCCTACACGCCCACATTTTCCTTGGCTTTGTTGTGGCCCGCGCTATTGCAGCTCACCGAGTCGATAGACAATTTCTTTTATTGACGCAATTTCCTTAATTTGCTCAAGTCCATTGCCCATGCGGTAATTAAAGCGATATTGTTTACCCTTGGCCACCGCTTCTTACCCAAGGTGTGCCTTGCATTTAAATACTCCTAAATATAGACTATGAAAATGACAGAGCTAAATAAACTGTCACTTTAAGTGGCTTATGTAAGCCCATAAGCTGTGGCTTAGGTAGTTAGATAGAACTATAAACTAATAAACTTTGGGATTAAACAAGAACATTTCCTTTAAATTCAATTAGATATTTTCTTTTTAAGCTGAAGATTAAATTTTGTAAAATAATAAAGTGCGTTTTTAGATGCTTACATAAGGCTTGGAAAGGGAAATGTAATATTATTTAAATATTGATTGTGTTTGTGGAAAAACCTTTTTTATTTTTAACTTATTTGTGTTTTTCTTAAATGAAGAACTAATTATTCACCAACCTCTGATCACTCAGTTATTGTTATTATTAAGTATCATGGATATTTTAAATGACTCATTGTGAAACACAAAGTGATCTGGTTGTTATTGTCTTTTCGTATCATGAGCAAGTGTTTTGAACTTACTGAAGGCTTTATAGTCCCATTGTGACGACACCAGAAGCTGAGTTATCTATCTTTAAGTAAAGATTTCAACTAAGTTTGATTCAAATATATAAATGTAAAGATTTTCCAAAATAAAACTTACAAAAGCGGAACTATAAAATCACGTTTTCTAGGCAGCTAGAAACCTTACAATGTAAATATTTAACATTAAAGAGAACGACTGCCTGTAAATGCTTACAGTTGAACAAATCAAATTTAGCCGGATGCGATTGGCCATGAAATGCTAAACCTATTGATATGTAAATATTATTATTTTGCCCTGCAAATTGCCCACCAGTCCAGTGCAAGCCCGATAAATATGTCAGCGAACATAAACAACAAGTGATTGGCACGCGACTGAAATCATGTATATATATATATATATATTATATTGCAGCAGCGATTATTGTTTTACTGGCTCGATTTGATAAAACGTTGGCGCACTACGTAAAAGTATCCCCAAAAAAGCCAAATACGCCTTGCCTTATCAGCCGAAATGGCCTAAAATGAATCATTTGAAAGGCTGGGAATCAAGTCTTTAAAATCTGAATCGAAAGAGCCCAGCGTCACGTCCAAAGGTGGACAGCTAATTGGCCATTATCGAAAGCAGTTAGTGGCTGCGTGAACCGCACGCCGATCGTAGCTGCTGCTCCCTCCGAAATCTTAAAGCTCTTATTGGCCCCGTGCTCAATTACGGGTATACGACTTCCTAATGCCCCATTGTCGAATCGTTCCGTAAGAGCCACTTGACGAGCCTTGTCGAGTGGCAGGTAATCGATTGGCATAAATGTGCTTAGTCTGTTCCACTGCCAAGGGCACGATAGTGTTGAATGCCACCCCCCAAGTACAAAACTCTCGATCCTGTGGCCCTAAGCCAGCTCTAATCATTGGTTTATGACTCTCGATAACACTAACATGGCTTGGCAACCTACTGTGTGCAATCGTAAACAAAACTGTTCAAGCGGGAGCCTTTATAAATCTTGAACTTTGCGTAAACTTCTTCAGGAGGAGGCGTATTTCGATTAGATATTTTCGCTGACCACTTGGAAATCGTTCCGCAATTAGTACCTAATAAATTATTTCTTTGATTGAGGGCAAGATTGTGACAATAAATGCAAATTTAAGTGGCTAATTAAACCGGTAGCCAAACATTATGATCCTTGAATAAGAACAAAGCTCAATAGGTTTATTACAGGGAGTTTGGTAATTAACTGGGGCTAGCTATCATATTTTAAGGGGAATATAATAATAATAAAGGGAATATGCTAATAATTACCTTCTTCTCTCTGTACTTTTCGTTAATTAATGTGTATTACTTTTTTATTTTTGTTTTTTTCTGAGCAAGAAAGTCAAACCTAATTTTTTGCAGAGTAGATGCAATTCTTTTTTAAACTTTATTGTGATGCCCTTCAAAAGTCTCTTACTCAACAATCAGATACTTCAGCAAGAAGATAAACAATTCTTTACAATAATATAGAAATCTAATCTTAGGCCTTCCCCACAGACTGCCTATAAATAGTTTCTTTTGAACATGAATATAGCACAATTTACTGGTCAGCATGTCGTATGCGTAATAAATATATTGCGTACTCTAGTACTTCTAGTAAATCTATTAACTTAGATTAATTTGCTGATGATGACTTTACACTATATTATAGCTTATACAAAAACCCAACTCAAAATAGTTTTATTACCGTTTTAACTTCCTCGGTAGCCACCATGTTGCGATAACGTTTAAGGCAGCACTTTTTTAATATTTGTATATTTATTTATGTTTATTTGGCGGGAGGTGCACTGTTCTGATCGGATCCAATTCTCTGGAAGCTTTAACTATCGAAACGTGCGGATGGGCGCGATGAGCGTCCGAGCTGAACTGAATTTCTCCAAGGAAATCGCTTAGCAGCTAAGCGAAATGGGCGGCGACTGCGACGGCGACCGCGACAGAGGCTGATACTGGGAGCCTGATATCGCGGTGGCAGAGGCAGCGGCCGCAGCTGAAACGCTGGCAGCAGCAGCTCGATACAATTCCGGAGTTTCATTAGGGTCCCCAAAGGGCATGGATATCTGGATACAGTGAATCCATCAGTGACTGAACTTTGACAGGCAATGCTAGGAGGTGTTAATCGGCTGTTGGTCCGTGCTGCTCATCAACTTCTCGACGATCTTCCTGAAGCCTCGTTCTAGTGTTGGCGAGCTGATCTCATGGAACACCTGCAGCACATAGTCCACTAGGGCATCGGCCAGATTCTAAATATGAAAAATATATTTAGTATTAAATAACATAAAACAACAGCCGAAAAAGAAGAAAATTTTCATTTGCTGTTATCAGAATAAGTGTGGTAATTATGATGTGAGGTTATAATTAAAAGAGTAATATAATCAGACTTTTATGAATTATTATGTTTTAACACAATTGACTGAGAGTCAAATACAATTTTTATTGTTGAAAGCAAATTTGGTCAATAATATTACGTATATAAAAACACCATAATAATAAATGGCATATATGAAGTATATAGCTAGTAAAATGGTTAATATATGCATGTATATATTGTTTCTGTTCGACAAATGGTTTTGATTTAATTAAGTTGTACTACATTGTTTATGGGTGAGGTATGTTGGTTGGGCCAAAAGTTGCGATAATAATGTAACAATGTATTGCTTACAGGGATCAATATTTTTCCAAAAGCTTGGGCAAGTTTGTGTCTATGATAACTACCATTTTTATAATACAAGTTTTGTGACAATCTTTATATCTGTTGGTCGTAGAGAAAGGGCTGTACTGCTTTTCCGACTCTATCAAATATAATTTTGTTAAAGATACGGGTCCGTATGAGCGGAGAGATCTCAGAAAGGAATGCGTGTTCTAGAGAGTGCACATCAACTTGAAAAAATAAGCAGTAAACCTATTTAATTAGTTTGAAGATGCGATACTCTTTTGTATTATTCATTATTTTATTGGGTTTTTTGCAAATTCATTATATTCTATAGCCTGGTACAATAATTTAAAAACAATATTTTTTAGCTTTATACGTAAACAAGGAGGAAAAGTTGTTGCTTGAGAGCTCACATAATTAGTAATCAATTTACATTATTATAGTGATTAATAACATGATTACCCCTGTACTTTCCTGCCATCGCCTTAACATAACTCAATTTTATGACACATTTAAAACATTTATTTTCACGTTAAATCTTGCTTAGAATCTAACGTCCAAGCCAAATAATATATATAATATTATAAATGTTTCCTCTGTGAATCATAACCAGGAAGAATTTCTATAAATCTAACTCACCACAATGTAATCTGATCCCACCTTGCAGCGGCTGTGGGTAAGATTGTTTTCATTTATCATCAGCTGGAACACTACCGGATCCTTCTCCTCGATCAGTAGACCAATAAAGTGGAAAAACCGCAAAGCATGCGTGTGCAGGGCCTTCATGTTGAGCTTTCCGTTGTCTTTGAACTTGTTAATTCCCCAATACACATCATTCAAGAAGCTTCGAGTAGTTGCCATTAAATTATCCTTGTTAAAAGATAACTTACCCATAGAATATATCCCCTCCGTAGCGCCGTTCGAAGGGCCTGATTAAATTCCACGCCTGTCTGAGGGCCAATCTTTCGCTGAGAGTGAATCCCATTTCGTCCGTAATAGGCCCTGCCTTCATTTGGGGCAACCGCTTGGGGTAGATGTGGCTTGCTATGCCGGACGACCTCTTCCCAACTACTTCCTTATCCATTCTGTAATTTTTATTTTATTGTCCAAATAGAACGTGTTACAAAAAAAGAAAATTAAGAAAAATTAAATAAATGTGTGGTGAACAAATCACAATATCATTCGGAAGATTTTTCATAGCATACTTAGAGGAGTGAATTTATTTTGGTTGATAAAAACAGAAATTAGTTTTATTTATTAGATTATTTTATTGACCGACTGTGCTTTATGATGAAATATTAATATGCTTAATACACAATTTCGATCTTCTGGCAAGTTCTCTCTGCCCTGTCATTTCCTCAACATTTTATTAGCCTGACCTTTCTCGAGATAATTTATTGATAATTGTTCAGGGAAAAACTGGTAGGGTATTGTGATATTCCTGAGCAACTCCGCAAACGGGGCAAATGCAACGGGTGCTGAGGGCACGACGCAGACAGGGTTCGCAGAAGAGATGGCCACATGAAGTGGCACGAGGATTGATGGCAGAGCGAAAGCAGATGGGGCACCGCAAGACGCTTTCATAATTGGGGGGCACGAACTCTCCACTTGCGTTGGGTGGTGCTTGTTCTGGAACAACTGAAATATAAAATGTATAATTAATCAAACATAATTTGAATTATACAAAATAATTAAAAAAAACACACCAGTAGTACCATTGGGCTGAATCTGTACAATGACGTTAGGTGAATTGCGATTGCCCACATTGAATGAAATTGGTCCTTGATTGGATGTAAACTGGCCACCTGAAAAATATTAAATTAGTAAAGTATATTTATATACATACTCGTATATTTTATTTTATATATACAAAAAGTATTGAAATATATATATATTTATATATATTTTTACACGTTTCGTTAATAATATTGAGAACAATAATATGGTTTCCATTACTCTACAATCTCAATTAAAGTTAATTTGAAGAACTCAAAATTACACAATTATATAGCATTATTAATTTAGGTTTTTTAATTACATAAAAACAAAAAATCCAGGATATAGTATATATAGTAATGTACTTACTTAGTTATTTTATTCATATGAAAATATATGAATTGTACACATTAGTAAGACAGTATTGAATATTAACTCGACATTCCACAAACAGATTTAACTAACTTGTACCCACCTGAAATTCCTATAGTTATGGGCGATCCACCAGCTGATATGCTAAGGTTGATCTCAACAGGAGGCGCAGGCTGCGGATTGTCAGAAGGCTCATTATAACGAAATTCGTTGAAGTCTTCTTCTTCATCAGAATCGACCACGCTGTGAGCGTGACTCCATTCCATGTTTTGGTCCACTGGGCGACCACAAATTACACACAAGGAACAACCATCCTCTGCACAAACTCTGGCACGATGTTCCATTGGTTCGGGCGGACGAGGCGGTGGATAATCATCTAATATTCGCCATGCTATTACTGAATTCAATTTATTTTACAATCTACACAATACCATCAGCATCGTCAGTATCCTCGTTCGAAGGAGATGGAAGGTATCCAGCTCCGTGCTGCGACCCGTACGCTCTATTTTCACTCATGTTTTTTAAACTTTTTTGTCACCGAACTGACCAAAACCTGAACGACTCTGAACATTTAAAATTGTTTGTGCCCGACGCCTGTCATAGAAAGGCAGAGTTGTCAAATATGTATTATTTACTAATAAACCATTTACAACTCATTTTTTTGGTAACAACCCTGAGTATTTTAAATGTATATGTATGTTACTTCTTATAACATTTTTAACAATGCTTAAAAAACATTTAAAAATTAGGTAATGCCGGTAGTAATTGTAACATTTGGCTCTATTTTATAAAAGACTATAAATACGTTCATTCACAAACAAGGTTTTGTTTTTACGAACTTGTATTACGGATCATTTTTTGGGAAAATTTATTACATATATAAACTTAAAAATACTCGTACATAAATCACAAGAGCAAGCAGTCATTTGCCGTCTTAAACATTTTCCAAAGAAATAAATCATTTTATGTGGCTCGCAGAGCATATACAAAGACATCCAAAACAAGCACCTCACAGATAAATGCGAAAATATTGGCGTGCTGATAGCTTTTTGTTGCACATCGGGCATTTATGAGTAGAACTGATGGCAGTCTGGATGCATTCACGACAAAAAACGTGTCCGCATTTGGTCGAAACTGGCTCGCGCTTGCTCACAGCCTCCATGCAAACCGGGCATTTGTACGAGTCCTCTCTCTGGGACAGGTCGGGATCGCGTTGATGGCGTTTGGGTGGCGACACATCGTCGAGATCCACTACTGGAAAAATTGGGGCCGACTGAACTGTGAAGCGGCGCCGATTGGATGATGGAGTAAAGGAGTCATTTGATTGACGATCACCTAGTCGGCTTCTTCTTCCGTCTGGGGTGCACAAATCGATTACAGCGTCGGGGGCACGATTGCGGGCGGATCGAACCGGAGGTACATATTCCAGCAGGGACAGATCTATCACTTCTACTGGACTAACTGAAGAAAAAGAAAATATAAGACTTACATTAAGATTTGATTTTCACAACACCACATTGGACAAAAGATTGTTTATGTGAAATCCACGATAGATATAAGCTGATATGCACTTACTAGAACTTCTATGACGGTTATTACGCACTACTGATGGCGTTGAGGTAGATGTTGGTGGATTGTCGTTTCGGATCAGTGACACAACTTGGTCGCAGTAGCTACTAACTAAAAGATAATTCAGTGATTTGATATGATAAAAGGACTCAAATACAGGGTTGACTTACTGCGATCCAAATTTTCTTCCATTTGGTCTAAATTACGGGAAAGTGATCTAAGCTGCGAGGGAGTATCGTCATTCGGTACGGAAAAGTTTACCACGGATAAGGAGCTACCGTTCTGGGGGGACAGCAGAAAGTTGGATCCGTCGGTGGAAGTGACACTGATACTAGTTTCCGGGGATAAATCGTAATGCAAGGATGAATTGGAAGGCAATGGGGATGTGGAATGTGCGGATAAATTGCGCTCCTCGGATGAAGGGGATTCAGATGATGAAGGCGATTCCAAGTCTGAATTGGACTCCAAGGATGAATTGGTTGCTCCAGAAGCAACAGAACTGGAGCTAGACGCGCTAGAGTTTGATACGTTGCTGTCCGTTGACTGGCCAAGGTTTGGAGATTCAGCTGCTGAGTCCTACTAAATAAAACGTGCCTGAGTCCGATTTGCCCTTTAATTATGAGGGAGATTAACTTACAAAAGAAAAAATGGTCGAATCTGACATGCTTCAAACTGTAAAGATACAAAAGTAATTCCCAAAAAAAAGAAAAGCTGGGTACTCTTGGATATATCTCATTTGATTTGCTATTGATCGAACTATTGCAATAATGCTCAGAAATCGCGGCACAGCTTTAGAGATGGAACTAGAAAGGCCGACCATACCAACGTTAAATCGATTATAGGCAACTGGAATATGGTATTTTTCAATGTTTTTGGAAATATTTGGGTTGTATATGAGAATGAACTTATTAATTACATTAAATATATATATATAATAACTGTTTATATTATAACCGTTTATACTAAATATTTAATAACCTTTAGAAAAAAAAGTCCCTCGGATAGATTTATTAAAATTTGTAGAGCATTGACTGTAAAACCTTTTCTACTATAATTATAAAATATAGTCTATACTGAACATACTTAAACATACCAACTCTTTTAAAAACGATAGTTTTCAGTCGAAAACAATAGGTATCGATTGTTATCGTGAAGCATTGCACTGCGGCACGTCATCAGAAAGCAGAATTATTATTTTCAACGAAACAAAACAAATACAGTTCCTTGGAGGAATGGACAAGGATACTTTTACGCTGCAGTCCATCCGACAGGACCTCATCGAAAACAACCTGCAGGCTAAGGCGATAATACAGGTTAGTGTGCGCAGCTGTAAAGGAAACCTAAAGTCCGAACTCCCTATTACAGGACATTCTGAATAGCCGCACCTCAATAGCTGAACTGGAGGAGCTAAACGAAGCGGGGCGCTCTAAGCTATCGGCCATCAGGAGGAGTATCGAGCGCTTAGACGATTGGGCGAGGGACACGGCAGACGCGGCGCTGGCCAAGGAGGTGGACACCCACCGCGATCAGTTCTCCAAGACGCTGCAAGCGTTTCGTAAAGCAAACGTATCCACGATGCTGGAAATTGAGAAAGCAAACCGCGAAGAGCTGATGGCTATTACCGGTGAGACTGAGCTGCGCCAACGAACGACGACAAGAGCGCGGCACAACCAGGGCAGCCTAGTCTCCCAGGAAAACGATGTTACCGAAAAAATGCTGGCCATATCGCGACACCTTTCGGAGACCACCCAAAAGAGTGCCGTCACTCTGGAGACGCTGGTGGCATCGTCACAGAATGTGGAGGCCACCAGTGACGAACTGCAAAACACTGCTGGTAGCATCACCATGTCCGGCAAACTGCTCAAGAAGTACGGACGACGAGAGTGTACCGACAAGATGCTACTATTCTTTGCCTTCTGCCTGTTCCTAGCCTGTGTATTCTACATCGTTCAAAAAAGGCTCTTCTAGAGTCCTCAGATATGCACCTTTCCCTGCCTACCCTAAGGTTGTAGCTTTTGTTGTCTAGGAATTAACTGTTGTAGGCTAAGCTCATAACCATATGTTACAAGCACCGCTCTTTTATTTATATTTATTTAGTGATTAACCAAGTTGTATCTGGTTTTTAATGTATAAAATACATGCAGGATAGAAAGAATATGAGAACCTTCTTTTTACATTTATTATGCGTAACTTTTTAACAACCTAAAAAATCTAGAAGGGACACTTAGGCACTCCGCCTGGGTTGGTGAATCCGTTGCTGTTCACCACGCGGCAGATTTCCTTGTAGGACCGACTAGGCTTTCGAGCCGGAGGACGACTGGGGTAACTATAGCCGGGGAATAACCATGAGAAATCCGGTCTGCAGTTGGCAAAACTCAGCGTCAGAATCCACAGAAGAAAATATACAATCGACTTGGGCATTGCCACTCTGTCCGAGATTAAAATTCCGAATAACACCGTAACCGATTTGCATTAGATTTGGTTGGCATTACTATAAAACATCCGCTACCTTGTACAGGGGTGAAAAGTAAGTCTATTTTCGAATCTATTCTGACATACAAACTTGGGAAGCTGATAGCAGATTTGCGTGCCTCACCAGAGTGATATTCTTATCAATGAAATATTCGGCCTTGCAAAATTATGTCAAAGCTAGTTGATTCATTTCCTAATCCGGTCTATATAGATTTTTTTGAGAAAAGGAATTAATAACCTTATAATAAATTTATAGGCCTTGATTCTATTTTCGAAAAAAACTTTTACGTTTTAATAACTCTTTCAGATGACGTTACGATATTAGTCATTACCACGGATTCAGAAATTGGTTTGTATTCTTCAGGGTAGAAACTTAATATCAAAAACAGTTGAACCACATATCTATAAAGAAAACATCCATTGGTGGGTATCAACATTATTTCTTGTTTTTAAAAGTGGAACTTCCCGCCTATTCAAATATTTATTTGATATCGATAGCTTGGTATTTTTGGTATTTATTGTACAACACTCAAACTTATTAAAAACTTGACAACACTTGTCGTGTTGTGTTGTTTTCGTTAATTCCTGAATTGTTTCCCGCTTTCTCGTGGTAATTACTGATACAAACAAAATGAGCACCGCTGTGGAAGTGGCCAACAAGGTGCCGGGAAAGTTGGCCAACTACTTTGCGCTGCAGTCAGCGTTTGAGGTAAGTTTTTATGGATAAGGAAACCCGCAATAACGCGATCTGATCTTAAATTTTAAATTACAGAAAGCCCTGGAACTGGCCATCACCGACGGCAAAGTGGATCTGTTGGTAAAAGAGTACAATAGCTTTACAGCTAACACCGAGCATGACAAGCGCCTGCCGATGGACCATGCGTTCCGAGTGCTCCTGATGAAGCGGCTGGACGACGATGTGCAACGCATCGGCGAGTTGGTGCGCCTCTCTGTAGACGCTACGCGGACCGAAACTGTGTCTAACACCATTCCGGTCGTGCTGCTCATCGACACCTTCGACGTAGTCACGCTGGACAAGTGCCAAGAGATCTTTCGGTTCGTCGAAGAGATGGTGGAGGTGTGGAAGGAGGAGATCTTTTTTGCCTCATGCAAGAATAACATCCTTCGTATGTGCAACGATCTACTTCGTCGCCTCTCACGCACCCAGAACACAGTTTTCTGCGGACGCATCCAGCTCTTCCTGTCGAAATTCTTCCCCTTCTCTGAGCGCTCTGGCCTAAACATCGTGTCTGAGTTCAACCTCGATAATTTTACGGAGTACGGACTGGATAGCAAGGACCACGACGAGAGCGATAATAAGGAACTGGAGGACACCGCTGAGGATATTCCGCTAAAGATCGACTATGACCTCTACTGCAAGTTCTGGTCGCTGCAGGACTTCTTTCGGAATCCCAATCAATGCTACAACAAAGCTCAGTGGAAGATGTTCCAGATGGTAGGTATTTACTTAGCTTTTTTTGAGCCCGTCATCTTTTTATTTTATCGACCATGTATTTGTATGTGTACACTTTATAGCACGCGCAGAATATACTGCAGTCCTTTTCGAGCTTCAAACTGGAAGACGTGCGACAGAGTAGCAGCGACAATGCTAGTGATAGTGGTCACGCAATGGAGGTGGACGAAGAGGCCGTTGATGCTGCTGCGGTGACCGCCGTAGTCAGGGCGAACCACTTTTTCGCTAAGTTCCTGACCAATCCAAAGCTTCTAGCACTACAGCTATCAGACGCCAATTTCCGGCGTGCTGTTCTAGTGCAGTTTCTTATTCTCTTTCAGTACCTTCAAGTCAGTGTAAAGTTTAAAAGGTGGGTATATTAAAAGCCCCAATTTACACGGATTGACATATGATGCATTTTCTTTCAGCGATACTTATACTTTGACCACAGACCAGGCAGACTTCATTAAGGAAACAGAGTCTCGTGTCTATAAGTTGTTAGAGGAGACCCCTCCATACGGCAAACGGTTCTCTCGAACTGTACACCATATGCTGGTGCGTGAGGAGATGTGGAATAACTGGAAAAATGAGGGCTGTAAGGAGTTCAAAAAGCCGGAGGAGCCTGCCGCGAGTGATGATGACTTAAGACCACCTACTAAGAGACCAAGACGTGCATTGGGCGACGCACTACGCGATGCTGCCCGCAACGGCAAGTTCTTTTTGGGAAAGTACGTAATGATAACTCGAGCAAAGTCATAAAATCAAATAATACACTTTTAGTGATAACCTTACTCGTCTGTGGAACTACTCTCCGGATAATCTACAGGCCTGCAAAAGCGAACAGCGTAACTTCCTGCCACAGTTGGAAACATATTTAGAGACGCCGCATGAGAAGATCGACCCAGCCTTTGAGTGGCGAGCCTTGCGTTTACTTGCTCGCCAAACACCACATTTCTTCACATCGCTCTCACAACCATCGAGCAAAATCTCCGACTATTTAGAGCAGGTGCGCAAGCGTCTCATCCGAGACAAGGAGCCCAAGCCTGCAGCTCTGCTATCCAGCAACTCTTCGGATAACAATTTTGGTCTGTCGGTCAATAATGCCCATGCAGAGGGCGAGCAGGATGCTACGGTGGCTCTCCAGGACGCTGAACCAGAGCAGGATCTCGAAGTAGAAGACAACGAACCCGTGGTAGAGGAGGTGGATGAGGTGCCCGCGCACGAGAAACCACTTATGGTCACCAAAGAGCACATCCAAGAGGTGGCACCATTGATAGGCGAGCCCTGGATGAAGGTCGGCAAAAAAATTGGCTTTACCAACGACGAGCTGCTCTTCTTCCAAATGGAGCACCCTACGGCGAACGTGGCCTGCGTCCAAATGCTGACTAACTGGATTTCCGATGATGACGATGCCACTTTGGACAACTGGGCGTATATGCTCGAGGGATTGGAGATGAATAAGGCTGCGGAAGCGGTAAAGGCTATTATAGAACGGGAAAAGTCGGGATCGACTGCAGCGTCAACTGTGCCTTCTGCCCCCAACGACGAAGTTGAAGTGCTGTCCGATTAAAATTTCCTGGCCGACGACCCACCCAATTTATAGTCTACTTGATATTCGTTCCAATCATCAAATTTCTTTATCACAAGTAAAAGTATGGGAATGCTCACTGTTATCAACCACAGATCAGCTATTACCGATTCCTAATAACCATCAACGCCTCTTTGGCGGGGGACCATTCTTGGGCTTGTTGTGTAACATGTCGGCGCACTTGGGAATATGTCGCTCGGCGGCCTGTTGGTTGAATCTTCGTTGACAGTGTGGGCACTGGATGTAGTCGGGATTCTCTGAAGGCGGCGGAGGTGGCAGGTCGCTCAGTTTACCGCCACGTGCCAAGTGCTGTTGAACCTGCTTAGCGGCCCGTATCGACTGAATGAACTCCTCGTGCTTCTTGCGCCAGTTGTTCTTTTTCACCCCGGTGGTCAGGCCCTTCTGCTGGGCAGCACTAGTGTACGTGGTTCGGGTGCGATTTCCCTTTCCTTTTTTGTTGTACTTTTCGGCTTCGGTGCCCTCGACCCGCTGCTTGGAGGCATCGAAGATCTTGCGTTTGGTGTTCATCATGCGTTGGCACACCGCTTCGTGCTTCTCTAGTCGATCTGTGTTAAAATGACGTCCACAGTGCCGGCATAGGGCGGTGCCATCTGGGGCTTTCGACGGGGTCTCCTATAAAGAATGCATAACATTTGATTAAGTCTTCTTCAGTTTCCTGTTCTGTGACACTCACCATGTTGACCTTTTTAACAGCGGACTTAGTCTCCGCCTGAACCGAAACAAACATGGAAAATTTTTAAAATAAGGTTTTGAGTGTGATTGGCAATACAATGTTACGTTGATTCTACTCACCCGTCGAACCACTGGCGGAGACTGTCGACTGGCTTGCGAGATAGCACCACCAGTTAACCGATTTGATTTCTGCATTTTGGGGCTGCGTTGCGGCGAGGATACGGATCGCTGGGGAAGCGTCGCCTCCTGGGCAGGCGGTGTCTTCCGGGTAACCACTGGCTTTAGGTTTCGGTTCACAGTCCGAACAGTGGCATACTTATTGTTATTGCTATCGCTAGTAATGCGCTTGCTGTCATTGGGTTGATCCCTTAGGTTCATCTCAGATATTCCCTTAATGAGCCGTTGTGTCGGTGGCTGTGAGCGGGTTTTTGCTTGGGCGGGAGGCGACGGAAGAGTACCGATCGGCTTAAGGGGATTACTGCGATCAATGCCAGCTCCTCGACGTCGCTCATCGAACATCTGACGCACTTTCCCATTGCCAATCAGCCTGGTGGTGGCGGCACTTGGCGCCCCTGTGGCCAGACTTTCGGCTTTTGTCTTGGTGCCCAATAGCTCCCGCCGACGGACCTCCTGCTCCAGCTGAGTCCGCTGCTGAAAACGCATCTGTTGGCGAAGAGTAAAATTGTTACAAGACTCTAGATTAGTTCAATCTTCAGAACAATTATATTCCATTATTTTAGAAATAAGTTCGGATTTTGCTTTTAAGGGAAATAATTTCATTACAAAATATTTATCTTGAATTTAAAAAAAAACCAATTAAAATAAAAAACACCTGATTGCAATATTATTATATCCATAAGTTGGTATAAAAAGAATATTCTCTAATTATCTTACGGGCGCAGAGTTAGTGTTGCCATTGCCACTGGGTGGCAGATGACTCAATGCCTCCATGAGGCGCCTGGCCGCCCAGGACTCGTTGAGCTTCAATGGCAGAATGTGATCCTGGGCGAGCTCAGACTCAAAATCATAATGGAGGTATTCTCCGTCCTCGTCCCCGTCCGCCGATTGCAACATTACGGGCCGGAGAGCGCGTGTCAACTGAGCGGACGGGAACTGGACATTAGCGCGTCCATTTCCCCCGAGTAGAGTCATTAAGCGCACAGGTTTCAATGTATACTTGTGTTTTGTTTGCTTGTCTATTCTGGTGATGAGGAGGTGTCACCCCAGTGAAGCCCCCTCCTAGCCCCTGCGAATAAATCCGTGCCCACTTACGTGCCGCCAGTACATAAAACCCCTCGCCACACGACCCGCCTGGGCGAAGGAAACTCTATCCTGTCCCCGAGAATGGGTCGTGGGTAAGGCTATGGGTGTGGGTGTAGGTGTGGACGTGGTTGTGGGCATGCTCCTCCCGTAAGTGTCCCTCCTAGTGCGCTTGTCTTCTGTCTCTGGTGTCCTGGTAGTGGCCTTCGAACTCAGTCATGGCCACCTGGCAAGTCGTCCAAAGTGAAAAAAATGCAAGTCCTTTGTGAATATCGGACACTCGAGAAATTCTAGCTGGCTGTCCTTTTGTTTAGCAGCCAGCCGTTTGTTTTTGTTGTTATTGGCTTGCAGCAATAACAACAAAAAATCAATGATTGCAACGTTGCCAGGACACGGCCCACATGGGATATACAAGTATGTATGGCCACGTACACCCCCAAAAGCCTCAGCAATTGTTGAATGCCGCCAAGAAAGAGCGGCGACCAGGTGACAAAGGACCTTTGCATTGTCCTTCGCCTTCGCCCGCCCTTTCAGCGATAAAAATCGCGCTCGACTATTTTCCTAGCTAAGTTTTTTGATTGATGAATTATTATAGTCGGTCGAATATGCACTCGTGGAAAAAAATTCAGGAAAAACAATGTAAAACGATTTTACTCTGATTCAACGTTCTTTTTTATATTTTATTATATAATCCTATAGGAAATGAAATATTTCATTACTACTAAGCCATTATTTTATACAAATTATTATTTAATTTCTTTTAACTTTGAATATTATTCAAACTATGAAATTTTTAAAACTATTTTTGGGCAATATACATAAATTAATTTATTTAACTTGTTTATATTTGCCTCATTTCTCCCCGTGCACTTGTGCATGCTTACGTTCTTAATGTCAACCCTTTTTGGATATTGAGCGGCTAATACAGTGACGTAGTTAGGCCAACAATAATTACAGCCAATTGAGGGGAAAATGGCTAACCCCCTCTGCACTGTCGGCGCCTCTGTTCGCGGCAAACAGATGGTGTTCAAGGAGCGCCTTTTGTTTCGCTGCGGGGGCGACAAAAGTTCCCATTACCAAATATGGGCAGCGGCGAATACAAATTAATTAGCTGGCATTTCGCTGGGAAACTTCTGCCAGAGAGCCCGAAATAAAACTCCGCCAAGAGCTACAGGCCATTTATGGTACATCACGGAAATTAAAGTAAATATCTGGCTTAAATCGGAGCCATTTTTAATGAAATAAATGTCACTGCCTGTGTTTCGGAGCTAGAGCCAATATATACTGCGATTAAGACCCCAGTGTTATTTGATTAAATATGTGATCAGTTTAATATAAGATGATTCTTTAGCATACCAGATTTTGGGCATCATCTCTGGTAATTTCCTGACTTGACTTAAGAAAACTGGTTTGCCACTGCAAGCAATATTTAATATCTTGCAATGCTTGAAGAATTCAAATACAAACTAGTACTTCGTGTAAATCTATGTTTTACCAGTAAATCAGGTAAATCAGACTTAATCAATTTACTTAATAAATCCGTTTTGACTCTTACCTGCATTTGCGCCAACCTTGAAGTCTTCATCTCTCCGGAACCTTCTGACGCCATCGCCAAATGGAGTATATTCAATTCGACGCCAGCCAGTTGAATTCGATGCGATCGCTGCGATATTCGTGTGTGGGCTCTGGCCAAGGTGGTGATGACGCGACTGAGCTGGGCTCAAAGTGTTTCGTTACGGCAGACCCGGCTCAGACTTAGACTCAGACTCAGACCCAGTCTCTCGGGTGAGTCACGCGATTTGGCATAAAACAAACAAAACGGCAGCAGCAGCAGCAAAAGGCCGACCGATAAATGTCGCCAGGAGGCGTCAGTGGACTTGGATGGACGTGGGTGCCGATCTGGAAGTGGAAGTGGAAGTCGTTGAAACCGTGCCCAGATCAACACCCAGACAATTGTGGGCTGATGGCCGCTCCTAATACGGGGCGATCAATGAGCAAACTAATCTAATTGAATTCACTTTAACTCTCCAAAATCTTAAAAACTCCGATGAAAGCTGTCTTTATTTATAAAACTAGATATCTGGACCAAAAACAAAACTAGCGAACACTGGAAATATTCGTTTAAAATTTGTTAGTTGTTAGTCTTAAATAAGTTATACTGCCGAATTGCTGTGATATGACTAAATTGAATTTTGTCCGACAACTTAATGAAGGCAGAGAAAGCCAACTGACTGGATAAGCAGATACTTGTAGATGTGTTTCATGAAAATTACTCAAGCATTTGGGGGTTCAACTAAAGTTTGAAGATAACTACACAAAGAATTAGGTTTTGAAGTTATTCAGCGCTAAAGTATTTCTTAGTCAACCAACAACTTTTTAAAATCTTTTGATAAAATAAAAAAAAATACATTTTTTAAATCTCCATTTAAATGTTATAAATTACATTACCATATTATTCTGGTGTGATGAGTATTCAGTTGATCCAAAATGTTGCTACCATAAAGAAGTTTGAACAACTATTGATCAACTATTGTCGTCTCGATCCAGAGTGTTCACCAACCGACTTCTTCTTCTGGCTCGACTCATACCCTAACAATACCATTAATTTATGTGTTTTTTGGCTTTTTGGCACACGTCGTTTTGCGCTGACTAATTCCAACTTTGCGCCGGCTTTGTTTGTGTTTGGAGCTGTGATTTGCATAGACTGCCGAAACAAACTTACCAGCTGGATGGAGAAATACCTCCAGACCGGAGCTGTTGGGAGTGGGCTCTGTTGACCTGGGGGGCTGGTTTGAGGGAGTGGACACTGGGCACGCGAGTTTATTGACACACAAAGAAGGCACTTAAACGAGGATTGAACTTTAGAGCCGGACCTCGAAGTGGGTCACTGAAGGATAGGTGGTGGCTCCTCTGTGGGCAACTGGCCAGCTGTTGATGGACTGTAATTACGCATACGCCGCGTGTGTCTTGTGTCTCGAGTGTTTCGGCTTCGATTTGTGTCGCTGTTTCTCTGGCTTTTGATATTTGTTTTGAGGTTTTCGAGCAGCCCGCACTGGCGACTGTTTGCTTAGAAGTTTGCGCGCTAACTGAGACAAGATTCCGATTCCAAATCCACACACCATACCGATGACCGGCCCGAACAAGTTGCGAAGTTAGCGACATCGAGCGGTGCACCGCCAACTGATCTGTGGATGATGGCGTGTCGGGTGAGTCAAGTTATCGGGTAGGACCCCTCTATATCACCCCCTTCCCAGAAGCCCAGTGCACATATGTGCGTGCACGCGAAGAGAAACATGTATTTATCGCTCAATGGCTGTTTTTTTCTTTCTCTCAGATGTTGTTGCTAAACTTTATTTGCTTTTTTTCACATTTATCAACGCTGACGCTTCGCAGATGTTTTCCGCCTTCTACTCTTCATCAACCCCTTTTGAAGTCATCGAATCAAAAATTGGTATAAATATTTTTTTTTAGCATTCGCCTGCCAAAACCATAATAAATCATAGTTAACTGCGATTGGGAAGCTCAAAAATACATTCTTAGTAGTCACAATGAAATTTAAAAAATATTACAGCTTAATTAAATTAATCATAAAATTTTCAAAATTACACAAACATGTTATTACTCAATCTTGTTTACAATTTGGTAATACAAAAACCCAGTATTTAAAGAAGTACAAATAGACTTTGAAAAACTTAAGTAAAGTGCAACTTACAATTTTGTTTTGACTACATTGATAATTCGAACATGTTATTGTATATATCTTAAAACGAAATATATTCCAATTAATAGCATATGATTTTAAGGAACAAACCCACTTTAAACATTCTTAGTTTAGGTAAATTTTATGAACAATTTAATAAAATTGAAAATAAAATAATTGAGATGTCTTAATTTTAATTATAATTGGGTAGGGCATTCGTGCTTCGAGCAGTGCTCGTTGACTGATTCATTTGATGACTTCTTTGCTATTCGCTTAGCGTCTATTTGCTCATCGTTTTCATAATAATTATTCATACCAGCTCGCTTGTTTTGGGCTGCAGTTTTGAAACCATTGGAGAGCGAAATCCGCTCCTCTCTTAAGTTGGCCAGCGGGCCAAGAGAGTGGCAGCACTTGCTCTGGATTCGAGTTGGTTGTACCTGAGCCTGCCACATGAAAAGATCTTTTGGTTTCTGGTCGATGGCCTCGCGGGTTGGCTTTGGATTTTAATATACTTTTTCGAGCTTGGCGGCGTCTGGCGAGTGAACGTCTACAAAATATATTTATAGACACATACACATCTATAGAATAACGTTGTTACTTCTCTAATTACTGTTCGGGGGGTAACTCGAGGGATTTGGAAGAGTTTTTGGCAAGGCTGTGGGCCGTATGGGGATTTGGAACACCCGAATTGGTTGGTGGATTAAAACTTCTCGAGTTGTTTTGGGGGGGGAGGTTTGGTTCGCAGTTTTTTACACCAATGTATATATGTGTGGGTATGGGTATTATGCACACCTATGTATAATGCTTGTATAATTTGTATAATCTTCTTCGTGGGTCGATGAGTGCCGCTTCCGCTTAACCGCTTCCTGCGCTCGCTCTGGTTCCCAAAAACAGCTAATTCCGAACGCCGTCGGATTACAACTTGAATACGTTTTAACAATGACACGGCAATTTCAACTTCAACATCAACGACACTGATAACAAACAACGCGAACTTACTAGCCTAATTGTGAGTTACAGTTGGGACCGCCGAACACGGAGCGTATACGCAACGCTGGCCAAGACGGCCGGATGACGAGAAGCCTGCTTCCCCTTCCGGTTGCTCTTGGTTGCTTTTGGCTGCTCTCGAGCGCCCCTCTCACGGATCATTTCACAACGACTTGCCACCGATTTCCGATTGGGTTCTACAATTTCATAATTCGGTTACATCAAATGCGGTTAGCACGCGATGCCACGCTACCTATACCTAAGGTACTATTCACAGTTCAGCCGCCCGCTGAAAATGCGCAGCACAATAAAAACGGGTGTATCTCGCTCGATTCGCGTTCGCTATACACTTATAAGTGGGTGTCTGTATACACTATATATATATATACTATATACGGTTGTTCAGCTAACAGTTTACGTGTACAATTATACTACAAAAATTTGACTCTAAAGTATACTTTTGTTTTAAGTTTGCTTAATTTTGGTTTTAAAACATCCATGTTTTTTGTCTTTTGTATTTGTATTTCGTTTAGTTTTAGTTTTGTTTTTGCTTTTTTGGTTTTGGTTTTGCTTTCGATTTCGATTTCGACTTCGGTGTTCTTAATAAAGTTTACAAAAATACTTCTCGGTCCAACTGAAGAGCGTCGGGGAGTGACACTTAATTGAAGCTTGACCTGGCTCGAGCTCTCAATCGAATCATCGCATCCGCATTGGCATTGGCATTGGCATTCGCATCGTGTGTGTATTGTGTATTTAGATTAGTTGAGTTCACGGAGCCCTTAAGGATTCCATGCTGGACGTGCTAAGACTATGCCACACAAGCTATCCTTTATCGCTGCCGACCCAAGGCTTAAACAATTTACATACATTATTTAATCCAGTTTCCTATATGCGTATGCGTGATTGTCCAAGGTTGATTTTACTTTAGGTTTACGTTTACGTTTATTTTCGCTTTTCATTAGGTTTTAGTTTGGTTATCGCATTTTTGACTCGACTCTCTACTACTCGCTCGCTAACAAATTTCGATTTCGGCTAGGCTTCAGACTAAAACATTATGGTGAGGATATTCTTAAATATGTTCCTAATCGCTCCGAACATCGCTCTTGAATCGCTTCCGTATCTAGAACTATAAGCCAACATTCAATGCGCTCTAATTTAACGTCTAAACGACAATTGCTTAAGTCTTTTAGTCTACATTTCATTTACGTTACGTTACGTGGCGGGTTCTCTATGTACGTCTATATTCCCCGATGTCCGACTCGCGTCTCCCGACTATAGCTATTACATAATACATATACATATATATATTTCTGTTCGTATGTATGTGTACTAAACGGGGCTAGTAGCGAATGGTGGGCGTGGGAGATGGGGTATGATAGCTAAGGCTGAAGGCTCAGGTTTAAGGTTTCCGTTTCCGTTTGCTTTTTTGCGTTTCGTGTAGCTTTGCTCTTGGTTATTGTTGTACATAAATATATAGTAATATATAAGTATACATGCGCTTACAAGGACATGCAACAGATGCGTAGGACATGGTGTGTCCCGTTACCCGTATTTTACATAATATTTCGCGTTTCTATTATCTAGTTCTATGCATTTTCGCGGCATGCAACATTTTGAAAACCTGCACATTCTTACGGTACGTACATTTATCATATATGTATGTGTGTATAACTTAACGGTCGCTCCTCTACTTGACGCTGCGTTCCTCAACTTATCCTAGATCCTAGATATATATTATATGTATGCCTAAACGTAGTTACAGTTACAGTTTTCTCAAGGTGTCCGTAGCGGCGTTTCCCTTCCTCACATATTGTGTCGAAAGTTCCTCAAAATCAAATTCAAAATCGAATCGATGTGGGATAATGACAGATGATCTGTATGTGTGGTGCCATTACCTTTTCGTCGGTTGTGATTTTTCAATGTATTCGAATGTGTTCTTAACTGCTAATTACTCGTACATGAGTATACACGTCTTTGGCTTTATATTCTGTGATTTTTCCTGGGTTGCTAACTTGTCTCTGTGTTTCGCTCGACTTGGTTTTATAAACTTTACATCAGTACGGGTGGGTAAGTCGATCTGTGTGAGTTAGTTTCGAAAACTAAACTGACATTCGGATGCCATGCCTTATGTGCTAACACTTACACTAGGTTTTCGTGTTGCGGTGTTAGGTGTTTTGCGGGTGTATGGGTGTTTACGGCTAAAGTTCGTTTTTACCTCGTTAATTACTTGTTATTTACCTGGTTTTCCTGTTTACTGTCATTTCTGTTTAACATGCTATATAAAAATTGCTATACTCCACTTTAAAATCTTCCTTGGATTTTACGACTTTTTTGTTTTTGCCCTTAGGCAATTGTATTAAATTTTTATCGATTTTTCGACGTACTTAATTTACGCGCGCTGTATCTGTATAAATGTTTCAAAAATTTGCACACAAAAATGGGGTTTTGCGGGTATCGCTGGGGTTTGGGGCTTGTTCGGGCTTGGGTTTAGCGGTTAAATACTATCGATTCCAAAAATTCTAGAAAATCATGGCAAAACAATTTGAAAAGTGTTTCCATTACAAATTGCATCAATATAAATTTCAAAAGTCTCAAAATACACAAAAGTATTTCAATCTCTTGCGGTTGTTTTTCTCGTTTTTAATTTAGTCGTCGCCTCGTCTCGTCTGCATTATTTATTGTAATTTGTTCGCTTGTCGAGTGCAAAAATATGTTGTAGCCTACTTATATGCGCGATGCAAAAATATTTTCGCATTTCAAATGCTTGTAGTTGCAACTGCGACTGCGATGGTTGAATGCGGTTGGGTGGGGTGGTGCTGTGGTTAGTGGGTGGTGGGGATGGTGGTGTATGGTGGGTGGTGGTTGTGGGCTGGAGGTTGGCGAGTGTGCGGCCTAACATGTATATATTGGGGGATACATGGACACACGTGCTTCAGCCAGAATTCAAAATTCAACTACAGCGACGGCCAAAGTAATAGTTGCTCTTGTTTAACTTTCTTTAAATAACCCGATACCTGGTAAAAGGTAATTCTTTTTGTATAGAATAACAGACTAAATATCTGCCGAATATTAAACTTTGTTTTCTCGAAACTTGACTTTTAATTTCCGGAATATCTTTCAAACATATATTTTTGGTGGCAAAGTAAAATGGGTTCGCCAACTTTATTGACAGCCAGCTTGTTAAAAAGTAAATGAGTCCCTAAATTCTCATCGGACAAAGTTGAACAGAACTATTTCCTTGGCCGCAGCCATATTCATGCATATATTTTAGCACACTGAGGGAAATGGGAAAATTGCGTCAAATTGTGTATGCACTTTCAGTTTAACTGTTTAACGCAATTAGGGCAATACACAAAGTTAAACATGGTAATGGGTTAAGCGGGATAGTTAACCGCACTGGGACAAGGACAAAGAGGCGTATACGCAACGCTGGGGATTTTCCCTTCCATTTAGCAACACCTAACACTCAGAGGTTAACGAAAGCACGGTTAAATATTAAATACTACCCAAGCGACTACCAGTTGCTTAGCTCCTTCCAATCAAAGACAAAATCTGCGGGGCAAGGACGAAAGTGCCCCGCCCGCTGGGTGGGTGGGTGTCTGAATGCTGTGCTGGAGGGAGTTTAGAATATGAAATCCCCACAATCCATGGCGTAGTCGAAGTCCTCGCCCCCGATGTCGTCCACACCTGAAGAGTGAAAGTCGAACCCACCAATGTCCGTGTGGTACACCGCCCCGCTGCATGAGGTGTCGATTAGGTTAGTGCAGTGGGTGGTGGGCAAGGCGTGCAGGGTGAAGGTATCCTCGCACTGCGACCACGTGAGTCCGCCGCTCCACACCCCATTGGGCAGCGTGGCCCATCCCCATCCGTGGCCCCAGGGCAGAGCACAGGCTAGCGAGGCCTTCGAGTCCGGTTTTTTGCTGAGAATGGCCACTGCCGCATCGCTTTTAACCAGCGGATCCTGGGAATGCCTGTACAGCTTAGTGGTCATGGCTGAGGAGCAGCGATGGTGTTTACTGCCACTGGCTCCGTGGTTTGCTGCCTTACGCTGCTTAACTTCCGACTGGGTGGCAGCTGAATTTGAAAATGGAATGCAAATTCAAAAAATTGGTTAAAATAAATATAATAAAGCTGGAAATTAGGTTAAATTTAAAATAATTTAAGCTTTTGGAGATTAACCGTGAACCGGTTTGTAAGGACGAGGCCAATTTTCATATTTATTAAGTTACTATGAATTAAAGAGTCATGCAAACGGGCATGTCTAACTACCCCATTAAATATATATGCCGATTAAAAATTGTTAGTTATAGGTTTAATAATAACACTTAAATAAACTTTAAGATAAATATATACACTTTAATATTTATACATGATATTGAACAAGTGTAAACGTCGCCATCTTTTAAAAGGGTTGGCATAATGAGTAGGCGGATGGATTAAAAGTGTTAATGGGGATTTACTCACGTCTAATGCGCACCAGCGGACGTCGAAGCACGTTCATCAGGTGCGGCTTGTCCACCACCAGCTCGATTTGGGGAGGCGGCGGCAGGGTCTTGGTAATCGCATCGATCCAGTCGCTAACCTCCTGCTCCGACTTGGCCAGCATCCAGTAGACCTTGGACCGCTTGCGCTGAGATCCGAGGGCAATTAACTGGGACACATTTACGCCAGCAGGTAGCGGCGGGCGACGTGGTATCTGGCCGGTCCAGTGAGCGATGGCCAGCATCTCGGGCGCCTCCTTCACCAGGATCTTGCCCGTAGGCGAAGAGCGCCCTGGCTCCGTAAACCAGGCCATGGTCGAGTCGTCGTACAGCACCACCCATTCCTCAGCCCAACGGTTCCAGAACATTTGCTCTGTGAAGGCAATAAACATAATTCAATTAACTAAAGAATAATAATTTGCTCCGACACCTTTTAGCTCCTAATTTGATACATTTTATGATCAAACGATAATTAATGGAATGAGATAATACTCATATTTAAATTTTTTGTCTTAGAATTTAATTTGAGAAGTAAAGTTAAATTAATTATTTCCCCATCTTTTTTAAACAACCACTCATTGCGGATCGAAAGACTATAGTTTGTATCTTTTTGTACATAAGGGCTTTCCTTTACCTATGAGTGTACTCAATCGCATGCTTGCTCAAGTTAAGTGTTCCTCGAGTTTTTATATTTTTCTCTACTAATTTGCTCGAAGGGCTCAACACAAATTGTTTAGGCCATGATTTTCAATCCGGTCCAGCAAGCATGACAATGACGCATCCACAGCGCTGCCAAATCATGAGTAATTACACTTGAATGTGACCCCGAAATGATTATACCCCATTCCCGCATTCGAAGGACCGCAGTGCTCATCCATCTACCTCATCCATGGATGCTGCGTCATCCTGTTGAGCCCGAGTTGGGAGGACTGTTACTGTTGTGCTGATTTGACAGATTGTCGTCTCTGCTGAGGAGGGGCTTTGTTCGTCCCCGGGTGGACTGTGCCTACTGTGCTGACAGCCACAGGAAAAGGTCTGAATCAGACCGACCTTTCAAGGTCCTGCAATGGCGTAGCAAATAATTCTGCTGCAGGTGAATTCCTTGTTAGGTGTTATTGACTTTTGATATATGACATTTTAAGAAGACGGAATCCTAGAAAAACACCTATTAATGTCACGTGAATAAGAAAGAAAGCTAGCATGACTTCGTTGTAATACTTTCACACTATACTCTACTATAATCCGGACCTACATTTTTACTACGAATAAAAAGTAGAATGATTCCAGAAACCACAAGACTAGATACTAATTTCCCGACGAAACTATTTACACATTTAAATTTGATTTTTCACTAGATCTAATATTTATATTATTAACTTAGTTAAAACTAGTTTTGAATTTTACTCACTTTTGTAGCGTAGTAGGTAGCCGCCCTTGATTTGTTTCCCGCCAGTTCCTGTAAAAAGAGAAGAAAACGAATTTCGGAGTAAGTGCCAAGTGGGGGAATGTCCGAATGGGAATCTCATCTAGACGGCATCCGTTGCCCGCTGCCCAGTGTTCGTAGTCCGTAGCCCAGTCACACGATACCACTAATTGAACAGGAATCAGGCGCTGCAGCTGGAGCCCATTTCCCATTCAAGGACCTCTTCCCTTTTCGTCCTACATCCGACATCCGCCAGCTGAGCTGAGCTGAGCCGAGGACCCAACGCCCACGCACCGAAACTGGAGCTGCAAATTTTAAATGGAAGCGGATCCAGGTGCGAGGCGACTGGTGCACCGGATAACGAATGGCGAAAAACGAAACACGGAATTTCATTTAGCAATTCCCTCGGAATTGCAGCAGCAGCAACTCAATCAGCCAGCCACTGCTGCTGCAGTTGCCCTGCTGGCCGTTCTCTCATTTCAAATTCATTACCACTGGCATCCCATTTATTTGGTCAAGTGTCGAGAGTCGAAAGTGCGGGCGGGGTGGCGGTGCTATACGATTTGGGGCAGTGGCAAACACGACGCTTGCGGTGGACTGAATTAATTATTTCAATAAAGATGGCCAAGGCAATGGATATATGTATGGGTATTCTTGATCGAAAGCCATTTCACACCTTTTCCATCAGGGACCACTTCTTTAAAATGTGGGGAAAATGTTTGAATTTGTTTAAACTTAAATAATGCCCCAAGGATGCCAAATGGGATGTTACTATCCTAAATTAGTAACTTGTATATAACGAATAATATGTTTTTTATAAGTTTTTTAACATCGTATAAAATTCTTTTTGGGAAGAGTTTAAAAACGATTTACTTTTTTAAATAGGGTATTATTATTGCTGAAACTTATTTTATGACAATAATTATTACATAATATAAACCAGATGTTTAACCAAAAGCAATCAAAAAGGGTTCAGGTCTCAAAGTTCCTGTGATCTCAACATTCGGAGGAACATGGTTACATTGATCTGACCACAAACTTAATAGGAACGGAAATACTTCCATCCATCTGCAAAAAAATTCTGAACGAATACCATACACCCTTTTACTTTATGAGTACCTTCTACCCTTAAAGTCCTCTTTTAATATAAAAATGTTATCTTATTAAATTGACGTTTTCATAAGGTTTTTGTTCTTAGTATTTCACCATGACTTTTTTCCACAAAATGATAAGCGATTAGTGTTGCCCTGGGAAAAATTCTTGTAATTTAGAAATTGAAGAACCTCTCTGGCTTTTTTGCCGCACTCGACCACTCGAGAAAGTTGCCTTTGCAGCAAACTGATTACGGCCAAAGTGGCTGGTGACAATTTGCTCCGGCTGGGAATGGGATGCGATGAGCTTGCACAGCATTTGAAAAACGCTCGAGGCACGGCGTGCTAAAAAACGACGTTTGCCCTCAAAACGGTCTGGCTCTGCTCAGCTTTCTGCGACCTATGTAGTTTTTTGTACACTAAGAGACTAACACACTTTTCACACTTTTTTAAGTCGAAAAAAAAAAAAGTTTAAGATCTCCAAACAATTTTCATCAGATAAATAAAAAGCCATTTTTTAGATATAAGAGACAATTTCGAACTCAATATAAAATTATTGTGCTTCTTCACCTTACAGTGATTTTCTTTAAAAAGGTGAAAAATGTTTTAAGTGTACCCTGAAACCAAACGAAATGCAGACGACAACGATAGACGCAGTCCAAGTGTCGACGGAGATGATGAAAGGATGAGCTCGGGAATGGGGCTGGAAATAGTAACTGGGGGGGGCTTGGGGTTGAGGGCTGAGGGCTGGCATATATGTTGTACTGGGGTTGCTGCGAGAACGAGTTCGTCGAAGGACACTGCCTCACTTGTATAAGAAGGCAAGGCAGCGGACATCATGTGTGCCACTTCAGTGCTCGCACACTATCGCACGTAGCCATGCCCACGCACACACACACATTCGTACTTGCTTCCTTGCATCTTTACATCCACATCCACATGACAAATCAGCTAGAATTGCAAGTGGCTGCCACAGACAACGAACCCATCCCACTCTCGTATTCTCGTTCGCACTGGGGCAAAAACGAATCGGAAGGCGAAGACAGCGACAAACGTGTACAGACATAATTGCTGGCCTGGCTGGATACGAGAGTGAATAAAGGGCTGGGATATACCATGTGCATATGAAAGTATCAAAAATTGCACTAAGACAGAGTAACGCCCATAATTACTGGCATTTATTACTTTAACAACATTGCACTCCTAAACCCTAAAGATATTTCTTTCTCCAAAAACCAAACTAATACCAAAAAAGTTGAAAATAGTTAATCTATGTTTAAAAATCTTTGTTTTTCAATTTTAATAAGAACCTTTAAATTACTAGCAGGATTGAGGAAAAAGAGCTCTTCTATAATTGAGTTTTCACAATGTTCCTCCGAGTGCATCAACATGATTTATTCATGTGGCCAACTGCATTTGCAACAGCTCATCCTGCCATTCTGGGCCTCGACTCATTTCCAGCTGGTTCCCTGGCAAATACTCACTCAGATGCCCAGCGTCGTGTTTAGCGTGATCTGAGGCTGTGTTGTCTCTACTTAATGATTTAATGCAGGGAACACACCAATACGCTGTGACCACCCACACACATTTGCTGAGCAATGGGCGTGGCACCGTCAACAATTGCAGCATAATGAAACCGCATCCTGGATTCCGCTTGATAAGTTAAACGCTGGTGTGGGCAAGGGGCAGGAAGTGGGCCGAGAGGATGTGGGGATGTGAAAGAGAAAGTATCAGACAGACGCGCAGCTGCGCCTGTGTGCGAATTCATTGAGAAAAATAAGCAGCCGGGAGGGACCGAGAGGGCGGAGAGAGGCGGAGCATTTGGGGTGGGGCAGCTAAAACGAGTTCAAGGGTTTTCCGCCAAATGAGGGCACACCGACTGCCTTTCGGGGGCGCATTTTCAGTTTCAGTCTCGGTTTCGATTTCACTTTCTCCCCGATTTTTTGTACTTTGCCACATTTTCGCTTATCACCCTACTCACCCATCGCCTGGGGCTGTTGCAGCTGCAGCTGCTGCATCTGCTGCGACTGCGACTGCTGCATGAACGAGCTATCCGCGTCCGCACTCCGCGATTTCACCTTGGTGCACATGGAGAACATCTTGACTGCGATTTTCACTGGGTTTCCTCCGCTTTTCTTCGATAATTGGCTCTTGGCAGCTTTGTTGTTGCTGTTGTGGCGGTTGTCGTATTGGTAGTTTAATTGATTTTGTTGCCGTGGGGCTTGATTGGCAGCTTCCCGGGTTCCAGGATGGTTCCTCAAGTTGGTTTTCCAAGTGAAAGTGATGTCAGCGCCAGACTCGCGTTATCAGGCACTCGCACACACACACGCACGCGGCACACCAGCACACCGACTCACACACACGCACGCACAGCAAAACGAAAGTGCTTTCCCTTTTTTCTGCGTTAAATTTTCTCGATTTTGCCGTTTTTTCTTCTTTTCTCTAGTACTGTAGCAACGCCTTTTTGCCGAAAAAGTTGTTGATGTGGTTCCTCGAAATTAATAGATTAGCGATCCTGACACTGACGTCGCTAATTAGATTTGCGATTTTCGTTGCCTACTATCGCGCTGCTCTGTCGCCGAGGATGATGCTCTTCCCATCCGCGTTCTCCAAGTGGACAACAGACGTGGACTTGTGAGGAATAAGGAAGCTCTGCCGTCGGGCGGCCAGTCAATCAGTTGCTGCTGGGTCAGTTGTCAGTCCAACATGGCATTGCTATGGCAGTTGTTGCAGTGGCAGATCCCGATGCAATCGAGCTGTGGATACAATGAATACAGTGGGTCAAAGGGCAGGGCTTCTCTTCTTTTGTGGCCGCAATTATTTAGTCTGCTGCTGCTAATGGTGCTGTATGTTGCGGTGGTTCAACTGCTGTCCGCTGCACACCTCTGCTGGGTTAGACGGCCGAAACTCGACTGACGAGCCTTGCCGAGCCACAGAAACTTGGAATACAAAAATCGAGCATCGAGAACCGATAACCGAGAGCCGAGTCTCATACGAGCTCCTCCTGCCGAGGGACGAAAGCTTTCGGCTAGGACTAGGACAACACTGGAGCGCCAGACGCAGGCGGTGATGCTGCTCCTGATACGTCTGCTTTTGCTGGTGTCCTTCAACGTCCTACGGCAACAACATCAGCAAACCCGCCAGCGCCAACAGATGACAGGCAGCGCGGCTGCTTTCACTCATCTTCCTTACTTTCTCCCGAGCTTTTTTCATGCTTTTTTTTCATATATCTCTCTTTCTCTCTCGCTTTCAATGTTGCGTCCGTGTTAGTAGGTTATCCTGCAACCCACCACCCACAAACCTCCAACCATTCCTCCTGTCATCGGTGTCCATGTTTATTTGGCAACCCACTGCGACTCCGGATGGGGGGCAGCATCTGTTCCGTTCGGCGATAATCGGTAATAATGCGCTCTGCCACTATTCAAATAGGCGGCAAGTAAATAAACAGTACTTAGTACAGTTTGAACACTTGCTGAGTCCCAAAAATTTTAAAGGACGCAGCTGCCGCGCGCGAAAAAGAAATTGTGCCAGGAGTGATTTTGGAAAGACGGAGACGGTTCGCACCCAATCCCTTGGGTGCCGATGCCAGCCAAGGCAGGAAGTTCCAAACTGTTTCTCATGCGAGCACTGTGTGACCCAAATTGAAATATATTCAGGCTGCACGACGGCGATTTAATTATCTTAATTTGATTTTAAGTAGCGCCCAACGGGGACCCAAAGCGGCTCGTATCACATGGCGTATGAGCGATGTATGTAATAGTTCAGTTATGGATAACAAATAAACTTGCGGGTGTCACTGTTTTATCATCTTGTCTAGATAAGATTTTCGTGAATAGATTCTTTTAAGCAAATGTTAGTATAGCTGTAGATAGTCACCTAAAGGTTATTAACCACCTTGAAGTTTTTTTGAAGTTAGATCAATGACTTTACATAGCCCCACAAAAAGTTGTCTAACGGTGTTAAATCACAAGAATTTGGAGGCCATGGTAAATCGAATTAACTGCTCTGATGGACGAAAAAATGAGAATAAATCACTTGACAGCGTTAAATCGGTCGCCATCCTGATACTGTTCAGGTACTGCCAACTTAAAGTTCTTTATCTCTAAAAAAAATCACCCATAATGAATACCCTTTATCAAACTGCAATATATTTTATACAATCTCTTTAATAAATGGTCTCTCTACTGCATCCACCCTAGAATTGTGAATTATTTTTTTAATTAAATTGTCAATAACACCACTTATGTATGTGTTTGTCGACTAGACGTCCCACCATCTGCGCATCGTTCCTCCAAAAACCATTTTCCGATGCCCAATAAACGGCAACTGTTGTTTGCCAGCAAGTTACCCGCATTTATAGACCATAAGGCATAAGCTTCTTGAAAGCAATATCAGTATCTCCATTTCTCGTACTTTGCTGGCTTGGTTTCCTTTGCAGTTGCACTGGCTTCCAGTTTTGTGGGTAGAGGCCTTTATGACCCAGCACTTCCAATTGTGGAAAAGGGATCTCATTACGGTGGCTCGCACCTGCCTGCACTTGCTCCCATATGCGTAGTATACACACGATGTGGTACATGTCTTTGTCGCTCTTCAATGCCAGCTGGCTGTTCCCAGAGCTTTGTTGACGCTCCCTGCCCTGAGTTAAACGTGGATGCTTTGCATGTTTGCTGGGGCCCCAACCCCTGTCACAAGCCCAACCTCCTTGTGAACCTGAACCTGAAATCACTTAATCAGTTTATGCAGCACAAATTTGCCCAGGTAAAGTGGGTTTGGTATTGGGGTATATGGCAATGGTATTGGTTTTTGCATTGCCTTCGCTCTTGCTTCGCTGCTTGCAGCTCTATTCGAACGTAATGCATTTGTAAGTGGCATTAATTTGATCCTGCTTGATGTCTACTTTACTCTCAACCGCGGCATTAATAAAATTTAAGAGAATTTAATTTTTGGTTATCTAATTTCTTAAGCTTGTTATTTATTTCGCTTGAGTTTTAAGCCACAGTAGCAATATATTACAAAGTCTCATTATGATAAGACACATTTTAGGCCATCCGTCTTATATCCTTTTACATCTTACTTCGTTCTCTTTAAATCTTAAAAGTAGATATAACATATTATTTCGCAAATTGGTGAAGTAGGTAGAACTGCAAAATTCAACAGTGTAAATAGTAAAATAATTATTTTATAACATAACATAATTATTAACTTTTGACTTATAAAAACGTTTTAAAATATGTGTTGAGTTTATAAATATAAAAATACTGTTAGGTTAACTACTTGTTTTATGGTAATTTTTAAGTTAAAGAACAACATAAGAGTTAACCTTTTCAATATTTTAAATTTTTATATTCAATATTTTCTTATATTTATAACAATAAACCCATTTGTTGGCGATTTAAAACAAATAAACATTTTAAAACTAAAGGGATTATAACCACTAGTTAATACAAAATTTTTAGAAACATAGTGATAGTGAATGAGTTAATTACGACTGCCCAAGTTCTGATTCAGAAATAAATTGATATAAGCTTATATCGTTCACAAAAATGATTCTTCAGCTGAACAGAAAACTTTTAGCAACTGAACGAAATTACAAAAGAAAAAAAGAAAACATTAATAAATATTTTTGAAATATGGGAGTTCCGAAATAACCATAACCGGTTAGGGTGACACAAAGGCGAAACTATAATAAGACAATAAATTGATCAGAAATTCTTTGCAAATGAAATCGTTTTTGAAGATCGTTTCTGACAGACAAATTGTATTAAATATAGAGTAGAATTTATTTAAAATGAAACAAATCTCCTCAGGGAGATACAAATTGCCACTCTAAATAAAAGTCATTGCTCTGGTTCCAATTCAAATTGATTGAACATTTTATTGTCGTTTTCGCAGAAAAAAATGTATATTTTCTTTTTTATTAAGCCATCCCAGGCGACATAGAATTCACTTTTCATGGCTCAAACACAAAGTCCAACACCCATTTAGTGTGAAAGTTCTTTGAACCGATTAAGATCCCAACTCATTCATTGATTTTTATGCAAATTATGCACACTTTATAAATAGTTGTCTTAGTTTATTAAACAAGGGAATTTGCATAATATACAAATATAAGAAGATCGTAAGACAAGACATATAAATCTCAAATGAGCTATTTTAACGGTGGTTTGAATGACTCTTCTCTATCGCCATTCTTCAGAGCTTTATCCCCATATAAAAGAAGTAACAGTGATCTGATTTTGGCTAGTTTACAAAATGTCGCCTAATCTGGAAGTTCGTTTCGCGAACTGGATTATTGTAGTGGTAACAATACTCACAGTTCTTGGAGGTGCCAAGGCCAAGGATGAAGCCTCTGTGCCTCGGCTTATAACCCTTCAAGCTGCCAGCCCCGCTCCAGCGCCTCCGCCCCAGGAAGTGATTATAGAGACGGACTACGATCATCATCACCATCCTCCTCCAGCTTATCCTCCAGCATATCAGCCAAGTTATCCATATCCGCAGCCTCAGCCTCAGCAACACTGTCATTGTCCACCGGGTCCCCCAGGACCTCCTGGTCCACCAGGACAGCCGGGTCAAAAAGGTTATCCCGGACCAAAAGGATCTAAGGGTGACCCCGGAGAGAAGGGACCACGAGGAGATAAGGGCTACCCGGGAATGCCAGGTTTGCCTGGCCCCCAAGGTCCACCTGGATATCCTGGAGGTTCATACCCGCCTGCACCCCAGCCGTACCCATACCCTCCACCACCCTATCCTACACCGGGAAATGGAGGAGCTCCTGGTGGACATTACAGGTTCTACGATCAGTTCCGTGATGAAGAGGACCATTATTACGGTGATGAACGGGCATTTAGTCTTATAGAAGACGATCAACCCTTCATCTTGGCCTTCAGCCAGAATAGAAACCCATTTACCTCAAAAGCAAATAAAAGACGTAATAAAAATTAATCATATTTAAATAAAAGACTACTTTTTATTGAAAGTTTTTGGGGAGGTGATAGGGAAATAGCGATGAAATACTTATGTTAGATTATTCTTCTGATAAATGATTGTTGTCTTCTTATGTTCTTTTGATGAAATCAATCAGCTTTAGTTTAGCAGTCGAGTAAGGAATGGAAAGTCAAATATTTCTTTGATGAATCATAAACTTAACATTAACTGCTTACCATCGATATGGGGATAAAATTATAATTTGTAAACTAGTTTAAGTGAAAATATCTAATATAAATATTTAAATATTGTATAGCTTGATTTTATTCGCAAGATAGAAAAGATTATTTATCACATTTTGGATTATTATCCAAATCAGCTCTCCCAATATTACAGAAATTATTTTTGACTGCTCAGAAATAAAATATTTGCCAAATGAAATATACAAGTATACTTTGACAATACAATTAAAATGAAATATTAAAAATGAAAATATATGTATGTATGTATGTCGTACATACTCCCTAAGTCTATAATGACTTACATGACTTCCTCTTATTTGAGCTATTGAAAAGAACGATAAATATTCTTCTGAATAGAAGCTCAACTTCATTCTGTTACGATTTAAACATATATTTACAAAAAACCGAAAGAATTAAAAGATTGAATGTATGTAGCCTGAGGGAATGTCACCCCATGGTAAATAAATTTCGAGTTCATATCTGTGCGGCCCCTGTCGAGGAATTCAAGGCCTGGGCGTTTTCACTTTCGGTTTCCAATTACACACAGTCGCGCTTCACCAGCTCGCTCTCTCACGCTCCAAGTCGCTCTCTATTTTCCGACACGGACACAGATACGCACACGCTTAGCTTTAAAGTGTGGCCCGGTTTCGGTTTTCCACCATCCCAAGCCCAAGTACTAACCCAACCCAACCCTAGTCCTTACCCAAATCCCTATGTCCACGCCCATACTCCTGACCGTGACACAATTTCCATTGTCAGCCATCCGCAGTAACAGCAGTAAGAGCAACAGCATCCGTGGATACATAGCTGCCTGCCTGGCGACCTGCTCTATTTCTCGGGTACTCCATCCAGCTGGTGCTCCAAAGCACTCGTCCTGACCCCAAAAACTGGGCGAACAGGTGCAGGACGTCGGGAATTGGACACTTGTTGGCCTTGCTGATATCTATTAACATTTCGAACGTTTTTGGGGGTGATTATCGTAGGATTTATTATCATTTGGTGATTTGATTTAAGGCTCTACCTTGTACATTACAATGATATATAAATACATTGAACTACTTGCGTAGATCAGGACTTCTTTGAATGTTTGCGAGTGATTTCCTTTTTTTTATGTCCGTTGCTTTTGGCAAAATATTTGCCGAGTCAAGTTTGCGTATGTATAAAATATATATAAACATGTATCTGGGTTGTGTATGTACAACAGACTGCCTTGTACAACTTGCGCCTGACTTTCGCTTAGTTTCCAATTAACATTTTGAGAAACAAATTTATGCAGCATCATGCAGAAGTCTTCGTGTTCTCGGCTCCTCAGCTGTGATGTTCCTGAATATAATAATGTGTATAACGTGATGGTGGGGCGATGGATTCAAATGATAGATGGCAAGATGAAGCGTCAACAAACTTAATATCCAATTCCCTCCCCATCTTATTAATATACTTTAGGGTGTTCCGATTTGCTTGACAAAGATTAGTTCTTTGGTATTCTTTTGGCGATTTGCAGATGTTTTACAGATGCTACAAGACAAACAAAATCTTCAAATTACATTAATTTAAAACCAAAAAAAAATGTTTAACCTAATATACTGGTTTATATTAAGATCAAGTTTAACAATTCAAATTTTAGATCATCTTCAAAAATTTTACAAACTACATACTTAAATCGGTCCACCCTAATACTTTTTTGTATAAGTACATAAAGAAGATTGGCCCGATTTCGTTGAAATATGTAACCTGGCAAGGCAGTCTGCTGCACACATTTATAACAACCGTATACACTTGTCTGACTTATTTCATGTGGGGTTATAAAATTAGGTACATTTACAGTATTAACTATAACATTTTAAAAAATCTGCACTTTTTCAATTTACACAAACAACAAACATTTGCTAATAGCCGAAAATTATGCTACGATTTTGAATTCGTTTTGGTTGTTTTTTTCGCGTAATACTCGAAGCTTATCTATCAACTAGGGATTCTTGGTTTGATTCTTCTTGGTTTCTTATTTAGTTGGTTTACAATAAGGACACTAGTGAATTACATTCAAAACAGTTGATGGAGAAGCGACCACCCAAAAGTCTGAGGAAAAATCCAGTAGGAAAGGCAACGAATGTTGTGAAAGTAGCGACGATGATGATAGTGGTGGCTTCCATTTCCTGTTCCGTTTAGTTCTGCAGCGCGGCTCGCAGGAGACTGTCCAGGGTGAGCTGGATAGTCCCATTGACAGCAGCCTGCAGAACGGATGGCGGCTTGGGCAGGGCCGGAAACATTGTCGGTGCTCCCGCTTGACTGCCCTTACCGCCCAAGCATTCCATACCAGTGGTCGCCAACGTTTCGGTCACGGGGTTGTGGCATATGCTAGGCGGCGATGGCAATGGGGGCGGGGGGCTTTTTGATTCTTCTGTTTTGGATTTTTTCTCTGGCTGGCTCTCTTGAAGCTGCTCCTGCTCCTGCTCCTGCTCCTGCTTCTGCTTCTGCTCCTGCCCCTTCTCCTGCTCCTTCTCCTGCTCTTGCTTCAGCTGCTGCTGCTGGGCAATCGCAGTGTTGACCTTGTTCCACAGGTTGCTGATGACAGCGCCTTCCTTGCTAGCACCCGCCGTCCGCTTCGCCATCTTTTCGATAAAACTCTCAGTTTCCGTAACAGGATTTACTGTGGTTTCCACTACATTCTGCTGCTGCTGGCCACCTTCGCTGCGGGTGTGCGAGACGAGACGTGGTCTTATCTGGGGTCGCTCCGAAGGCAATTCCGGCAACGTTGCAGATACCGCCAGACCCTGGCTCACCAGTTTCAGCATGATGCGTTGTGTGATACCTAGCACCAGATGCTTATTTTCTTCGGTAATGTAGGCCACCCATTGCTTGGGTTTACTTTCATCACTGCTGCTTGCCGCCGGGCGACGCAGCTTGGCTCGCATAGACTCCACAGCCAAAACATTTGGTGCTTGTTGTCCTGATCCGTCTGGCTTAAAACTTACCAAATCGTAAACAAAGTCTTTATTGACAGCCTTCACCCGTTTCCGAATGGGACGCTTCTCCTGGGAATATTCGCCAGATTCAGGTGAGATTTGAGTGCGAGATTTGCGACGCTTTTTGCTAGTTATGGGAGTAGTTTCCGACGGCTCCTGGCAAGGTTCTTCCTTTATCACTGTTGTTGGTGATACTGTACGCACTTCACCAGCAGATTCGGTTATGGTTTTAACACGCTTCAAGCGCCTTTCGTACGTTTTAATAGGCGGCTTGGCCTCCTTTTCTATAACTGCTAGCTCCTCTTCTTTATCCAGCAATATGATATCACCGTCTACATCGTCGCGAGAGTATTCGCACTCATGGGTGGATACATATTGCTCTGTCAGCTGGTCTCGATCTCCTTCTATCTTGTGGGTAAATCCCAAGTGATTAACAATATCGTAGCGCCTAAATGCGCGATATTCGCACAGATTGCAGCCAAAGCGGCGTGCACGGTAGTGGAACATGGATATGTGACGACGTAGATTTCCGAGAGCATTGAACTGCTTGTGGCAGATCTTGCAGCGGCACCGCAGCTGTTTCTCGACTGGTACATTACGTTTCTTTTTTGTCTTGCCCTTCACATCTTCCGGATCGGCAAAAGATTCAGGACCAGCCTCTGGGGTAGCCTCGTGCTCTTCATCAGTGTTTGAGGCCTCATCACTGGCAGAGTCGCTTTCATTGCCCAAATTAAGCTGGTCTAATGACACAGTGTGCAAGCCGGAAGCAAATGAATCATTTGGCTGTGGTAGATCATTAAATATCTCGTTTAGAGTAATTTCCTCATTCTTGATGGGATCACTTTTCGGCAGATCTACGGAGGCAGTTGGATCCTCATCGTCTGCATCCAAACTGGAATTATTGCTCTTCACTTTAAGTTTTTTGACGGAAGGTGCCGGCTTGGCCAGCGCCTCTTGCTTCGCCCGACAATTGAGCAGGTGGGTTGACAAAGCAGCGCGCCGTTCGAAAGACTTTTCGCAGTAGATACACAAAGACATGATTTTACGGTGCTCACCGCTGGCATCCAATGGCTCCGGGACATAGCCCACCACGTCGTCGGAGAGCTGAAGGCGCTTTAGCTCACGACAAGGACCCTTTGGCTGAATATCTCCTTGCTGAACGCGGCGCTTGAGAATTGTGTTCCGCATCATTCGAATGCGACGAGTTGGTTTCCTGAAAAATAGTTTTCAAAGAAGAATTTATTTACAGTTGCAAACGTCAGGGACTATTTTTTTATAGTTTTATGTAAATGAAAATTGGATTTATAAGGAAAGAAAAAGTCAGATTTTACAATAACTTCTTCTTTTCATTTAAATATTTTTAAAAACTTGTTTCTTTCGGTTTTCATTGGTCCCCTGCAATATAATTCTTAAAGACAGAAAATTCGAATGAGAAACTGTTCGAACCATTCACCTAATTTGACATTTAGGGATGACTTTTCTATTCTTGGCAACTCAACTGAAGATTTTGAATACTTAAAATATAACAAAATATAAATATAAAATTCCAAGAGTTTTCTTTTAATATTAACTGAAAAAATATTTTCAATAAAATTTAATTTCTTCCATGAAAAAACAATTATGGATTATAGAAAAAAAGAAAATCGGTAAGACTGTCACAACTTACTTGTGATCCTTGGATAAATGACGAATGACTGCTGCAGCCTGCAAAAAGGTCAGAGAACAGGCGGGACACTGAAAAACAAACGACGATGAAGAGTGATGCTTTTGAATGTGCAGCTCAAGCGTTTTGTGCGTTTGAAAAGTCAGATTGCCTGTAAACAAGAAAGAAAAACACCAGTTACTAACTGATTTCATGGCCTATTCGGTTGGGGCCCTTACAGGTCTCACAGAATATGCTCGTCTCCGTTTCGTCACTTATCGACTGCTCGCCGGTTTCGCCGGAGTCGCTGCCACCGTGGCGTTCCATCTTGACAGTGGTCAAGGCCTTGCCGTCCGGTCCCACAATGGTTTCAGATGGATTAAGCATGCGATGCACCTCATCTAACTCAGTCCTTATGCTGTCCTCCTGATCTACCTTGATGGTTTGGTAAACTGCTTGACTCGAGGTTGGCACAGACTCCAGCTGCAGAACCGTGGGAGAACTTCGTCTGGTCTGTGATTGAGCCTTTTCTCTGCGAAGTCGCTCGATGACACCACTCAGATCCCGTATACCACCACTTCCTCGAATGGGACGCACATCACGAGGAACTGGAGAACAGCCTGTACTTCGGCTGCGCAGCATGTTCTCTATATCCTGCGGTGACGGCCCGCCACCGGTTTGTATGATCATCGTAGAGTTCTGATCCTGAGAAAAAAGTTAGCAACGATTAAAAAGCATTTATGGCTATAGAGAACATGTCATGGGGTGTCTTTACTGCCCACTCACTGTGTATCCACTGCCATTCGCAGAACGAGCGCTGACGCAGCAAAAGACCCTCTTGTGGCTGATGAAATTTGCGAGACTACGGAACATGTTCCGGCACACCTTGCACTCGTAGATCAGGCTGCACTCTAGACTAAGCAACTGTCGCACCTGTTGGAGAAACGGTCAGTTATCTTTTGTAGTAAAAAAAATCTAGGGCGCAGGAGCCTCCGCCATTTCAGACCAGAGCAGAGTCACGTACTCCACACTTAGATCAGACTCACCTCGCTGGTACCATCCTCATAGGCCCGGCGCGCCTCCTCGAATCCTGTGTGGGCTGTACGCAGTGGGCGCTGCAGCAGACTGATGTCGTCACCGTTGTGGTCCATCTGCTCCTCCTTGAATGTGTCCGAGTTACACCGCGAGCTGCGCTTCCTCATTGCGCTGGTTTGGGCCCCGCTTCTTGTCCTGCAATTCAAGTGTGGGCACAATCTTAGCTCACTTCCTTCGCGGTGTTTTTCACCCACGTGTGGCTATTAAACAGTTTCTAATACGCGATCAAATAGGTTTTCCAATTCGAATATGGACCTGCATCTTGCATTTTTTTTTTTGTATTCAGTGTGACCGTGACAGGGGCTTTGGTTCTGTTAGAATGCGAATTTGGTATATTCGGTGGATCGAGTGCGGGCATACGGAACTTTTAAAATTTAGAGTCAACCATTTATAATTTAACCAACAATGAAAGACTTAGGGCGAAAAACCAAATATATTTTTGAGTTTTTTAAAAAAGTTGTACTACTAGTTGAAAATTATTCTGACCTAAATAAGGTTATAGAAGTTTTTCCTGATTTTAATATTGAAAAAAGTGGTATATAAATAAAAAGATTTATAAAAAGATGCAATACTGTATAATTTATATAATACCGAAAAAATATTTAAAAAGCAAATAAGATAAAAGCTTTGAGCTTACTTCAACCAACCCACGTCTATAAATATTTAAAATTATACAAAATTAATATCTATGATAATATTTGAAATACAGAAATATATTACTATATTTAGTTCAATATCATTAGTTTGGAAATTTAACCAAACTACATTTTTAAAAATAAACAATTACTAATCGCTGAAGGCTCAAAATATGAAACACCTTTATTTTGATTGAAGAAGAATGCAACTTTTTTTGGCGTTCAGCTCATGGTTACACTGATGACTTGAAAAAAACATAGTGACCGGACTTAAGCTCGTCACATTAGTTTCACCCATAAATTAACTTAAAATAAACACAATGAGCTGTCCAGGATTTGGAGAACTAAATATACCTTCGTCGCGAGCCTTTTGGGACGACTGCGACGAGGACGAGTTGGAAAACCTGAAGCCAGTCGAGAAGTGCGTGATTTTTACTTGTTTAGATTGTGCTGAATTTAAAAACTACTATTTACAGGCTGCAGCTCAAATTCGATGGAGAATCGGTTGGCGAGGAAATCCCCGTAGAAAGCGATTTCCTGGTAGTCATTGAGGGCGTCAACGTCAACCACTTCGGCACCTCATTGCTGTCAAAAGATTCAAAACTAGTTTGCGGCATTCCTTCAAAAAACTCGTCCCTGCATTGGAGTCCCTCGTTAAAACAGTTGTTAGCAATCCTTGATGAGGACTTGACTAGCAGTGGCGAGGTCACGCAGCTTTTACTGCCTTACACCAAGTTGGCCAAGAATGTGATTACCCTTACGCTGAAGCCAAAGGTGGAGTTTAAGAGTGAAGATATTCAGCAATACAGGGATCACATAGCTATTGTGCGTGGAATAGGTGTAAATCAGAAGGATATCACCGATTTAGAGGCCCCCAACTTTATAGCTGGGGTGGCGGCTGGAGGTAAGTCATCCTGGTGACAGCATAGGAATTTCTCATCTAACCATTCTTAACAACAGTTGCCAGTTGGCGGGATCAAGAGGAGTTGCCTGTAAGCTCCTTCGTTATCTACACCGATAAGGTGCCTCTGGACGCCACGGCTGCCCAGCCAGTGATCAAGTTACTCCAGAGCGTAGGCGTATCCTGCAGCTCCAGTTACATCCCACCGCGAAAGGAGAACTCATACTTGTATATGTGAAACTAATTTTGGGTGTGTTCTTCCTAGTTTTAATGCTTGTAAAAATGTTGCGGTTGCGGAATAAAAAAACGAATTACTTTAGTACTTCAAAAATACTGAGGTTGATGTCTCGACTACGTTGCTCCATGTGTGCCTTGGCGATGGCGATGAACTGCGGCCGGGAAAGCATCGAATAAGCGGGTACCAGCAGTGAGGAGGTCAGCAAGTGCAGTTCTTTATGCCCACTGCAAAACAAATCGATTCCCAGTTCCAGGGCGGTACCGAAGTCCGACTCATCGACGGCTATATTTGCAGCATTGGCGACCGGTTGCAGCTTTTCAAGCACCGTTTGCTTGGCAGCTACTTGATCGATTTCCTTACGCTCCAGCATGGCTAACATTTTCTTAAGCTCGACATCGCTGACGAGCAGAGAACGGTAACCCAACTGCGTCTTCCGGTCGAAGGGCGCAACAATCCCAGCTCGGTGGAATGTCTTGGCAACCACCTTCTTGGTGCGCTCCCGCTGAAGGCGGTCCAGTTGTGCAAATTCCAAGGAATTGTCGCTCAAGTACTTCGTCACGGCCTTTTTGGTTCCAGCCAACTGACCGGCTGAAAAGGGAGTGGCCACAAAATCGTGCTCAAGGTAGTAGAGAAATGCATCGAAGGCATTTCCAGCCACGAATTTAAATTCACAGCCAGAGGCAGAGTCGTTTCGGGCTATTAGGAGATTTTCCTTGTCCTGCGGCACATCTCGCCAGTAGCCGTAGTGAATCCCTGTGCCACGACGCACGAAGATCGTCTGAAACTCTGGCGGATCATAGTAAAAGCGCCAATGTCGCAAATAGTCCCCTGGCTCTCCAAGTTTGGCGCCGTGAAATTTGCCGGCTAAAAACTCGAAGGGACCCACTAATTGCAATTGGAATAATTTGTCTAGATGCTCTAAACCTGCATCCTTCGGTTTCGCAGGATCGGATTTCAAGCTTCCCACATACTTCCAAAATTCATAAAAGTCTGGCGGCATTTCGACAAGGAATTTGTGCCTGATGAATTCGTTGGATTCGCAGAGATTATCGTACTCTTTCTGAATGGACAATCGAATGCGCTTCTCCAGGATCTCCATATAATTTTTTCCGGATATGTTGGTCATGGCTTCCCTGTGTAGCTCCGCTGTTTCGGATTCATAACTGCCCCTGGCTTCCTCTTCATTCTCTATATCTATACTGGGGTTACTTGTGTTGGGCCCATCCTTTTCAACCGTCTGTGCTGGAGTATCCTCTTCTTTTTCTTCCGGCTGTAAGGGTGCACTTCTTTTTGGCGCCACTTTTCTACCTTCTACGTTGTCTTCTTCGTTTTCTTTCGGCATCTCTGGATGATTGTACTTAGACAAATGAACGGGGTTGCGCTGATAGCACTTGTCCCAGTACTTGCAATCTTCTTTTGGCATTCTCGATTTTAAAGAAGTTACAGATTCGCGATACGTGCGGTACGGTATGGGAAAATATTCGAGAATAACACGCTTTCAGGGGCGCAGTAAGATGTATATAGGGGGTATTCGTTGTACTTTTGTACATACATACATACCTACATATGTACATATATCTCACTAATCTGCTGATCGTGTTAAGATATCAAATGCAAAACAGAACAAAATGGAATTTGTTTTCCTTTTATTACCATTTTTTAAATTCAATTATTGTACTTTCGCTATGACAAGTATTTTTTTATTGTAGTTTAAACATACATATTTTAAGCACGTCGTTTTTATGATTTATGGAAAGGGGCTCATATGGGATCTACTCCTATTATAAAAAGCTATAATATTTATAATTTGTAATCTACATTCAAATATACCCCATTTACTTCCCAAACTGTGTACGTCCATGTAAATTCCCGCCAATAAGAAGAAGCACATGCACACACCCCCAAAAGTGTTGTGAAATGCCGTCAGAAAGTGCCGGTGACTGGCAAAAAGTTGCACTTAACTGCAAGGCATATAAGAGGGTTTTTCTTTTAATAATTGTAGTTCATTCAATGAATACAAACTTCGCGAAGATAATCGAAATATTGATGGTTCTGTGGTTAGTAAAGTTTCAGTAGCTTATAGGCAGGCGCTCCAAAGGGATAACACTATTCTAGGAAGGCCGTATAGAACGACTAATCCTCGACAGCACACATAACCGAGTAGACACACTCCTCTTTGTTAATCAGGTGGCAGGTCTTGTTGACCAGAGACATCAGCTGGTTCACGTCGGTGGCCCAATTGTTCAGTATGTCGGAGGCGCTCTTTTTCTGGGTGAAGTAAATGATGCCGGCAGGACGGTCGATCTTAACGCGGATGGTGTCGCTGTTGGCTAGCTTGGACAAGTACTCCTCACAACGGCTGGTAGGAAGGTTCAACAGTTCGCTCATGCGGGTCAAATGCAGACGGGAGTAATACATGGCAATAATGCGAATGTTCTGAATAAGGGCAATATTAATTAGTAAATAAATCACGCGAAACTCAACCAAAAAACCTACATGCTCTATCAGACGATCCTTGAGTTCGGCTATGCACTTTTTGCCGTGCTTTGTACTATCCTTAAACATCTCATTCTCGGCCAGCACAAGTCCGAAATCTGCGTTAAATGACTCGAAGTTGATCAGTTCCTTGGACATGAACAAGCGGAGAATTTCTCTGTTTAGGGCAGATAACATAAGATTTTGGGTTTCTGTTGCAACTAAAAATACTTACTTGTAGGCTGGTACTTCCTCCAGCTTTTTGTTTTTAGAGAGGTGACCCATCATATCGCTCTGTTCATTGTCGAATGGTGCTAGGACGCAGTATAGAACAGCGCAAACAAGCTTTTCCGTTAGTTCCTTCTTCTGTTCCTCGGTCAGTTCGATTTCAACCTCAGGCTCTGGGGCGACCTCTGGCTTCTTGTCCTTGTCATCGTCATCTTTCTTTTTCTTATCCTCGTCCTTTTTTTTCTGCTCGTCCGTGGATGCAGCAGAGTCCACGGGTGTGAGGCCAGTCTTCTTGCGCGGTGGCTCCGCAATGGCTTGGTAATGCCGTGAAGTATTCAGGAAGGAGGTGTCCCTGTTCAGCTGGATCATCAAGTAGTAGAATTTAAGTTTGAGATCGTGTTGTGCCGGATCGTCAAAGAACTTGATGCTGATCTTCTTGGCGATTATCTGCGTTGATACATAGTCCTCCTTGAGCAGGCAGAGGCGCATCTGCTCCAGGATAAGCTCCACTTTCTCACGCTTGTCCATCGATCCGTAGGTCTCCACCTGCAATTCCTCCATGACTGTGGCCGCTCCGGCAACGTCACCATCCACTTCCTTAATGTCGGCCAAAATCTTGGTAAGACGGGCCCGTTCAATCTCTACGTAGATCTTGCCCTCGGTGACAGAGCGCAGAGTGTCGATCAGCTTCAGCTTGGTCTCCTTGTCGGGAGTCTTGTCCACGTACGTAACGCACTCCTGGATCATCTTGACCACAGCCTGCTTCAACTGGGAGCGCCGGCGCACTAGCAGGGATACGTACTCGTTGAGAGCATTCCAGTTAGAGGCGTCGAAGCAGATCTGGCAGATGGCCACCAGTACGCGAGAGCAGGAAACCATGTCGGCGCCTAGGCGGGTCTGCTTCTCAAGCTGAAGCATCATCTCGATGGCTTCGTGAAAGGCGTCCGGGTTTTTCTTGGCCAGATCCTTGGCTAGGGGGATTTTTTCATTACAGGCTGGTTCGTAGTCCACCTCCATCTTGGTGATGCGACCGCCGTCAAACAAATAAGTGTCCATGGTACTCTAAAGTGCAGTTAGATTTTATTTTTCCGCTATGACGAGGCAGTTTTCCTAATTACCTCGTCTTTGTTTATGTCCTGAAACGGAATCTACTGTGACTGGTAATTGCTGGAGGATATGCTGCAATCCGTCTTTTTTGCAACCTGGTAAGTTTGCCTGCTACTGTTCTTTGCGGTCCTAATTGCAAAAGCGGCTTTTTTCTAACAATATTTCTCTGCACAAATTCTGCTTACAAATGCTGTGTTAAGTTGGCTGCGCGACTTTGTAGTGTTGGAAAGTGTTTGCCAGACGAGGGGATTTTGATTTCGAAATGGAAATATCTCCGTTGGAAGTATCACACTTAAACAATTTTATGAAAATTATGCTACAATTTTTATTTAAAAAAGCAAGACTCAAAATAATGAGAAAGTAGGCAGGAAGTTTGACAAAGGTTTTAATATCTTAAACAATAAGATAAAAAGACAAATATATATGGTCGTTGTTCAACATATACGCCCAGTAAAAGAGGCAAACCTATAGTTTATGATAGAATTAAAATGTTAGATCCCAGCATTTTTAATTTTGATTGTGTAGCCCATTAGCTGCATTCGTGTGAACGTACCGCATCAAATTTTAGCTGTCTACATAAATACGCTCTCAGACTTTTCTATACACATAATTAAATATAAATAAACCAAAAATGGATTAATAAAGTTTATTTAATTAAAAATTTAATAATACATGATCAGGCCGCCAACTATACAATATCTTAACACACTCAGCTAACAACCCCATCAGTTCGTTGGCTAGCTCTCGTTGTTCAACACTGTTGGGAAGCCAAAAATTTATTTAGCCGCGAAAATTGCACTACACACCAGCAAAAACCTAAAAGTTTGGGTAGAAAACCTTCATTTTGGTTGATTTAATAATTCATAAGATTTACTGGACCCTACGTTACTATAATAAACAATCAGTTTCAAAGAAATCTATTATTATCTACGGAAAGAAACTGATTGGCGGCTTTGAACGTTCAAGAAAATGGCACAAATTGAAGAGTACCAGAATTTGGTAATCGATGCACTCGAAGTCGTTGAATTCAAGCTGAGTAAGTTGATAATATTTCGTCCAAGTGAGCCATTTCAATAATTATATTTTCAGTTCGAGACAAGGCGGACATCAACAACGATGCCCTAACTTTCCACCCTAACATGGCCCACCAGATTTTTGGCGAGTCGGAGACCATCTTCGGTTACCAGGATTTGCACGTGCGTGTGATGTACACGGCAGGACCTTTGCACATTTACCTTGGCATTGAGTACGGCAAGCGAGTGAATGAGATCTCGGGGGGAGAGATCAAGGCCGACGATGTGGTCAGCACCATTGCCCAGAGTCTGCCGGACGGCTGCTACTTCATCAATCTCGATGAGTTTTTGAAGACTCTCGATAAGGCAGATAAGTTTCAGCCATTTGGCGAGAAGATTAGCGAATATACCCGGGTATCGGACGACGGCAGCGAACGGGTCTTCGAGGTGTACCAGTGTGACTACAAAAGCTCGTCATTCCTTAAGTTTTTTGCCCGCCTACAGACCTTCATTTTGTGGTTCGTGGACGCCGCTTCTTACATTGACACCGATGACCCACAGTGGTGCTACTTTTTGTGGTAAGTAATCTAGTGCGGATAAGAACTATTGAATTGTCACATTGATTTGCTTCTTGTATTAATAGTATTTTATTGCAATACTTTATTATTTTATATGCTTCTGAACTTCAACCAAATTTTTATTAGCCTGACAGTATTATTTTGCGCCTGCATTTATCGATTTAACAGCATATTGCTACTTTTGTGAAAATAGTGCACTCGGCAAAAAAATATCCGGTCTTACCGATTATTCTCTACTAATACTCTTATTGCATTCCCCTTTAGCTATGAAAAGTATAAGAACAATGATGGTCAGTGGCAGTACGCCACTGCTGGCTACACCACTGTATATGAGTACTATGCATACCCTCAAAACAAGAGGCCCAGGATAAGCCAGATGTTGATATTGCCGCCATTCCAGAAACTCGGTTTGGCCACACAAATGGTGGAGACCATTTACAAGTTTTATCAATCTCAAAAGAGTGTAGTGGACATCACCGTGGAGGATCCTTCTGAGGAATTCCAGCGGTTGCGCAACTTTGTGGACGCCCGATCTTGCAAGGAACTGAAATCGTTTTCTCGTAACGAGATTGTCAAAGGCTTTAGCAAGGAAATGGTGCGCGAAGCTCGTGAAGCACTGAAGCTCAATCCTCGTCAGGTGCGAAAAGTATATGAGCTGCTGCGTCTCTTTTATACCAATGTGAATAATGAAAAAGAATACCGGTCTTATCGCCTCGAAGTTAAGAAACGACTGAACGCTGTCTATTATAAGCAACTAAAGGACATAAAGAAAATGGAACGCTTCAAGATGGACACGGAGATGCTTCGTGCCCGCCTGCCAACTATTAAGCAACGCATGGAGCAGCTGCAGGAGGAGTACAGCGTCGTCGAGCAGGACTATCAGAGCACCATTGCCAAATTGAAAGCCTAGTAGGATCTGTGGATCCAAGGGGTGTTGAGTAATTTATTTCGTTTTTCATTTTTCAAATATGTTGAATACAAAATACATTATGTTGCTATAAGCCTATAGTAGGATTCTTTTGAATAAATATTAAAAATTACATATGGTTCAGTGTATATATCATGTATTTATAAGATATCAGATTACCGTGTGCACGTACATAGAGGGGCAATGCTGGGCGTGGGGCACTTGAGCAATTAAGCATTTATAAAACAGAAAACATTACGGCTAACGAGTACGATTTATACAGATTGAAAAGTATTGCACTTGAGACTTGGAAGTACGCATGGGATACAATCATCGAGGATGCTGGGCCAGCAGCCCGTACAACTAGCAGGACCCGTACTCCTCCATCCACTTCTCAAAGCGGGCCACGTCGTCGGCGGACACAGACTTTTTGGTGCGCTGCCGAGCGTCCTGAAAGTCCTGTAAAGTAATCGGCTGGTCCACCTCCTCGCGCCTGATTTGCTTGATCTGATCGGGAGTGCGTCCAGATATGAGGCGCCTCATGGCCATCATGGATGCGTCGCGGCACACGTTGCTTATGTCCGACCCCGAATAGCCTTGCAGTTCGTCGCCGATCATTCCAGTGTTCAGGCTGGGAGACAGGCAGACGTCCTTTAGACAGAGCTTTAGCAAAGCCGATCGGGTGTCGTCTGAAAACCATATTTTAGTTACTTCTTTACAAATTACATATATTATAGTGGTTTTATTTCCAAAGATATTTGTGGCACTTCCATTCTATTGTATTAAATACTTTTTGATAAATTTACTTCCACTTACCGTTTGGGAGTGGAATATAGATCCGCTTCTCAAATCGCCTCCGGAAAGCCTCATCGATGTCCCACGGGTGGTTGGTGGCTGCCAGCACCATGATCACCTTTTCCTCCTGCATAGTAGCATTAAGGCCATCCATTTGAATCAGCAACTCAGCCTTGAACCGTCGGCTGGCCTCGTGCTCCGAGTCGCTGCCTCTGGATGCACACAGGGCATCGATTTCGTCGATGAAAATTGTGCTAGGGGCATAGAAGCGAGCCATCTCAAAGAGAAGCCTTACCAGCTTCTCACTCTCGCCTCGATACTTGGATGTGAGAGTCGAGGAGGAGACATTGAAGAAGGTGGTGCCGCATTCGGTGGCCACCGCCTTAGCCAGCATTGTTTTGCCTGTACCCGGCGGACCTACCATTAAAACTCCGCGCCACGGCCTACGGATTCCCTTAAAGAACTCTGGCATGATGACCGGAAGTACGACCGCTTCCTATTTGAAATAAATAATATAAAAAGGGTTTGATTATCTTTTAATGAATGTATCCTGTTTGATATAGTACTAAGTATATAAAAATAGAACTTACTAATATATTGAATAAGGTATGTTGTAATTGCTCAACTTATGTTAATATTATTAATTGAAATATAACAAATGAAATGATAAATATAAGGGATGATAAGGTTTCGAAACCATTTTAATCAAAAAGAATGCAATTCAATATTTTAAATCTCCACACTTTTAGTTTAAGTTCCAGATATTCGCTGATTTTCTTCTTTTGTTTTTAACAACTAATAAGCTTACCTGCAGTATTGTTTTTGCCTCATTAAGCCCTGCCACATCTGTCCACTTTATGCACGGGTGCCGTTGCAGTATGTCCTTCTCGAGGGTGTCCACCAGATGAGCCTCGTAGCCAAGGGGCGAAAAGTGCTTGGCCTTGGTCTTTGGTGAGCACTTGGGCGTGTTGTGGCTGGTGGATATTGACTGCGCGTGCGAGTTGTCCTCCAGCGATGTGGTGGCATCCTGGTCATCCGAGTTAGAGTTCTCATCCAATGAGTTCTTTTTTACTGGTTTGTGCTTTAGAGTAAGCTGTGTGTTGGTGCTGAGCTTCCGTGCCCGCAGGCGCTCCACAGAACGACTTTTCCTTAAAGCGGCGGTCATAGCAGAAGCTCTTGTTGGTCTCCCTAGCCGCATGGCACCCATGTTGGTGGCGTTTGTGGGTGCTCCTGTGCCGGCTAGTCCTACGTTCCCGGCACTTCCGTGGTGACTCTGTCCCAGGCTGCTGCTGTTCGCGTTACTACTGATAGACGGAAGCGTGGGCTGGAGCTCGGGATCTCGACGCCTCAAGGAGGACACCCACCGATTGTCCTGCTGCTGCGATGGAAACGGCATTTGGGCCGTCTGACTGGGTCGCGGCTGTGGTGCCACTTCTGCGGCGGAAACTGCATTTTATTAATGATTATACAAGAGACCCAGCAACCCGGAATGCTTACCTTGGGTGGGCAGTCGCTGCTTGCTGCGCATGGGAACACTTCCTCCAATGCCCAATCCTCCAGGTGCATTCGAGCCCAAGTTGTTAATTGGCCGATGACGCTCTGTTGTTGACGAGTGTCCGCTATCTGAACCCTTCTTTAAGCTGGCATTCCGAGATGGTCGGCTGGTGGCGGTTATCTTGGTGAAGGCAAACGGGGATAGAGAGTCTAGTATCAGGGAGTCCATCATCCGGGCCATGTGCGACAGGCTAGTCGGAGGTGTGGATGAGCTGAAGAAAAGGGGTGAGGTATTAAATATAATTGTTATTCTTGATAGCAAAGCAGTCTTTATATTGACTTGTATTTTTGATTACCTAGTCCATAAAGAAATATTAAAGGTTTTTTCTTATTCTTATTAGTATTCTTTTAATGTTCAATAATGTATGTAGCTGATATTTCGAACTAATTGATACTTTTCAGAATATTAATTTTGAAGATCAGTAATTCTAAGATCAGATTCATTTTAGTTTTACCCATTTGTACAAATGCACAATCTTTAAAGGATATAAATACCCACGATTAAGGTATTCAAACTCACATTATGCTGGCTAAGAAATGTCCCCAAGAGCCCATTTTTAAAACTTATGGCTTGCCATCCATAACTTTTTGGTAGCTCCATGGCGGTTGCCATTCAACTTGGCCATGTCGCAAAGGTCATTTGCTTTATCAGCCGCGGACAAGTACTTTGCGTGTCCTGGTGTGTGCACATATAGCCGTTGGATTCCTCGTGTCTAGCCGTCTAATATTAGCTAGCCCTGGCAGAGCTGCAAAGCCCTCCTTTCCTACCCCATCCACAGACAATGCTCGGGAATTTCCAGGAAATAAAGAGTTCGTGGTGCCACCCAAGGGGGTCGGCTATTCAAACGGCAGGTGGGTTCAATAAACTCGTTGGCTCTTGGCCAGGTTATTGACGTGCCGGCGACAATTGTTAACTTTTTTATTCGCATTCGAATTGTTTTTTGGCATTTGCATGCGTCATCCGGCAACATTAAATCCTTAACGGATATTCCAGCAGCAACATTGTAAATCTCGATCTAAGGAGTATGCCACAATATATTTTACGCCGAGCTAATTAAGTTGGCAGCAGCAGCACGACCATATTTCCCGGCCATATTGCCTGACTCCTGGCACATCCGCTTGGTATTTATATTGTGTGCTGTACTCGTTCAAATTTGGGTTAATGGTTCCTATGTGCTCGCCCACGATTTCTGATTCCTGATTGGAATGATTAGTCGAGCGACTAACTAGGCCAGTTCCTATTTGTCCTATATAATATTCTAGAATCAATGGGCCTTAATTTAGGAGTTACTTGCATTTTAATTGAGCCATTGATTGATTGGCAAAGTGTTACAAGGCCGGTACGAGCGTGGAAAATAACCAGGCTTGGAAGGCGGATATCCTTGGACCATAAGTTATGATGGTCCCTTTAAAATTCGTGTCACCAAGAGGTGTTTATGCTAATTCCTACTCGATAAAGCCATTGGCACAGCAGAGAACAACATTTTGCCCTATGCAAATTGCAGCAAGTGGCAATTATGACTGGCAGAAATACATTTGCTGGGCAACACAGACGAAACTGGTTGGGGTTAAGAGTGTAAATTTACTGGGAAAATGCAGAAAAGAAAATCCTTTAAGGCACCATGATTAATGATCAAGGATGTGGTTGCATTAAACAATTAGTTTTCGTTAATTGTTTGTCAATTCTTTTTATATAATTCAAATATTCTTTATGAACTCAGCATGGGCCAGTCGGAATAAAATAAAATTAATAATATACAGTACGATTACTGGAAATGTACTGGAAAGAGACAACTGTTATGGTGTAAACATATTTTAAATATGGCAGATATTCCTTACTGAAAATAAGAAAAGGGGATACGGTGAAGTCTAAGCTAAGCCTAAATTACGAAATACTTTATGGAAACAAAATTGTTTAAACATTAAGCTGTTAAAACTTGAAGTTCTTAGTTCCTGAAATATAGATTTTTATAGGCAGATATCCACACTAGCCCTTACCACTGGTGCAGATCCCAGAGTGAGTGATATGGTGTGTGCCGATAGGCGGAGACAAATGGCACTGCCACCTCATACTCCACATGGACGTTGGGCGGCGACTGCGGCCGGATGGCTATAGCGTTTGAACGTTCCAGGGAAGGATTGGAGCTTGTCAGCGATCGTTGGCGCATGAAGGGATTGGGCGTCGTCTGCTGAGGCTGATTGTAGAGATTCGAGTTGTTGTTTAGCAACTGGGCTACACCGCCGGCCGGAGCCACCGATGTCTGGCCCATGCCGAACCAATTCTGGGCACTGGTGTTAAACATGGCGCTGTGCCGGCGTCAGACAGGTAAAAAACGAGACAGACACTTCACTTTGAATTTTAAAACACACGCGATTATGCTCGAGCGGAAACTTGGCTCCCTGACAGTCCGCACATGGAGCCTTCGATTGGTTCCAGTAAAAAATCGAAAACGCGAACCGAGTACACGAGACGTCCACCTGACGACTCAAGGGTTGCAGACCAACTGACCGCTCGACTGGACGACTGGCTGGCGTCCACAACAAAGACGACCAGCACACACATTCCGAACCGGGTAGTTTTCCTAGTTGGATTGTGTGCGTCTATGTGAATGCGAATTGAGGTTAAAGGAAGTTTCGCCTGGGCGCTGTTTGGGGGCGGTTTCAATCATGGTTATTTACAAGGAAAGGGTACCATAACTTTGAGGAAAACAAAGAGAAGCAGTGATAAGATTGACCGTGTTTATCATCCGTCCTTGTACGCTTATATTGAGCGATAAATTTATAATTATTTATGGCACAGTAATAATTATTTGTATAAAAAGTTACATCTGTTTTTTAAGAGCCCTAATGTTACGAGAAGACAAAAATAGGAGTTTTAAAAACCTTTGTATTATTAAATGCCTTTGATACTTTCTAATAACTCTGACTTTTCGAAGTCTAACTTTTCAAGAAGTAATAACATAATCGAAGGTCATTCACAAGTCGATTTGGCTTCGCTACACATTCAACTCCTTGTATTACCCAACGCCGCGGACTGTGGTCAATGCACGCTAGGTTCTGGCATAAGATTCCATCGATTTCTGGGTAAAGCACGGCGTTCCCCTCACTTATGTATGGCCCAGTATTAACTTAAATAGCAGCGGTTTCTTAATAATTTGCCGGCAATGTAATCTAATGGCGGACTTGCATGTTGGCTTAGAAAGCCGGTTCTTGAGTTGGCCTGCAATTGGGGATCCCAAGAACCATAGCATACATCCGAGAGCACCGCAATCAGAGGGCCTTGAGTGGTTTGTCAATACACAGAGGCATAATGTGAAAATCCAAGGGAAATCCAAAAATGAAGGTCGTTTTGGATGCGCACATATAGTATATCGCTATCTGAAAATCAGCTGCAAGCTGAGATAAAAATCGATTTCGAGGCGACAGTCATGGAACGCTCAAGTGTCCCGGCACGCGCCCTGCCCCTCCGATTGCCACCCCTTCGTTTATACCCCCGCGAAACACTCACCCCGCAGGAGTCATCATGGGCAGGTATGTGGAAGTGGAGTCCACGGTGCGTATGGTTGTGTTCCCTCGTAACACAATCTTTTCGCGCGTGGTGCGCCTGTAGGTCGCTTCCTCGCCTCGCATTCTGCTTTGCTAATGGTTTCCAATAAATTTTGAATTTTTCACAATTATTTTTTGTTAGTTTTCTTGTTTACTTTGGTCCGAAATGGTGTGTTGGAAAATTTTGCATCTGCTTTTCACACAGGCAACGTCAAAATGGGGACTAAAAGAGGAATACAGAGCGAGCGAAGGAGGAAAGGATGCTGCGGAAAAGCTTTGGCTCTCTTCTCCAGCTTTTCTCTCTTTCAGCCTTTTTACTCTTCTTCGCTAATTGTAAACAATTGCGCAATTTTCGCCTGCTGTTGCTCCTCCACTCGCTTCGATGCACAAATGGTCACTAAATACTGGATTGTTGTGGCCAACTCGGCCTGCCAGCCGCATTGCAACGCCCAGTTGGGGTGGGGGAAGGCCATACATTGGTGGTGTTTTTCAAGCAGAAAAGCTCAGGAACTTGTATCCTTTCTCGTCGAAAATTCTATTTAAATGCATGCTTTTATATTTAAAATATTTTGAACATAATTTAAAATTTATTTTTTAAATTTGAGATCTATTTCGAATTAAACCAATATAATGCAAATACTCAAAGTAAGCTTAAAAAACAAATTTCAAAACGATGTAAGCTTTGTGTTAACAAAACACTGAAATAATTACACATAATTTATTTTTTGTAATACCACCAAATACACCAAATGAAAGGCTCTTTTTAACCCACTCAGAAGAACAAATATATATGCATCTTTATTGATCGATTTTTAAAAAACTACTTAAAAGTTCGAATAATAAATTACGATTTAAAAAACATTACATTAAAATTCAATTCTCAGTTTAGTTTGGCGACTAGCCTGTCATTACATAGTGTTATTGACGATCAAAAATTTTATGAACTTTGCTTTAACACTCAAATTGCATTTGAATCCTTATTTATAGTTGTGTGTAAACAGTGACAGAAAGTTGTAAATAGTTTGGGGCAGTTCATCAAACGTTCCGCACTCGACTCACAGTATGGCACTGTGCAGTTCATTAATTTAAATTCAAAATTAAAAAAGTACAAGAAAAATGAAACGGTTTCGAAATTTCGTAGAAAAAGTGAACTAATTAAGAACTAAGCGAGGAAGTACTCATCCGCAGACGTAAACATAGACTGATGTTTGCATATTTTCATGTGTAAATATATATAAAACGTTTCTAACAAACACGAGGCACGTTGAAATGTAAGTAAGCAAAAATGAAGTGATCTCTAGGTTGGTTTTTGGTTTTTATTCCGACTCGGGGAAATTTGGTGGCTTCAGTTGCTTCTTGTCTTTAGGTGACCTCACAAGGCTGCGTATGTGTATATATATGTGTATATGGATAAGAGTCTATTTAATCATTTGAACGGTTTAACTTTCAACTAACAATAACTTTAACGCCGACGCTTCTTTCAATTTCGACCATATATTTCCCTTCCTGTATTACTAAGTGTGCGATACCTTAACAGCTGCATAACTTTAGATTTATCGTAGTTTCATTACGCTCTTGTGCACTAGTGTTTCGAGTTAGTTTCAAGTTTCCAAATTATTTACAACTAGCCCTGCTCTCCAGCGTTTACTAGTTTGGCGAGTATTTAGTTTACTGGAACTTGCGCGTGGCAGTTCTGGCCTTCCAGGCCTTGACCAGGTTGTATGCGAAATACAGCGTAAATCCGTGCACCTGGAAGCCAACGAAGCAGAAGGCGTACCAGAAAACGCCGTACGGATAGCCCTGTGTGGACTGAGTGTTAGTATGATTTTCCACAAATTGACTCATCTTGCAACTTACGCGCCAAACAAATATGTCCGTTTCATCTAGCTCAATGGACTTGTCCAGCGTAGCGAATTCCCACACGTCCGAGAAGTAGTAGGCAAAGCAGTAGAACAGTGGTAGGATAGCGAATAGTAGGATGGCCACCATGTACTTCTGCATTTCGCGCACCTTGTTGCCCCTGGCGGCCGAGAGACCGAGGAAGGAGGTGAGCAGCGATCCGGCCCACACGTACTCCCACCACAACGGCGGAGGCACCTCCAGCTCCTCGATCTCCAGAACAAAGATGTCCAGGCGGTCCAAGATGTCCGACGTGAGTTTAGCCAGCATCACGAAGAAGAGCAGGGCATGAACGAAGATGCAGAACTTCAACCTCGACTTGTTTAGCAGGCTAAAAGAGAAAGTGACTGATTAGTGAAAGATCTGTGTGTACTGAACCCGTTACTGGGGCGCACATGCTGCCCAGCTGGCACTTTGCCCAGCCGACCCTCGCATCAGCAAGTGGGTGGGAGCTCCAGGACGTGGGGGTGCTACTCCGCTCTGACTGGGGTCTGCATGCGATGTAGACAGTTGCCACCTACTGCCGCAGGCGCCCAAGTAATTAGATAATTTCGTGTGTGTGGGAGAGCTGCCGATGTACATAGTTTTATTATTAACCTAATTTGATATGTGCCAGCTACACGCTGCCTGAACTCGAAATCGTTGCCGTCGGTGCCCGCGACCATTAGACCGCCTCGCGATGCCATTTCGTTGACTTCGTGTTTCGTTGTAACACGTCGTTGCTTATTTTTAATAAATAATTGCACAAAAAATAGAGCTGGCCAAAATAGAGAATTAGAGATGGCCCTCTCGATTTCTTATCGATGTCTGGGAAACCAATGCCGATAGCTAAGCGCCCCTACTGTATTGGTTGGGTGTCTCCGTTAGTGTAGGTTGATACATTCGCTAAGTCAGGATGGTATATTCGCTAAGTGCATTACCAACTGAATTCAAAATATCCCGTCGGATGACGCGTGGGATAAAGAAATGATTACGTGAAAATATAACGTAAAACGTAAGCAGTTAACGGTAAAAAATGCTACGAAATTTAAAAAGTTCACTATCTGAAAAAGGATGTTATATTGCCAGAATGGAGTATCGTATTTAAATTAATGAGGTGTCATTTCTAAGAGCTTACTTTTACTACTCTTTCTCAAAAACCCAATTTTTGTAGTCGTGGAATATCATACAAGCAATGCACATTTACAATTTTACATACATATGTACATAGATATATTATAGTCGGGAATTCTACACTATGAGTACTACTGTCCTCAGTGATGTTTGCAATTACATATATGTGTATATATATGTGGATTGCTCGATTGCATGCAGGTAGCTCGTACTTACTATGATAACTTTGAAGTTCTAACAAATTTATAGGTTTGCCGTTATTGCAATAGCTATTTATGGACACTGTTGATAAATTAGATCTGCAGTTTGTATAAATACCAGACTTCGTCAGCGAGTGATTTCTAGTACGTCAAACCGAAATTGGCCTAATTTAGTGCACAGTGCTTCTTGATATCATTATGCAAATTGCATCCAGCTTTGTGCTCCAATCAGTTCAAGAATGAGGATAGAGGGTGTGTCCGGTGGTCTTTCGACGCATTTCCCAGCGACTGCCTATGAGTGGCACCTGTTGCACTTAAATCCATAAATCAATTCGCTAAGAAAAGGGAAAACAATGGAGAAAGAGAGGCGAGCGGGAATTTAAAAATAAAATAATGAAATTCTTATTTTCAGTGGGACTCTCTTTATGCTCGCGCTACAAAAGTGGAGCGTACGAACCGCATGTGTCATCAGTTCTACGGCGGTATTCCTCCGATTTGGACGCGTTCCTCGCATTCGATCGTTTCCGCTCGAAAAGTGTTCCTCCCCCGCCTCGTCATTAATGCCAGTTGTTGATAATTTTCATGCGAATACTTATGCCGAGCTTGGCAGCTGACAGTTTCGTTTCCAAAGTTAAAAGTTCCGCTCTAATTTCGATTCGCGTTTAACGGTAATGTCCCAAAATACCAAAAACTAAGTTTTGCATAGAAATTAATTGCATTTCAGCGCCAAGTTGATTATTGCTTGTCTTTCAGTGTGTCCGCCAAAAATATTAAAAATATACTGCAGATTTTCAATGTTATGGGGCCGGGACCTCAAACAACTGATTTGTCAGGGGCTTATTTTGGCGCGTGTTGGCAGCCTCTGATACCAAGAATTATATATGTATATATACATATGTACATTTGTGTCTGATATAAAGGGATATATGATATGTACATTATATTGTCATGGCACATACAAATTATCCCACATAAACAATAAACAAGATGTTTGGCCATAAAAATAGAAATAAAAAGCATTCAGTTGAACAACAATTGATATATACAGAAATATAATGACTTGTAAACAAATTTTGTGGGAAAACAGACTTGGAAAAATTTAGTATGCTGATGAGTCTTTGTCTTCTTAAGTGATAACTACTGTATATTTGCATATGCTTTGTTTTAGACAACGTCAAGTGTACCTTGTGATATTTGCTTAGATATTACAAACTCAAATCCATATCGATCGAGTGCCTTAGATAAGATTTTATTTCAAATTTCCCCCTCTTTTCGTTCCAGCAGTGCTCACTTGTGATATCCGCCCCCTGTGACTCGTCGGTTCCCGAGAAATCGAAGCAATCCGGATAACCCAGATCCAGTTCCAAGTCCAGTTCTCGGTGCAGATCCCTAACCCAACCATGTCCATCGCCGACAAACGCGCCTCTTTCGCGCGCCGCGCCGAAAGCCTGGTGGAGCGGGTGAGAGTTATGAATACCATTTACGAGGTATCGGCATCAAGTGACCACGGATCGTGAGATCGATTTTCGATTTTGTTTGTTGTTTGCTGTTTGCTGCTTGATGTGGCCTGCTTGCTCCCTAATTTAGATTTATTTGGCCAGCATTTGTTGGCACGGCTCGTAAATTATGGCTCGAGGCGTTTAATGTATTTCACACATTCCCACCCAACCAGACGAACAACAGTCCCTGCAGTATCAATATATATACACACATTCTGATTAGGTATAAATGGCCGTAGGTGGCAGGTTCAGACACCCAGTCCGCAGTTCTCTACTGATTCCGTTGGGCCTGCACCGACTGCTTTAATTAATCTTAAACACTCGTACATTATACACATCGCCTTAATGAGTGGGTCCGAATTGTGCTCAGATCAAGGTCGTCGAGTGTTCCCCTATCACAAGACTGATTGCCTCTTATGGGCGTGGACGTGTGTTTGTGACAAGAGGTTCTTGGGGTCTCTCTTTTAACACGTATAAGTTTCTGGGAGTGGAGGAAAAATGCCACTTTCTGACCTAAACAATTACAGGCTTCGGTAACTGGGGTCAACCGTTTTCTATATTGCTTTTGCGTTGGAATCACCTAAAAGCTTTTTTTTTTTAAATATTCCTTTTTAAAAGTATTAATACTTTTAAGCATGTTTAAATATTATCTGGACATTTATAATTAGGGAGTGCCGACATAAATATTTGATATAAGAGTTAAAAGAATTCAAGATAAGAAAATTTAAATTGTTCCTTTTTTTAAGAATGTGATTTCATGTTTCCAACCGTAAATCAGTTCTGGTTGCTGCTCGAAAATTTCGAAAAATTTGCATCCGCAGGGCACAAAAAGAGTCATTGTTCGGCATTTCTTCCGCTGTCGAGCTAAAAATAAATGTTCCAATGCAAATAGCCCTCCCAAACTGCATGGTCATTCTGGCTGTGACAGTGGCTGTGGCTAGGTTTATGGGCAAGTGCATCTGCATCTGTGTGGGATTGCCGTACAATGGAGTTTCAGCAGAATATAGCCCCAAGCAAATTTGTCAGCGGTTGGGAAAAGTGGAAGTAATTGAAAGTTGGAGAAGAGTTACATGGGAGAATGAAAAGACATTCATTCCATGTCGTGCCTTGCTGAAGCTTTAATTAAGTGGGCTGACTAGGGTATACATATGAGTATACGAAAAAACAGGGTTCATTGAACGGCCGATCCATTTCAAAATAATTGATATGTACTCATTTACGACAACGGGCGGGGTACTGGGAACAAATTTGTGAGCTCTTTCCAAAGAGTTGATAGACAAATATTATACTTTTTATTACACATGTAAAGGCATCTGGGTTCATGATTTGTTTATCCCTTTAAAGGTATGAAATCCAAGATACCTTTATACTGAACATACATAGTTTGTACGCTCCCATCAAAAGCATTTTCTAGACATTAGCTTGAGTTTGAGTAGAAGAGATTTTGCTAAGTTGCTGTAAAATGTAATTGTCTAAAACAAATTTATCTCTTCTATAGATGTCTATTTGCCTACTTTGCGATTACATTAAACATAATAATTATGATTAACTGAACTTACTTGCCCAAAGTCTCTTTTGAAAGCAATAAAGGCATTAGACCTTCGTTACTAAAGGAGAAAACACTTGTGATAATGTTGTTGTAGCTAAATATAAAGCTGTCTTAATAATATTCTCTCCCCGTGAAAATGTTTCAAGAAGGAGCCAAGGAGCCTTCGGGCCTTTCTTAAATAGAGCAAAGTGTGGGAATTAAAAATGTTAATTGAATTTCGGGTCGGAATAAAGGCAGGATGAATCCGATGCCATCCGAGGGTTACATTCGCTTAACAGAGGGACGAGGGGCAAAGAGAGTAGGGGAACAGGTGTTAGGCGAGGGAAATTGCTTAACAACAGCTTTGGTTACACTTTGCATTTCAATTTGGGCGAGAGGATTCGGATGATGACGACGCTTATCAATCAGCGTGGGGATTTGGGTGACCAAGAGGTTCATTTGCATTCCATTTGAATCCCCGCCCATTGGAGGATGATCGATGTCCCTATAAGACCTAACATATTCCCCTCCCATGTGGGTCTATTTGGCTTGGCATTCACTTGAACTTGTGGGCCTCTTATCGTTCCGCTGGTGAATGCGAATCCAAAAATAGCTGGGCAAATAATCCGAGGAGGGGGCGGGGAATCGCGACTACGACGACGCGAACATAACGAGCAAAATAAATGAACGATAAAAAGCTAATAAAGAGCGGCATAAATAAATGCGTAAATATCGAGCGCATATATATCGTGCGGGAGGAATTCTGGTGGGTGGAAACTCTCGTAGATTGCCTGCCACTTGGTGGCCGGAGCATTACACAAAGGGGCGTGGCAGGTGGCAAGAGGCTTTGGGAGGGACAAAGAAGACGGGCGAACGCATTTGCTCAAGTGTCGGCGTTGTCATCCTTCGGATGTTGGCCTTGCCAGGACCTGTGTTTGTGTTGCCATTTGGGCTTAAGTGTTCCTGCCCGATCCTGCTGGTACGGGTTGTTCCTGAGCACAGGATGCTCCTGCCCTGGGCATGAGTAAATGTTTGCATACGATTCCCTCTGCCTTGAGTCCTAGCACTTTAATCCCGCTGGATCGTAGCTGGTGTGCCAGTTTCAGCTGTTGCAGCTCTTTAACACGGGGTTGTACTTTAAAATACTTAAAACTTTACAGTTCCATTTATAAACTTTTTAGCTCGTGGTGTGTTTATAAAATATACATATTTTCGGTAAGGGTTTAAGGAGAAAATAATGGGTTTTATTTCATATATGCTAAAAAATTTCATATTAGATAAGAAAAGTACACATATTTCCATTAAGTTAAATAAAAATGTTTGTATGTTTTATTTAGTGTCTGGTGAATAAGAGTCGATAAGTTAATTATTTATCTAAAAAATGTGTAGTCCTCGGCTATGTATTCCATGTAGCTACAACGTTAAGCCGCACAAAATTGATTGGATTTGTTTACCAAATATAATTTTACTTTCTCGTTTCGCTCACTCTTGACAATTTGCTGTTTATCTTTTGAGAATTTCCCGCTGTCTTCCGTCTGTTTCGGGAAAACCTTGAAGTTGAGTTTTTCTTTTCCCACTTAACTTTACGAATTGACATAAATAGGATTTTTGCGCTTTCACAACCCCCCAGATACTCAGATACCCATATACCCATATCCCCCATTTGGCCCAACTGAACTTGTGTTTTTCTGCTGCTGCCGCCTTGGGCAATCGGCTTACAGACTTTCAATTGCAGCCACAGCTCCCCTTCCACCCACTCACCTGAGCGAGAACTTTTCCCATTGTCTGGCACACCTACAACATCAGCTAACCGCTTAAGTAACGCGTATCTTGTACCCATTCGCTTTTCCTGTTCCAACGCTTTTCCTCGCTCACAAATAAATCCCCATGATGCCGCTGTTGTTGTAATTGTTTTTGTTGCGGGGTTTTGTTGTGGGTTCTGAGCACCTGCCTGGATAATTGTGCCTGACAATGGTGTTGTTCCTGCCTCGTTGTTTATGTGCATGCAGTGCGGTTCCTTCGCTCGCCTTTCGCTTAATTCCTTTGTCTGTCTGCTGGCTTTATGCTCTTTTATCAACACCCCCTTTTTGTTTAATTAAAGCGCATGTCGAAATTAAAACAAAAAATAATGACAATTATCCGTTTATGGCCTTGTGGGAAATGCATGAAATTCGCTAAGAGATCAACGAATTACGCAAAACACTGCGTACAACGCTGCGTATACGTTATGGGTTTTTTAGCTCTTTTAAATTTTTGCCACCCATCAAGAGTTTGCAATTTATTGGTGCCAATGGAATTTACTGAATTATTTGTTTTTTGAAAATGTATTGCATTTTAATAAGAAAATCCAATCTTTTTGATTGAATTTTTTACAATTTAATTATTTTTAGCATGAATAATATTTTTTGTTATTAAAAATTGTATTTTTATAAGTTGATCAACAGATACCATTTAATTCATAACTTCCTACCTATACATTTCTAATTGCTGAAGACTTGGGGCTTCAGTTTCCGTCATTATTTTTGGCTTCCCATAATTGGTTGCAGCATTTTACAGTTAACCCTGCGCACTCCCCTGCCTTCCGCACTTCAATTTAACTTTAAATTACTTTGGCTTTATCCGGAATTTTCGTGCGGCATCAGCGCATCTTTGATAGTGTAGGCGGGATGTCGATGTCAGCACAATTGCAAAGAATCAGTTGGTAATCCATCCATCATATCATCATAGCCAGAGTCACCTCTGCTCTCGATTTCCATAAATATTCATGCCCTGCTGCCCTCCATGTCCATATCAGAAATTGTTCCACCAAAGTGCCACGCCCACACCCTCGACTCATCGGCAGGGTAACCACAACCACGGCCACAGCCGGCTTGACCTAGGACACGCATATTTCTAATGCGCATTTCGTTCGAAAGGGGGAGGGAATGGGAAGGGAGTGGGAGTAAAAGTGAGGCAGCGGATATGCGCATTTCCCGCGCGCTGACAAATTAGCACATCAAAACAAAAAGGCCAAAAAGGCTTACAGCAACAACGAAAAAGGGCTGAGAAAGCGAATGCGAGGTCCCGCCGACAATGAAGAGTCTGCTCAACAATGCCCACAAAAACAAAGTAAGACAAAAAGGATTTTTACATAAACCCACGCAAGACATTCACACACATCTAAGCGAGGGCACACATACACACGCGTGTCGAGAAATACACGTACAGTACGTGAGTGGGCGCCAAAACTCGGCGCGCTTAAAAGTAGGCAACGGAATTTACTCTGCTGATGCTGTAGGTGCCCGAGTGTTAGTGTCCGTTCGAGTGTTTATGTGTGGGCGAGTGAAAGCGTTGCCAGATGAGAAACAAGTTTCTGAAAAAGATAAACATTTAAATAACAACATTTATATTACAATATATCGGTTTTGAAAATTATTTTTTTATTCTAAAATATTCGCTACGCGAAAGGTTATGTTTTAAA